TTAGGTAATCTGGAGCGATGAAAAAAATTCAATCTTGATGGTTGCGATGGTTTCAAAGCATATTGGCACGATATCCGAAAAGAACCAAAGCTTTTTTCACGACGAAATTTTGGCGGTGGAGGCGTAATGGCCTGGGGGTGCTTCACATCAACTGGAAGGATCAAATTAGCGTTTGTCCCAAAGAAAATCAATTCCGAAAGGTATCAGTGGATACTCCGACGATGTCTGTTGCCATTTTATCGCAAGAATTCCACTCAAAATTTTATTTACATGCAGGATAATGCGCCAATTCACGTTAGTGAAAGTACTCGAGGCTGGTTCCGGAGGCGCCAAATTCAACTTCTTGATTGGCCGCCAAATTCGCCCGATATAAATCCGATGGAGAACATTTGGGGAATACTAGCACGTCGAATTTACGAAAATAACAGACAATACGCAGGTCTTGGAGAATTGAAAAGGGTGATTATTAATGCTTGGCATACGATCGATCAAAAAATCATCGAGAACCTCATTTCAAGCAGGGATAATCGAATTTTCCAGGTTATAAAACTTAATGGTGAGGCTATTGATTATTGATTTGTCATTTAACCTGTTTACTTGTTATCCTTATAAACATTTCTTGATATTTTTGGAGTGGCTCTATAATTAGTTGGAGCGGAAAAGTGTCATTTTTTTGAATTTAAAGATAAAGCGTCACGACGGTTAGCAACTTCTAAATAAAAATGAATAGAAAAGATCAGTACAAAAATTCTCTACTGACCAAAGTTGAATTTAATTGATTTCTCTTCAAAGTCGCTACTGAGTTTCAAAAAATGTAAGTGGCTCTATAATTAGTTGGAGCACTGTATCAAATCAATAAAATTATGGCTTTTAAAGTGCGATTACTTGTTTAAAAACCCAGCAAGAGTCGAATCGACGTTCGATCTTTGTCTTCTAATGAATCTTTTAAACTATTTTTGCTGAAAAAAACCAATTTACCACCAATTTACCAACAATTTATCAACAATTTCCTTCACTAAATCACTCAAAAGATTAACCATTCTTGATTCTTTCCAAAATTTCCTTTCTTTTTCTCATTAATCACCTGTTCCCTCTTGAATCGATCCACGAATCAACGCCAAAAGAAAAATGTGAACAAAATATAAAAAAGAACTCATTTTTCAGGCATATCCTTGAAAAATCCCTAGCTAAATAGAGGAAAATGATTCTTTTCACCCTTTATCAGTTCTTATTCTTTGAGAAATTCTTCCTTTTTTTTGGAGGCGATTGTAAAGTAATTCTGCGAAAGATTCGGATAATTAGAGGAACTATTTTCCTTGAATTTTGTCTTATGAATTATCGGCTTTGTCTCTGGAAATGCCTCAACCAACAGAAAGTAGACTGTAGCTTGGAACTTAGAGAAAATAGAGACTTTTCGAAATTTCGATCCTAATGGCCCATCTTTTTTTTCTGTTTTCAGTAAGTGCTCCTTATTTTACTTCAAAAACCTTTCCCAATAACCCCTAAAATCTCAATTTTTAGTCTAATTCCAATTTTTAATTCAAAAGTTAGCCTAAATTTAGCTTAAATTTAGCCTTTTTTTTTGTTGAGAGAAAAAATGTGATAAGAAAAGCAGTGTTTTGTGCAAAAAGAATGACAAAGTTATCTATAAAACCGAGAAAACGCCTCTTTTTTTGATTCATTTTGAAGATTTTTCGGGGTAGCCTAATTTCTACAACCGGATCATTTGCCCAACTAGCCATAACTTTCTTCTAAGTCGGCCAATCTTTATGATTTTGTTTTTATTCTGTAGATCTCAATAAGTGCAACAAAATGAAACCAACATCATAAAGATTGACCCACTTAGAAGAAAGTTATGGAGAGTTGCGCAAAAAAAATTTGCGGAAATTAGCCTACCCCGATTTTTCAACAAAATTTTAGTTGAACATTGAAGAAAAAAGAATTTAAATAATTTAAAATAATATTTAAAATTTGGAGATTTTTTAAATAGAAAGATTGATATTAAAAGATAATTTTTGGGGACCTAGTCAAAATAGTGCCGCCAAAACAGCGCCGTTCAAAACAGCGCCATTCAAAACAGCGCCCATACAAAAATCGCGCCGTTCAAAACAGCGCCAAATTTAAGGATTTTAATGTAGACTAACCAATGCTCTTTTGGAGTTTTCGATAAAGGCTTGATTTTCTCGTGCATTCTCAAGTAAAATAGTACATAAAAACTTGTTTATTCAATTAACGAAATGAAAAAATGAAAAAAATGGAGTTAACACATATGAATATAACAACATAAAGATTTTAAATGATCGACTGGACTCTTACCCAAAGATCCATTTTGAACCGCAACTTTTCTTACACGGTAACCGTGAAGAACTTTCGACGATTGAGGTGAAGATTGAGGTAGAGTCATGTGCTGAGATGCAGCCGCAAGAATATGTTTTTCGAAGTCTTCTTGAACATCTAGTAGCTTTTGAGCAACATAGCGAGCAGAACATCGTGAAGCAAGAGCTGCCATTGAAAGAAGAGGTACGTATTGTTTTGTTTAACTTATTGTTTCTTGTTTATATTTTTAGATACGTGGGATACACTGTGGCGCCAAAAACGATCGAATTGCTGGAGTTCCGACGAAGGAAATTATTAAACGACGTGTTCTCGGAGCTCGCCCACACCTATTGCCTTTTCTCAATGCCAAGGGAATTCAACTTTAAAGTTTAACAATAAGCTTTTTGAAATTTTCTAATAATGAGCTTTTACAGGGGGTTAAAGTGAAGAAATTTTACGTGAAGTTAGCCATTTTTTTTTTGAAAATCCGATAATCTCTACTGATAAAGGGAAAATTGTTTATTGTTTACGTCACAAAAAAGACTTCATTTTTATTTGAGAAAAACGAAATCGATATTAAAAATTATCGGAAGATCCAGGGTTCGATCCCGCTGGCGAAATCAAGTGTGTGTTCTTTTTCCCATTAAGTTGGGTTTTTTCTTAACTACATTGTAGGGGTAAAAAATGTGTCCTCCGTTGTGTTGTATCCACTTATTCATGTTGAATAAAGTATCTTTTAATCTCTACTGATAAAGGGAAAATTGTTTATTGTTTACGTCACAAAAAAGACTTCATTTTTATTTGAGAAAAACGAAATCGATATTAAAAATTAAACAATAAAATCGAAAAAATTTATTCTTTTCCGTTATAAATCCGCAAAAAGAAAATGAATTCTTTTGTTATTTCCTGAAAGCGCCGTGGCTTCATGTTTCGCTTACTGACTATTGAGACCGATGCAAACTCGTTCTTTCAACATCTTGCTCATCATCAACATCAACATCAACAACAAATATATTGATATTAAAAGATAATTTTTGATTGTAAGCTTTTGTAGAGGCTTCCCATCGAATTTACAATCAAATCTTACTTCTTTAAAGTTTAACAAAAAGTTTTTTGAAATTCTCTAATAATGAGCTTTTTCAGGGGATTAAAGTGAAGAAATTTTACGTGAAGTTAACCATTTTTTTTGAAAATCTGATAATCTCTACTGATAAAGGGAAAATAAGCGCTTTATTGTTCAGGTAATAAAAAAAAGCGTCATTTTTATGTGAGAAAAACGAAATCGAGTTTGGCCAGAAATCAGATCCGAGCCTTTTTCTGGCGAATTTAGAGACATTTGTGAAGGTTTGCAGTGAATCCAGTCAAATCTAGAGTCAAATCAGGAACTGGCTACCTGCGACCTTTTTCCAAGAAAATCCTGGGTTGGCGCTTTAAAACGTGGTAAAACTACCGTACCCCTCCAATTTGCGCGAAATTTCATTTCTTTTTCATTCTTGTTCATTTCATTTTATTCTTTTTGTGTTTTTTTCAACGTTTCAACGTTTTTCAACTAAAAATTCATAAAAACAGGAGTGGGACAAATGCGACCTTTTTTTTGCGCACCCGGCCATTTGCGCACCTTTTTTTCCGCACTTAGCCCATTAGCGCACCTTTTTTTCGCGTTTTAAAAAAGCTCTAAAAGCTAATATTAACCAATTTCTATTCCAAAAGTTGTTTTTCTAGGTAATTTGAGGGTGTCGAATTCAAATTTTGACATAACAGAGCGTGTGGAACCAATTTGAAAGACAAAACGGCTAGGTCAAATTACAGAAAATTGTCGATCTTTCTCTTTGTATAACTCCGTCCGTTTGTTTCCACAAGCTCTGATATGTCAAAATTTCGATTCTACCTAGATTACCTAGAATTTACCTAGAACAACAACTGGAATAGAAATTGGTTAATATTAGCTTTTAGAGCTTTTTTAAAACGCGAAAAAAGGTGCGCTAATGGGCTAAGTGCGGAAAAAAAGGTGCGCAAATGTCCGGGTGCGCAAAAAAAAAGGTCGCATTTGTCTCACTCCCCATAAAAACAAAGCTTTCGCCATAGAAAATGATAAAAACTACTTAAATTAACATTACTTGGCATCAAGTTCGTGGAACAGATCGTCAGGAAGCAAGTGGATCTAAAGAAACTCTACAAATAAAGCTTCCACCATCGAAAATGCTATTAAAAACGTAACTTAGCTTTATCCTCTTTGTTTCCTACAAAAAAACGCGACCATATCAGAAAAATGCAAAAAGAATAAAATGAAATGAACAAGAATAAATGAAAAAATGAAAAAAATGAAATTTCGCGCAAATTGGAGGGGTACGGTAGTTTTACCACTCTTTAAAGCGCCAACCCAGGATTTTCTTGGGAAAAGCTCGCAAGTAACTGGTTTCTGGCCTGGCTACACTTACGAATAAACTGAATTTGGCTAATTGCACAGTAGTAATAATGGCTAGTTGCACAGTAGATCTGTATCTTTTCCATCCCTTCATTTCGCTTTTCCGATTACCGATTTCTTATCAGTTCTACTATAAAAACCGAAGGAGCCACTCTTTTCGGAAAAGCGATTTCTCACAAATTCTCAAGCTTTCTCCGTTTTCACGTTAAAATTCGCAATTTTCAATTTTTTAAGATTCTTCACTGAAAAATTCACTGAAATGATTTTCCGAATAGCGATACTTTCATTTCTCGTCGTCACCCTGAAAGCGGGTAAGGTTTTTTAAAAGATTTAATCTACTATAAGATTAGTCTGTCCGTTCGTCCGTTCGTTCGTCCGTCCGTTCGTCCGTTCGTTCGTCCGTCCGTTCGTCCGTTCGTTCGTCCGTCCGTTCGTCCGTTCGTTCGTCCGTCCGTTCGTCCGTTCGTTCGTCCGTCCGTTCGTCCGTTCGTCCGTCCGTCCGTTCGTCCGTTCGTCCGTCCATCCGTCTGTCCGTTCGTTCGTCCATCCGTCTGTCCGTTCGTCCGTCCATCCGTCTGTCCGTTCGTCCGTTCGTCCGTCCATCCGTCTGTCCGTTCGTCCGTCCATCCGTCTGTCCGTTCGTCCGTCCATCCGTCTGTCCGTTCGTCCGTCCATCCGTCTGTCCGTTCGTCCGTCCATCCGTCTGTCCGTTCGTCCGTCCATCCGTCTGTCCGTTCGTCCGTCCATCCGTCTGTCCGTTCGTCCGTCCATCCGTCTGTCCGTTCGTCCGTCCATCCGTCTGTCCGTTCGTCCGTCCATCCGTCTGTCCGTTCGTCCGTTCGTCCGTCCATCCGTCTGTCCGTTCGTCCGTCCATCCGTCTGTCCGTTCGTCCGTCCGTTCGTCCGTCCGTCCGTTCGTCCGTCCGTTCGTCCGTCCGTTCGTCCGTCCGTTCGTCCGTCCGTCCGTCTGTATGGGCTTTTTCTCAGCTGTCTTTAGGCCAAAATAAACTGAAATTCTTTAAAAAGACTTAAAATCTAATAAAGTTGTGTTTCAATTAAGCAAAATTGAGGGAGTGGGAATCGAACCCGTTCTATTTAAGGATTCTATTTAAGCTTTAGATTCCGCATAAAGTCCAGTTTTGATTTAGTTTATTTTTGGTTAAAATGAACGAAAAGCGATTTGGGATAACTCTTCTTCAATTTTCAAGATTTCTAGTCGCTTTCTGAGAATCATTTATGAAAAATAAATAAAATGATTTAAACAATTTAAAACAACTTTTTCTTTTAGTGAACGGCGAACCGGTGGCGAGTTTGAGTGAAAATTTGCGATCTGATTTGATCGATTTGATCGATTACAGAGATTTCGTTGCAGCGGCTAGTGAGTTTAAATTGAAAAAAAGAAGAATTTTAAGATCTTGATTTGCAGAAAAAGAAATTTTTTCAAAAACTGTAAGATCTTGTTTTCCAAAACAAGAAATCATAAAACTAAGCGATGAAAAGTCAATAAATATTGAGAGTTATCATTATCAAAAGCATTCCAGAGCCGACTTTCGAATGTCTCACTCATGATATCGTTTTGGTGTTTGATGAGACGCAAAGTATCTACAATGATACAATTGCTGATTGGAAAGAACTCTCGTATGTGTACAATTTGAATCTCCATCACTCAATCTTTTCATAACAAAATTCTATTTTTTTTCTTTAGCTACAAGATTCTCCAGGATTTCAAATGGTTTGGAGATTTGAAAGCTGGCGATGATCCGGGTGTCTTTACGAGAATCTCAGGTAGGGTTGTGGAAAAAAAAGATGAAAAACACACTTGTATACTTTAGTTATACAGATATTTTGGCTTATTGTAGTTTTAAAGTTTAAACAAAACATTCGTTTATCAAAATTTCAATACTTTACTGTATTTGGAACTTTGCATAAGATCTTTAACTCGAATTTCACTACTAATAAGAAGTTTTTATAGTTAGTTTTATAGTTTATAGTATATAGCTTTATACTAACTATAACTTTTTGCTATAGTTGTCGTGTTTGGTGGTTTGGATCATTTTGGCGGTCATGATGAACACGCGAATCGACAAGTTGACAAGAGTGACGATAACGATTACAGTAGTATGGTGAGTTGGGGAATTGTTTTCCAATAGCAAGATAAAGAAAGAAAACTTTAAGTTAGCTTGCCAGGCTAATAGGCCTTGTTCCAGATAAAGTCAAAAAAACAAATGCCTTAGCCAGGCCAGGCTGGAGTCCTGTTTAGGGCTGACACTTCTTACTGTCAGCTTTGACGCAGGGTTAAAAGGCTTTTAACGGGCCGCGCCGGATTGAGCTGGTGGCCTGGTGGATAAGGTGCTTGTATACAAAGCCATCTATCCTTTCCTTGCTCCGGTTCGAGTCTTCCCGTTGCTGATTTTATTGCTTTTTTGATTTTGACGAAACTAATACGAATCAATTTTGTTTCTTTGTTTCGAAAAGGCGTTTAAGCGAGATGCTGAAAACTTCTAGCAAATATCTCGAGTCTGGTTAGCTAATTTTGCCCCATTTCGATCAGCTTAGTCGGTTCTATAACTTCTCCTTGAGTGTCTGGAGATCCGTGGCGAACTGGGGTACTTCTCTTATAAGATTAACCCCTGAAAATACTTAAATCATTTCCTTTCCCAGGTTCTCTTCGATTTGGACAAGTATCCTGATTGGCAATCGGCAAAGAGTAGAATCGCAGCCAATGTCTTTGTCTACAATGGGCTCACCAATATCACTTTGTATGTGTTGAGTTTACTTTAAAAAACATCTTTCTTAGTGCTTTGAACTCTGTGCAACACGTGTTCGACATCGCAAAGAATTACGAGGATGATAACAGAACGCCGAAAAGAGTTGTGATCACAATGACTGACGGATTGTGAGTTAGAAGCGAGATTTGAGAAAACTGATACTGTAAAGATACTTTAAAGCTGTGTACATATTTGCTTTAAATCTGGCTTTCAGTCTGGATTTAGCAATTAGCTGGATCTAGCTCTTGCTTTGATCTGGAATCTGGCTCTGTAACCAGGGTTGTATCTGGCTTCTAGACTACAACTAAAGCTATCGTAATCCCAAATTGAGCTAATTTGTTTGAAAAGCCAGAAAATTGGACTACAGAATTGGGCTTTCTAATGAAATAAACTGTAGTTTAGTTGGTTTTTGGTTTTAAACGAAATTATTTGGGTGATGCAAAAGAAACTGCCGATGGGTATCAGCTCTCATTTATCAGAAACGAGCGATGCTAACGGCATTATTCTTTTTATGTTTTGTTCGCATATTTGTTTGCTATTTATTTCGACATTTGAATTTTTTGGTTTTTGTTTATTTTATTTAAAAATGCTTATATTTTTTATTTAGATCATGGTCGAGCAAAAGTTTGTGCTACGAGCAGCATTACTGTTTAAATTCAAAATTGGAAAGTCTGCTGCCGAATCGCATCGTTCTCTCTGTGTTGCTTTCGGAGATGGCAGTTTGTCTCTCAGGCAGTGTCAGACTTGGTTTCAACGATTCCGAGAGGGAGACGAGACTTTGGAAGATTACGAGCACGGTTCGCGGCCAGAAGTCGTGAACGAAGCCAAGCTGAGGGACGTTATTCAGGCCGATTCATGCCAATCTGCTCGAGATCTTGCGAAAATATTCTATTGTGATCATGTCACCATCGAACGCCATCTTTTTTTTTGAATTTACCGTCAAATCGGCAGTTTCTTTTGCACCACCCTAATATGAAAAGGAACGTAAAGATAGGAGAGCGTAGGTAAAAAAAATTTGATACTTTGAAAAGGGATTACTTAAAACGATATAATAGCCTTTTAACTTAAAAATGATATGTTTTAAAACGAAAAAAAAACAATCATAAATCCAATTTCTTTTCAGTTTATCCGCTGACGAAGAGTATGCGACAAAAGCTCAAGCTAAAATCCTCCGCGAAGACTACAAAGCTGATTTGTGGTAAAAATATTGTCTAAAATAAACAAGTACTAGCTATAAAGTACGATATTGTACTTTGTACAATGTTTAGAAAATGTACAATACTTCAGGTTTGTTCTCGCCGAGTTTAACGTCGATAATGTCGATTTCCCGCATGCTTACAACCTCGCAGTCGCCATGACTGATAGTGAGTTGGAGATAAGATTAGATTAAGTTCAAATTGAACATCTATTGAACAGTGTTCTCCTTTAGATAAGCCCCAGAGAGTGTTCAACTCGTCGAAAGCGGCGATGAGCTCAAACACATTCGAAGCTACGTACGGAAATGAATATCCCTGTCCATCGAAAAGTTTGTTTTATTTGAGAAAGGTGAAAAGAACTTGGATGTAGAATTTTTATTTGCTAATGTCATGATAATAAGCTAGACTAGACTACGCACGATCAGACTAGTCTTCGCCTGAATTTTCTGTCCCTGGTACTGTAGTAAAGCAAAGCCAGAACTCAGCTTTCGAGTAGTTTACGTTGGATCTGCTTAGCCGCCTTACCAAAGCCTGGATAAACAGTTCTATTGGGTTGGTGAATTGAAAACTGCGGGACTTTGAACTAAAATTTATTCAACATAAAACCATGAATTCATTCGAAATAATTTCCATTTTTATTGACGACTTCTGCCCATTTTACAGGCAATTTGCGGATTTGCAGATTCCTCTTTCGTAGTAGGTTTTTGCTTTTGAATCGAAAAACTTTCAAGGAAAATCCGCTCAGCCCTTCACCCTTTTTTTCCCGATAACCAAAACCCTCATGCAAGCCCCATTTGCCAGAGGGAGAGCGATTGTGTGCGTGCACAAAGAACGCACAAAGAACACTTTGTTTTCCCTTTGAATCGCTCAGAAATAAGATTTAGTCCCGGAAATTTGTACGTTATTTGTACGTTATTTGTAAATGGTTTTTTTTTGGATCAATTGCTATCGTTTATTTTAACTATTGGGTTGATGAATTGAAAACTGCGGGACTTTGAACTAAAATTTATTCAACATAAAACCATGAATTCATTCGAAATAATTTCCATTTTTATGCCCATTTTACAGGCAATTTGCAGATTCCTCTTTCGTAGGCTTTTGTTTCATTCAAAAGCTCTCGAGATTCTCTATTTTTTGAGCTATAGATCATAGCAATTCGATCGATTTGAAGGAAATTAGAAGCGTTTGTAGTTTGTAGTTTTAGTAGGATTTTCGTTTGTGTGTGAGACTCAAAAATGGAGGAATGTCCCAGTTTAAGCGCTTTCTTCAAAAGAAACCCATTTTGGTGTCAATAGAAAAGTTGTAGAGAATCAAAAATTAGGCTTATAGCCAAATTTCCAAAAAGATACACTTAGTAGTTTGGCTTAAAATGCAAGTTTTGTGAAAATTCGTAGATTTTTGCATTTCTTGAAAACCAGTTTTTGAATCGTTCTGAAAATTTGTAAAATCCCTAGCTAAATAGGGGAAAATGATTCTTTTCACTCTTTATCAGTTCTTATTCTTTGAGAAATTCTTCCTTTTTTTTGGAGGCGATTGTAAAGTAATTCTGTGAAAGATTCGGATAATTAGGGGAACTATTTTCCTTGGATTTTGTCTTATGAGTTTATCGGCTTTATCTCTGGAAATGCCTCACCCAACAGAAAGTAGACTGTAGCTTGGAACTTAGAGAAAATAGAGACTTTTCGAAATTTCGATCCTAATGGCCCTTCTTTTTTTTCTGTTTTCAGTAAGTGCCTCTTATTTTACTTCAAAATCCTTTCCCAATAACCCCTAAAATCTCAATTTTTAGTCTAATTCCAATTTTTATTCTAATTTCGATTTTTAATTCTAAATTTAGCCTAAATTTAGCCTTTTTTTTTTGTTAAGAGAAAAAATGAGATAAGAAAAGCAGTGAAAAAAAAGAATTTAAATAATTTGAAATAATATTTAAAATTTGGAAATTTTTTTAATAGAAAGATTGATATTAAAAGGTAATTTTTGATTGTAAGCTTTTTTAGAGGTTTCTCATCGAATCTACATTCAAATCTTACTTCTTTAAAGTTTAACAATAAGCTTTTTGAGATTCTCTAACTAATAATATGCTTTTTTAGGGCGGTTAAAGTGAAGAAATTTTACGTGAAGTTAGCCATTTTTTTTTTTTTGCAAATCCGATATCTCTACTGATAAAGGGAAAATAAGCGCTTTATTGTGCACGTCACAAAAAAAGCGTCATTTTTATGTGAGAAAAACGAAATCAAAAATTAAATTAAACAATAAAATCGAAAAAATCGATTCTTTTCCGTTATAAATCCGCAAAAAGAAAATGAATTCTTTTGCTATTTCCTGAAAGCGCCGTGGGTTCATGTTTCGCTTACTGACTACTGAGGCCGATGCAAACTCGTTCTTTCAACATCTTGCTCATCATCAACATCAACAGCAACATTCAACGCCGCATCTTGCTTACTACTGGCTCATGAATGGAGGGCACCAAAACTCCGTTTCTTACAATCCTACGATTCATCTATGGATGGACTCAACAGTGGACCTCGATCGACTATTGTGCGAAAGAATTGGAGATGAATCTGGTGAACACGCCGCATCTTGCTTACTACTTGCACATGCGCCAACCATTATGAAGCTATCGCTCAATCAATCCCCAATGGAGATTTGACAAAGCGTTGTGTTGGACAGCGTCAGCCTGCGTGCTGGCTCATGAATGGAGGGCACCAAAACTTCGTTTCTCACAATCCTACGATTCATCTATGGATGGACTCAAGAGTGGACCTCGATCGACTATTGTGCGAAAGAATTGGAGATGAACCGCGGTCGACTTCAACAACTAAATGAAGGATCTATGCGTGATCCAACCCAGGATTTTCTTGGGAAAAGCTCGAAAGTAACTGGCTTCTAGTCTGGCTACACTTACGAATAAACTGAATTTGGCTAATTGAAAGTTTCAACTTGTACGGGCCCCCCAATGTAGTTGAAAAACCCAACATGGGAAAGCACACGATTTTTGCCAGTGGCGAAACCCGACCTCCGTTGGAACAGACTCCTAACCAGTCGGCCCGCTCACAGTAGTACAGCAAAAATCTGTATCTTTTCCTTCTTACGAAGTTGAAGTTACAGAAATTTCAGCATGTTAGCCTATATGTTTACAATATTTCTATTCAATTACCGAACAAATAGAAATCAGAAATTCCAAAAGCCAGAACAGTAGAACAAATGATTCACTTGCAAACAAAAAAAAACTCCACAACTTCTGCAAATCCATAAAAGCCATCCATAAAAGCAGCACATAAAATTTTGCTATCTCAATTTCCGTAAAGCAATTTCTCTTTGATCATTTAAATTTACAGTTCTTCGAATGTTCAAAGAAAACGAAATTCGGATATTCAGTTATTCTAATTAATTTCCATCCCTTCATTTCGCTTTTCCACCGATTTCTTATCAGTTCTTCTATAAAAACCGAAGGAGCCACTCTTTTCGAAACTCTTTTCACACAAATTCTCAGGCTTTCTCCGTTTTCACCGGAAAATTCACAATTTTCAATTTTTTAACATTCTTCACTGAAAAATTCGCTAAAATGATTCTCCGAATAACGATACTTTCATTTCTCGTCGTCACCCTGAAAGCGTGTAAGGATTTTTTAAAGATATGATCCACTATAAGATTAGTCTGTTCGTCCGTCTGTCCGTCCGTTTGTATGGGCTTTTTCTCAGCTGTCTTTAGTCCAAAAAAAGCTGAAATTCTTTAAAAAAGACTTAAAATCTAATAAAGTTGTGTTTCAATTAAGCAAAAAAAAGGGAGGCGGGTCGAACCCGGTTCATGTGGGCTGTACTCTGTGCACGTACTCTGTGTAGCGTGTACTCGATTCACGTGTACTCTGTGCTCCCGACTGGACCACGGCCACATCAACCACATAAAAACGGTTTTAAAACCGGGTTTTTCCAGTGGTCAAATAACAAATTTTAGCTTTAATTTGAGTCTAAGAAGTTCTACAGCTTCCAATAAGAAAAATGGTTGTTCTTAAATTGAAAATTGCTCAAGATCAAGGCCAAGTCCAGTTGTCAAAGTATTTGCAAATAAATTCTTCTAAAGCTTAACGAAAAACAATCAACCTCCTTAACTTCTGAAGGCTGAACTTTTCTATAAAGCTTTCCTTAAATCACGTATACTCTGTGCTCGAAATCGTAAGCACAATCTTTCTGATGTGCTGCGCAAATATTTGATTTGACGATTTCAAAGATTTGACGGGGAAAATTGAGTGCACCAGATCGTTTTTGTTTAGTTTTAATCAACGATTTTGAGTCTAAAGTGCTCTGAAGAATAAACAAAAGCTACAAAACAACAAAAAACAAACAAAAACTTATTTTTCTACTAATTTCTTGATGCAATCAATTTCCAGCAAGTTGTGGAGCATTATCAGGTGGAAATCAGGAATGTGTCAGTCATATGATGATCACCGTAGATGGTTCGGGATCAATGCCTGATCCCAATTCTGTTTTACAGGTATTCAATTCAATTTCAATTCAATTTCAATTCAATTTCAATTCAAATCCAATTCAAATCCAATTCAAATCCAATTCAAATCCAATTCAAATCCAATTCAAATCCAATTAAATTAAATTAAATTTCAATTTCAATTTCAATTCAAATCCTTTTCCTTTTAGATCCTCAACTTTCTCAATAGTACTTTAATGACGAAATGGGCCTACAGCGCAAAGAAAACTCAATTCTCCTATTCATTATATGGTTTGTAAAAAGAAAATTGATAAATAAAGAAATATAAGATATTTTATCTTAAAAAAACCTTATTATTTAACTATAAAATGGAATTTTGTAACTGATTCATTTAGAAATTTAACTTTTGCCAACTTGGCCAAAACTAAAACTTCTTTTTAAGTCATCACCCGGGCTTTATATCTTAAAAACTTCTTACTTTAGCTTCAAAAATATCAATCTGATAGTATACTTATAATTAGGATTGTTCTAAAGGACCTTAGGAGCTGGAAATCAGGCCAAAACTCGGCTAGATCTCAGCTCAAAATCGGACAAGTTCATGGCTTTTTTTGCCTTGTCAAACAAAACCTATCTTTATCCAAGAATCTTCTATAATATAATCCTTATCTTATAATTGGAATTATCTTTATCATTTAGGTCTCGTTGAGCGCACAAATCTTACCTGCAAGGGTTACAACACAGCCGGTCAATCCGATCCGGAACTCGTTTGTACCGCTTTGTCTCAATTGAGAGATTCGTACAATCGTGGAGTCAATGCACCGATTACACTCTTTGAGTGAGTGAAAATGTTTCAGAAAGAAGATTTTGCTAGATCTAAGCTTAAAATTCTACAGTAAATTGAAAAGCTTTCTAATTTTCTAGCATCACCACCGACATCTACAATTGCACGATAAAAGAGGAGGTTCGCGTCTACGATTTAGTCATCATATTCACGGCGAATAGGTGAAAATTTATTAAATTTCTTAAATCTGATAAAAAATTAAACGAGATGTAGAAGTTTGTAGCAAAAATTGATCAAAAATGAAAAATTTGAGCATAGTGACGGGGAAAATAGCGAAAATAGCGAAAATGACTCATCGGCTTTTCCCACAGCTATCTACCAGGCGCCTGTGCCAGATCGTGAGCGATTACTGACCGGCGCAAAGAACGCACAAAGAACACCCACATTACCCAGCTATTTCCCTCTTGCTTGGTATAGAAAGAAGATTTTAAGCTGTAAATTGGTATCCAAGGGTTTTTGTGGTCAAGGAATCGATTTCTGGGGTTCATTTTCTTGTAACTTTCACGGAAACTATCATTTCAGCAATCTCGGTGACATCCAGAACTCGGCCTGGTTTGCTGCTGAGCAACCGACAATTGTTGTCAATTTGGGTACTGGGGATTTCAGGTGAGTGATTGAATAAATGAAAATAATGCTTAAATAATGCTTTTACATGCAAATTTCAGCTCCTGGGTGGCGAAATCGGCAAGAACGACGATTTTGTGCAACGGAATGACGCTTAATGACGATTTGGCGAATCGAATTCTTTCGGCACAATGCTCGGGGATTAATGGTAAGTTTCGAATTGAAACTAGATTGAATTTAGCTGAAAATTTGAAGATTTTAATAGATTTTAAGCACTTATAGTCAGTGAAAGAAAGAACCAGGCATTTCCTTCTCCTCTCCCTTTTATACCCTCTTTTTTCGCTTCGAAATGAGAGACCCGGTGACTCAGTGGTTAGGGCGTCTCCCGCCGGTAAACAGAAGGTCTAGGGTTCGATTCCCTTTCAGGAAATCTTTCTTTGCCCGTCCTTTATTGCTTTATTTTCTAAAGCTGAAATCTTTTGATCTATTTAGGCATGGACCAGTGCAACGTTGTGGACAATTCGACAACCGTTCGCCCATCACAAGTCACCGCTTTGCCAACAGTTCCCGATGATCAAGCCTCGCTATGCGATTGTGATATCACGAAATCGTGGAATGATATTATGATTCTCGCCGATGCATCGTCAGCTATGGGATTGGATCGATTCCATGAGGTGTTTTCATTTCAAATTTCAGTATTTCCTCAAAGATTTCATTACAAGAATAAAGGGGAAATTTGGTGCAAGTGTTAAGGGTTTTGAAAGTTGTCAGCTTGTCAGCTGGTTTAGTTCAGTAAAACCTTCCTCCTCACTCAAACAGTCATCGATTATCGAGTGTACTTTGTGCTACAGAAAATGGAAAGCACATTCTTTCTGGTCTACAATAGTTATAAAGGGTTTTTAGGTGTATATGTCGTAGCTGATTATAAATGAAATTTTTTTTTGACAAACCTTTCTAGTAGATCAATTCTTTAATGAGGGCAATCATTATATCATTTTGTAGCGAATTAAATTCTGTGTCGATTTCTACGAAATTTATGAGTTTAAGTTGAAAATTGCGGGCGCTATAACATAAAATCGAAAGCGAATTAAATTAAAAGGAAAAAAAGCTCTAAGCCTAAGCCTAAGCCCCGAATTTCGGCTATTCTTTGATACCAAAGCGCGCATTGTAGCATAAACCAGTGTCGAGAAAAACTCGTTCAAAGCTAGACTACGCAACGCTCCGCATCGTCATTATGGGGGTGGGGTACTATTACAGTATTTACGGTACGTAAAAAATGGGTTTATTTGATTGGAAATGAAGAAGAATATGCAAATTTGATGAGATAAATGTAAATGAGCAAAGGAAATTCCCTTTCCAGCTCCAAGCTTTCGTCCAATCGGCCCTTTCTCAAGCGACAATGGGAGCCAACAATTATCAGACACAAGTCGGCGTCATCACTTATAACACCGGGGTAAACACACAGGCTTTATGATCTTTGTGCACTCAATAATTTCAGGCAACAATGGTCGCGAATTTGGATAAATACAAAAATATTGACGATTTTCTGTTTGATGATTGGGGCAAAACCGGAAGCGCTGACACGAATATTTTGGGGTTAGTTTAAAAGATACTTTATTCAACATGAATAAGTGGATACAACACAACGGAGGACACAATACCCAAAAGAGGAACACACTGATTCCAGTGAGATCGAAACTCGACCTCCTAGACCTCGCCAACGCTTAAGAAAAACAACCACAAGTCCAAGACATTTAAATGTAAATTTATAATTAAAATAATATATAATTAAAATTTTTAACTTAAAAACACGAAGTTTTTGTTTAAAAAAAAATCGATCAAGAAATGTTTATGGGTTTAAAAATGAAAATAATGACAGATTTTAGAGGTTTTAGAGGGTCCGACCCCCCTTTAATTTTTTTTTTCGACCCCCGCTACACTACGCAACCATTTTTGACGCACGCGCAAACGTTATAAGAGAGGCTATAAAACTAATTTTAAATGATAATTTGCAAATGAGTAAGCGTATTGGAATGAAATCTGTAGGGTATTGGAAGGAAATTTGTAGTTTCATTAGAATGAAATCTGTACCCTAATAGAAGGAAATCTGTACTTTCATTGGAATGAAATCTGTCCTGTATTAGAATATAATCTGTCCCTTATTTGAATGAAATCTGTCCCTTATTCGAATGAAATCTGTCCTGTATTAGAATGAAATCTGTTCCGTATTGGAATGAAATCTATCCCATATTAGAATGAAATCTGTCCCTTATTAGAATGAAATCTGTCCTGTATTAGAATGAAATCTGTCCTGTATTAGAATATAATCTGTCCTGTATTAGAATATAATCTGTCCCTTATTAGAATGAAATCTGTCCCGTATTAGAATGAAATTTGCACCGTATCCAAACGAAACTTTTCCTGAATTCGATTAAATCTGTACTGTGTTGGAATGAAATTTGTACCGAATGGGAACGAAATCCGTATGGTATATAAGCAAAAACTAAGATTCCAGTGCTGTTGACCTGGCTATTGACACCCTCGAGTCGCCAAAACATCGCCCGAAATCAAGAAAAGTGATGATCATTGGAGCGAGCACTTATCGGTAAACATTTGCCCAATATTTTCGAATTGAATTGAATTGAAGCGAATTGAATTTCGAATTTTCAACATTTAAAAACAATTTTCTATATACGAATTTTCATTTAATTAAAAATTTTCTAACAATTTTCTATATTAAATTGATTAGAATTAGAAATCTAATTGACTTCTAATTCTAATTAATTTTTAATTCTAATTGATTTCCAGTGAGGGCAATTATGAATTCCCGCAAAACCAGACGCTCACTTTCAAGCGAAATTTCGGCGTGATCATCGTGATTGGTGAGGGAAATCGAGAAAAATCTAAAATAAATCTAAGATTATGATTTTAGTTTAAATAATACCCCAGCTTTAGCAGGGTGAAAACTACAGTAATCCCTGGACACTGGCCCTTGGTCTATTGGGATTTGGCTCAAATTTTCTTTGCAATTCTACAGTATTCCGAAGACTCTAGATCTTAGATCTACAGTAATCCTAGATCCTAATAGCTAGCCACAGTAATCCTAGGCCTAAGCTACAGTAGCCCTCGACCTTAAGCTATAGTAACTCTAGGCCCTAAATTACAGTAACCAAGCCTTTTTGGCTCAAATTGATCGGCACAGGCTACAGTAATCCCTGAACTTACAGTACCCCAAGACCAGAATCCTAGATCCTACAGTAACCCCAAGCCTTCACATATAGCGATTCTATAAACCTTTTTATATCCAACTCATTATCCAGGCTATGGAGATATCCACGGAATGGGCACCGAAGTGCTCAAACAAATGGCTTCCGATGGATTTTACATTGATGCAACTCCAGGGCAATTCCCTGACTTCAAACAACTCACCAAGATGATTTGTGATGGTTTGCAGAATCTTCAAGTCTTTAAAAAGCTATTCAGCTAATTGCTTCTGCCCTGGCCAACAACAAGACGGATATTTCCCGGTCGTGAGAGACGGGGAATCGTGGCCGTCACAGGGATGTTATTGGGTAAGTACAATGTAGTTCATGCACTCTGTGGGGCCTAAGCACATCCTTTCTATTGCGCCAAGTTGCAGAAAGTTGATAGAAAAGTTTGCCAGAAGGGGTTGGTTTGCAGCTTTTCTAAGCACAAAGTTCAGCTAAAGGACAACAAGGCTGACTGAGGTCACTTTGGTTTCCTGGGTCAGAAGATTCTTTAGAAGATCCTAATCTTGTTATTTATCAATCTCATTCATCGAGCGATCCATTCAAACCATCCAGGACTCAACCCTCACCGCCATTCAACCGCTCGTCAATCGCACCTGTTCGACGCTCGTTTCAGCCGCTGGTGTCACGGCCATGCCAAACACGATCATAAAACAGAGGTCACTCATTGGCGGTGAGTTCGTTCTTTGTGCTTGTAAACACACCCTATCTAGTGGACTTTTCAAAATTCTAGGAGCTGCTCAAAATCTAACAAAGCCTGCTTTCTTTATTGGTCTTCAACGAGTAGCAAATGTTTGGAAATGGGATGATGGGACGGCTTATGTAATCTTTTTTCATTTATATTTATATTTATAGAAAATAAATATTCACATTAGGGAAATATTAAATAAGATTTAAATGTAAAAAAATTGAAAAAACAAACAAATTTTCTAGGAAGGTGGCGATATTTATGGAGCTGGTGACTGCTCTACGCTCAGACAGGGATCTGGTGGGCATTTTTGAGAGAGAAATAGATCTATCTAAATATCGAAATATCTAAATATCTAAATATCTAGATATCTAGCCATTTAGTAGATCTTGATAATATCAAAATCCAGGCTTCAACACGAATATCACCGCTGTGGATTGTCACGAGGGATACTATTACGCTTGTCAAACGAAACCCTGCACCTCCAGCTACTATTGTGAATAAGTGTGAATATTTTTGATTTGATTGATTATATTGATTATATTGATTAGATTTTTGATTATATTTTGTCTTATTCATGTATTTCTATTAATAAACTAATGGTTTATGGAGATTTTTCAAGAAGCAACACTACCAGAGCATCCCGACGGAAGATCTTCATTTGACACCCTATTTTACAGATTTTACCCTAATTTCAAGCTAAAATGAATAGCTCCAATCGATTCACCGACCCCGAAAACCCCTGCACACAAATCTACAGCTGAATATCTTTTTACAAAGCCAAAGAAAAGTCACTGTGTAAAGTGACTGGCGAGATGTTCTTTGTGCGCGTTCACAATCGCTCTCCAGCTGGCAAATGGCTCTAGCATAAGGTGGTTCCCTTTTGGGCTCGCTAAAGTAAAAGGATCGGTGGGCGGTTAAGATCCCTTGATGCTAATTAAAATTTAGTGCTGATTAAACTTAGTATTAGTAGGTTCTATATAATTAATAGTCAGCTATTAATTATATAGAAAAAATTGCTCTTCATATCCTTTAACTCTAAAATATTCAATCAGCTAAATGAAATCTGCTACAAACACAACTTTTATTATTTTAGCATCCCATTTCTGTCACACGTTTCGCTTTAATTAATCAGTCTCATATTTCTGTTTTTTTGCATATCAATAATATTTGTCTATTTAGATACGATGAAAATGACGATTTCTTTGGAGCGAAAGAGAGAAAGTTTGTGAGAAAAGGATGGGGAATTGGAATCTCTCTGGAATTAGCCTCTGGAATTGGAATCTCTCTGGAATTGGCCTCTGGGATTTGGAATCTCTTTGGAATTGACCTCTGGAATTGGAATCTCTCTGGAATTAGCCTCTGGAATTGGAATCTCTCTGGAATTGGAATCTGGAATTGGCCGACGCACATCCGCGCGAAAATGTGTTTTCTATAGGATTTTTACGTTTGAATAGCCGATTGACGCAGAAAAATGTGCTGAATCCGAAAATAAAAGAATTTTTGAAATGCCTTTGACAAATTTTTTAAAAATCGAGTTTTAGTGATTTTACTGTGTCAAATTTCAGCCATATTTTATTCGTTATTGTTCTTATATTTGTTATAGCCACGTCGCGACGTGTTCAAACTCCCCTATGAAATTCAAACGATTTTACGAACAAAAATGAAGATTTTTAAAGAAATCAATGATGGGAGGAAAAAGAAACGAAATCGTCTTCGAGGAAAGAAACACAATCTGATCAAAGAAGCTCTTTTCTTCGGTTCGAGATACGAAAATGCACCTCTTTATCGACTGATTCTCAAGGAAAAGGCTCTTGAATTTGCGATAATTTGCGAGAATATATTGAAGTCTTCGAAAGTGATACGAAAACAAGCATACGAAGCTACCATTTTGCAATAATTCTTGCGAGATAGAGATGATCTGTTCATTATGAAAGCGTGCTATAGAATCGAAGACTTTCAGCAACAATCAATTACAACATCAAAGCAAACGGAAATTCTTGTTTTTTATCAATATAATCAATCAAATCAAAAATATTCACACTTATTCACAATAGTAGCTGGAGGTGCAGGGTTTCGTTTGACAAGCGTAATAGTATCCCTCGTGACAATCCACAGCGGTGATATTCGTGTTGAAGCCTGGATTTTGATATTATCAAGATCTACTAAATGGCTAGATATCTAGATATTTAGATATTTAGATATTTCGATATTTAGATAGACCTATTTCTCTCTCAAAAATGCCCACCAGATCCCTGTCTGAGCGTAGAGCAGTCACCAGCTCCATAAATATCGCCACCTTCCTAGAAAATTTGTTTGTTTTTTCAATTTTTTTACACTTCAATATTATTTGATATTTCCCTAATGTGAATATTTATTTTCTATAAATATAAATATAAATGAAAAAAGATTACATAAGCCGTCCCATCATCCCATTTCCAAACATTTGCTACTCGTTGAAGACCAATAAAGAAAGCAGGCTTTGTTAGATTTTGAGCAGCTCCTAGAATTTTGAAAAGTCCACTAGATAGGGTGTGTTTACAAGCACAAAGAACGAACTCACCGCCAATGAGTGACCTCTGTTTTATGATCGTGTTTGGCATGGCCGTGACACCAGCGGCTGAAACGAGCGTCGAACAGGTGCGATTGACGAGCGGTTGAATGGAGGTGAGGCTTGAGTCCTGAATGGTTTGAATGGATCGCTCGATGAATGAGATTGAATCTTCTAAAGAATCTTCTGACCCAGGAAACCAAAGTGACCTCAGTCAGCCTTGTTGTCCTTTAGCTGAACTTTGTGCTCAGAAAGGCCGCAATCCAACCCCTTTAGGCAAACTTTTCTATCAACTTTCTGCAACTTGGCGCAATAGAAAGGATGTGCTTAGGCCCCACAGAGTGCATGAACTACATTGTACTTACCCAATAACATCCCTGTGACGGCCACGATTCGCCGTCTCTCACGACCGGGAAATATCCGTCTTGTTGTTGGCCAGGGCAGAAGCAATTAGCTGAATAGCTTTTTAAAGACTTGAAGATTCTGCAAACCATCACAAATCATCTTGGTGAGTTGTTTGAAGTCAGGGAATTGCCCTGGAGTTGCATCAATGTAAAATCCATCGGAAGCCATTTGTTTGAGCACTTCGGTGCCCATTCCGTGGATATCTCCATAGCCTGGATAATGAGTTGGATATAAAAAGGTTTATAGAATCGCTATATGTGAAGGCTTGGGGTTACTGTAGGATTTAGGATTCTGGTCTTGGGGTACTGTAAGTTTAGGGATTACTGTAGCCTGTACCGATCACTATTCACTTCTGAATTCATTTTGAGCATTTTAAGCAGAAAAGAAAAAAAAAACTCGCCGATAACAATGATCACTCCGAAATTTCGCTTGAAACTGAGCGCCTGATTGGTGGGAAATGGATATTTGCCCTCACTGGAAAGATTTTTTGGTTTAAAAATTGTAGATCTTTTAATCAGATTTATATTTTTTATGTTTTTTTGAATTTTCTCACAAAACTTGGATAATTAAACCGGCCTTTATTAAAATTAAATTAAATTAAACGGGCTTTCTGGTGCTCTCAATTCAACGCAGTGTGCCAGGCACTGCTTTTTCGTACAAGCGACACAGAAAGAACGCACAAGAGCTATTAGAGAAACAAAAAAATAGAGCATCAAAAGGGGATTTCATTCTAGACTCTTTAAACTACCGTAATCCATTAGATACTACTTATTCTACAAAATGCTAAAGATGCTGTAGATACAGACAGACAGGCAGACAGACAGACAGACAGGCAGACAGACAGACAGGCAGGCAGGCAGGCAGACAGACAGACAAGCAGGCAGGCTGACAGGCAGACAGACAGATAGACAGACAGACAGACAGATAGACAGACAGACAGATAGATAGACAGACAGTAGATACTGTAGCATCTTATACTGTGGTATTCTTTAGTATTTTAGGGTTACTTTTGAATAACTTTCTACCGATAAGTGCTTGCACCCAAAATGATGACTTTTCTCGATTTGTCTCGATGAGATAACGAGCTCAGCTCATCAATCGCAATGTCGATTCCACTAAAAGTCAACTCTACTCTTTAAAACGATATTTAAACATTTATTTGTCGAATATTTGTGAGGAAATGAATATTTACCTTTATTGAAAAGATTTTCGATCTTTTAAATGATATTTAATTGAAGTAAAAAGCTTTCAAAAAAACCCCGAAACATTCGTCCCATCTCCATCAAGAAATGGCCATTGATCCGTCAAAAATGACATCCTATCTTCATATTTTGTGAGTTTTGCTACAAGAGCTGCTGAAAAATTGAAAGATATGGATATTTGTAGCTTTGTAGCTACTTTGTAGCTTTTTAGCTACTTTGTAGCTTTTTAGCTACTTTGTAGCTTTTTAGCTACTTTGTAGCTTTTTATCCTCAGCACAAAGTACTTTATGCTCAAGTGTAAGCGCACCACTTCTCGGGCAGCTGTCTATTTTGCAAAAATGAAGCCAAAGAGCAGAGTACACACAAAAAACGAACTCGAATCCGCATAGGAGACCACTCCAACTCTTGTCGAGTATGGCTCACTTTTACTGATCGTGATTTCACTCATCGCTCTCAAAATGAACTCTCGCAACTGAATAGATTACGTTAATTCAATAGGCTTTTGATTTTCTCTAAAAGTTAAAGTACTTTTACGGAGTTACAGTAGCTAACAAGGGAACCTTTCCAAGTTACTCACGAGTTACAATATGAGGTAACAATATGAGCTAACAATATGGGTCAAAAGAAGGGCCTGAAAATGTACGTTCAGAAACTCTTTTCAAAAATCGCTAATCGGTAAAACGCACAAAGTTATAGCAGTTTGAATTTCGAAAAAATAAAAAAACGTACATTTTCAGGCCTTTCTTTTGGCACTCACCTCATATTGTAACTCGTGAGTAACTTGGAAAGGTTTCCTTGTAAAATGAGCTACAATACAGGCCTTTCTTTTGGCATCTACCTCATATTGTAACTCGCATGTAACTTGGAAAGGTTCCCTTGTAAAATGAGCTACAATGCAAGCCTATCCTTTTACTTCTCTAAAAGGTTACTATACTTTGACTATTTTTTTCAAAAAGTAAACCGGTGACTTTCATTAAATCTAAAGCTTTTATCAAAGTCCATTCAAGTACAGTAAGTCAATTGATAGCTTTTTTCTTAAAGGTAATTTTAGAATTGATAGCTTTTCCTAAAGATAACTTCACCTAAAGATAACCAAACCTGATTAAAACTCTCGTTTCCCATTGCTGACGATGAATCGATTACAATCATAATGTCATTCCACGATTTCGTGATATCACAATCGCAAATTGACGATTGATCATCGGGTACTGTAAACGGTAAGGACTGGCTTTTACAATCCTATTCATTATCATTAGCATTCCTACAAATTACCGGAGGAATCGCCTCACCTTGAGTCGACGAGGGAATGAGTTTCGTGCCACCGTGGCACTGATCTTCTCCTGAAAACTTCTTTAAAAATACATTTATTCACACGGTACAAACAATCCACAAGCAGCCCTAAGCCCTAAATCTAGGGAAAACCCATATATATGAAAAAAAGAACTAAAAATCTAGGCGGAGGGATTGAATACGAAGCTCTTAGCCAGTCGGCCATGAAGACACCCTTGGACTAGAAGGAAAGAAGAAGTTTTCTCATCTCTTTAGCCTGTTCTCTGTCAGTTCAAGTGAGGATTTTTAAACAGGAGCCTTGATGACGCCATGGCCGACTGGCTAAGATCCTTGTCTCTTTATCGAGAGGTCGAGGGTTCAGCCCCGGCAACTGCACTTTTGGTTCGTTTTTTTCATATAAATTGTTTTTTCTTCTCTACATTTAGAGCTTAGAGTTTGTACTTGTGTATTGTAAATATTGGTTTTTTAAAATCTCATTTACTTTAGATTTGTTTAGATTTGAAAAATGTTGCTGTCAATGACCTGTAATCCTCCCACAAGCGGAATCAATGATTCGATCTGCTTGCGTGTCATCATAATCGAGTGAATTGCAAAGAATTGTTGCCCCACCCTCGGAAACCCATGAGCTGAAGAGGAAATTGTTTTTGCCGAATAACTAACATTACCTATAGTCTCCTTTACCGAGATTCACGACTAAAGTCGGCTGTTGCTTTGAGAACCATGAAGATTTTGTGATATCACTTTGATTACTGAATAGGAAATTAATAAAAAATGAATAACAAATTTTTGATTACTAAATCACAAATGAATATAATATAATTTACAAATTGCAATATTTTTTATGATAGCAATTACTTGTTAGCAGTGAAGAGAATGACAAAGTCGTAGGCTTTCGTTTCGTCTGGTGCCGCGCAATTGTAGATGTCGGTGGTGATTCTAGGAATATCAAAGTAGAAAAGTATGAATAATTAATAGTACTGTTGCAAGCTGGCCGATGCCAAGACTCCTCTTTTGAATGAGTCGCGGAGAAGCGCAAGTGCGTCGCAGACGATTGGCGGATTTGATTGGCCGTAAGTTATATAACCGAAACAAAACAGATTTGAGAGATCAGCGAGACCTAAAGCTGTTTTTTTGTTTGTCTGTCTGTCTGTCTGTCTGTCTGTCTGTCTGTCTGTCTGTCTGTCTGTCTGTCTGTCTGTCTGTCTGTCTGTCTGTCTGTCTGTCTGTCTGTCTGTCTGTCTGTCTGTCTGTCTGTCTGTCTGTCTGTCTGTCTGTCTGTCTGTCTGTTTTTCATTCTACTCTTGCTAGTAACAAACCATAAAGCGAAAAAGAGAACAACGTTTTCTTCATCGAACTCCATTTCGGCATTAAGGTGTTAGAGACAAAATCGATCGTCTAAAGATTTTACAAATTCATACCAACCACACACTTACCCTTAATGCCAAACTTTGATCGATCATATAGTTAGAGGCATCAATTGCGATCATTACATGACTCACACAAGGCAAATTTTCTCCCGTCAACGCTGGGCATTGTCCTGTAAAATGCTAGACATTTTTCTTGCTACACTTTCTTTTCTTTTCTTTCTTGCTACCTGGCACAGTATACCGTACAGTATGATTGAACTACCGGATAATCGTTTATATGCCAGCTGAAGGATTCGACAGCTATTGGGTTTGTAAGAATGAAATTTTTGTTTAAAATGGTTGTGTTTAAAATTTTCTAAGTCACCGATTGATTTACAGTTTTTTTTTCTATCAAAAACCTCTATTAATACTCAAAAAAATTGCTTTTTAAAGTTTCTGAAAAGCTTTTATTTTTAAGATTTACGATAGACGAGAAATAAAGTAGTCAAAGCATATAGTCAAATTTTCACATCAATCTTTCTAGCCTAAGATTACAAGAAACAGGCTCAAATATGCCTTAAAAAAAGAAAAAATGTAAACGATAAATGCTTCTAATAAAGCAAACCGTAAGTCAATCGGTGAATTAGGGAGTTTTAAACATAGAACCATGGCAAATAGCGACATTTCATACTTGCAGACCCAATACAGTATGACACGTATAGTGTAGCCGCATACTGTAGCCTGCTGAAGCCTGCTAAAGCCTACTGTAGCCTATTGTAGCCTACTGAAGCCTATTGTAGCCTACTGAAGCCTGCTGAAGCCTACTGTAGCCTATTGTAGCCTGCTGAAGCCTATTGTAGCCTACTGAAGCCTATTGTAGCCTACTGAAGCCTATTGTAGCCTAGTGAAGCCTGCTGAAGCCTACTGTAGCCTATTGTAGCCTGCTGAAGCCTATTGTAGCCTACTGAAGCCTATTGTAGCCTACTGAAGCCTATTGTAGCCTACTGAAGCCTGCTGAAGCCTACTGTAGCCTATTGTAGCCTGCTGAAGCCTATTGTAGCCTACTGAAGCCTATTGTAGCCTACTGAAGCCTATTGTAGCCTACTGAAGCCTATTGTAGCCTACTGAAGCCTGCTGAAGCCCACTGTAGCCTATTGTAGCCTACTGAAGCCTGCTAAAGCCTACTGTAGCATACTGAAGCCTACTGGAGCCTACTATAGCCGTATACTGTAGCCTGCTGTAGCCTACTGAAACCAGTGCAAACTACCGCATTCCTCCGCTACCGTAAGCCAGTACACTGCCTACAGTAGGCTACAATATACCGGATGAATACCATAGTGAGACAAGAGGACAAGGCTCATAACACTACACTTTTTGACTTAAAGTAATCGAATTGAAAATTATTGATAGATCGAAAACCAACCAGCTTCCGTTCTTGCAAAAGCGAAAAGAATGAGCACCAGAATGGATTTGAGCGACATTTCCCACCAACGAAATTCCATCAAATCTTCCCCCAGCGCTTATAAGCAAAAAAAACTTTCGCTTTACCAACTGATAAACTGTGATTTCATTCAATTCCCGAATTTTCCACTCAAACTTTTCGAAAATCTGTAAATTTACGTAAATTTGAAAGAAAGACTCTGCTTATCGCTTTTTGACGCTTTTTTGGCTTACGGCTTTTGTTTTTTTTTTGTCAAATTTTTGATTTTCCTTCATTTTTTTTGAGGAAAAAGCAAAAAAAATTGATTAAAGAATAGCAGATTTTAGTTAAAATAATTGTTTTTTTTTTCTTGAAAAAGTTATGGAATTCTGGGATTTGATGATAGATCATGAAGCGTTTTTGCAAGTGAAACTTTTGAATTGCTTTTCTAAAGAGAACACTTTAGGCTTTCAAATGATACAAAATAGGGGTTGATTGGATTGGGGAATACTGAGAAAATTGAGAGACAAAACTCTCGAGTTGATCGCCATGTTTTCCCAGTTTAGCTGCTCTTTTAGTAATCGTTTAACGGGATGTAGGATTTGTGGTGAAAATAGATTAATAGATTAATAGATAAATAGATAAATAGATAAATAGATAAATAGATTAATAGATAAATAGATTAATAGATAAATAGATAAATAGATTAATAGATTAATAGATTAATAGATAAATAGATTAATAGATAAATAGATAAATAGATTAATAGATAAATTTAAGGCGAAAATTGTTCCAAAACGCATGCTGACGATACTGATGAGCAAAAAAGCCAAAAATCGAAGCAAAAAAAATCAAAATCGAAGCAAAAAAGCCAAAAATCGAAGCAAAAAAATCAAAATCGAAGCCAAAAACAGCGAAGCCGGCTCAGTCACTTTCACTCCTTTCACTTTACGTCCCTTTACTTTACCGAGTCCAAAAGTTGATCGCATTGTTTTCCCAGTTTAGCTGCTGTTTTAGTAATGTAAACGTTTAAGAGGACTAGCCAGAAATCCTAACGCCTAAACGCGGGTTTTTCTGGCTGAATTTTTTGCGGTTGACAGATACAGGGTGCGTCAAAAGTTCCCGTACTTTTATTTTCTGTATTTTTAGTGATGTTAGATAAAAGATACGATTTTAAAAGCAAGAAATTCGAATTCCTCGCGAAAAACTGATTTATAAAACGTTTCTGGTTAATTGCAATAGAAGTGATTGAGAAGAGGGTCCACTCAGATTTTTAGCTAAAAACTTGAGCTAAAAAATGTTTAAAGAGCTCAAGATTTCGAGGAGTCGAAGGAGGGTCTTCTATTAGAGTTTTTTCTACGGTAAGTAATGAGTAAATACTTGTAAATATTAGTCCTTGGATGGAAATTAATCAACCCAATCCTAGCAACCCCAAAATGTGATCGTTTCTCGAGTTCGGATCTCTCGACCATTTCCACTCCAAATGACCACAAATCAAGGCTCAGATTTGTTGTTCAAAAGGCTTGGAAAATAAAAATCTTTGGTCGCACAGTTATTTCCTTTGATGGGAATTTATATGGGAAATAGTTACAGGGCACCGTTACAGGGCACCGTTACAGGGCACCGTTACAGGGCACCGTTACAGTTATTTCCTTTGATGGGAATTTATATGGGAAAACCAAGTTCTAACTTGACTTCCGACTCGGTCGTTGACCAAAATTTTGTACACAACTTTATACACAATTCACATTTTATGTCTAGTTTTCGAAAAACATCTTGACTCTTGAAAATCTTTTGATCCATAAAAGTTACAGAACTGAAGCCCCAAAAAAAAATGTGCGACCAAAGCGCCCATGAGCGCCCCTGAGCGCCCCTGAGTGGACTCCCTTCTCAATCACTTGTCTTAAATAGCGTTGCAATTATAAATTAACCAGAAACGTTTTCTAAATCAGTTTTTCGCGAGGAATTCGAATTTCTTGCTTTTAAAATCGTATCTTTTATCTAACATCACCAAAAATACAGGAAATATAAGTACGAGAACTTTTGGCGCACTCTGTGTTTTGGTTTATTGAATATTGGTTTATTGGTTTATTGGTTTATTGAATTAAAAGAAATTGTGATACTTTTTGTTGTTGTATCAATCTGAACGAATAAATTTGGATTCTATTTGACTCTTTGTACTTGTAGTACTTATAGAAAGGCGATTTGAGTCATTACAATCAGAGCTTCTTTAAATTTTTATGAGTTTTTCAAGCGAAAAGCGATGTTTAACAATTCACAAATGCAATCGAGTCGTGGATTGCTTCCGAGAGAATTCAAACCGATTAACAAATTGATAATTTGACATAACTTGCCACTTAAAGTTGTAAAAAATCAGCTTTTCTCAGCGCTTATTTATCGACATAATCGAATAAAAAAGTTGATTAAAAGGATTATCGATCACATTACAAACAAAAAATGTTTCAAGATGTTTTTAAGATAAACGAAAATTAACTTTGTTGAATCGATGAAATCTTTTGATTCTTTGCTCATCATTTTACAATTCTTTTGTCAAATAATGTCAAATTCTTCAAGTTTTATTATCGTTACCATATTTTCTCTAATAGTAGTGCACTCTAAGCTTTGCGCTTTGCCTAAATTCCTCGAAATCTCGAGAACCGCTTATCAGAACCTATCGATGTGGGGTCGGAAAATGTAGCTGACGATGAGATCTAGTGGGGGATTTGAGTGTTGAGCATCTGCAAATCCGAGGGTGCTAACTAAGCTAACTAACTAATATCGTTGCGAAGAGAGTTGTCATTGTTATTGCCATTGTCACCTATATCTTACTAAAGATTAAAAGCACTATAACTACCGTAATCTTGAAGCTTTGCGGCTGAATTTTTGAGTTATTCGCAAGAGTCGATTTTATCTACCGTATTCTCTCTAATAGTAGTGCACTCTAAGCTTTGCCTAAATTCCTCGAAATCTCGAGAACCGCTTATCAGAACCTATCGATGTGGGGTCGGAAAATGTAGCTGACGATGAGATCTAGTGGGGGATTTGAGGGTCGAGCTTCTGGGAAAGCTTTGAAACTGTAAAATAGTCATCAAATCGACTCAGTGGGGTGCACTACTACAATACTAATACACTACTGTATTAGAGAAAATTTTGGTATTTACGGTATTTTGTAAAGCGCTTGGATAAATGCTTCTTTAAAGTCGAAAAAAGTTAATTTGACTTGAAAGTTAATAGACTTGAAAGTTAATAGTTATCGTATTTACCGTATTTACTTTAATAAAAGCCCTCCCACCCTCCCTCCAGTCGCATAGTCGATCGATTTATTTACAAAATCTTTTTTCTCAACTATGATTTTGGTATCAAAAGATAGCTGAATTCAAGAGCTATCGATTGACACACAAATGGACATTGTAGAAGAAAGGAGCTCGAAGAATGAAGCGCTTGAAGTATTGCCCCAATCCCCATCGATTATCCTGATCTAGTGTCTCCAGCACAGTAAATGAATCTTTTTTATGAATTTCCTTGATGGGGGCATATGCTCACAAAAACCGATAATGCATTCAAGAAAATTGGGAGTCCATTGCACTAGAAAGAGTGCGTTTACAGTTGACTTAAATCCCCATGCTTAAAAATGTTCAATTGATTGCTTTAAACCTATTTTTTTGCTATTTATTTTTGCTAAGTGTTTTTTTTTGTTTCAGAATCTCCCCCATCGCGGTCAAACAACTCTGCAATTCGTGTGAAGAAAGATCAATTGGTGAGTTCATTCAAAGAACAACTAGCTTGTTAGTCATAAGATAAAGAGGATAATTGTTATACTTTTCACCTTTCACAGCTAGTACAAAGCCTTCAAAAGAGTGTCAGAGAATAGAGAATTCTTTAATTCTTCATTATTCTATAGATTCTTCATTATTCTTCATTATTCTATAGAGAATTCTTCATTAAAGTGAATTCGAAAAGATTCAGCAACATAATTCTATTGCCACATTGATTTCTCGTTTCTTTATCCGATCTCGTTCATTCATTTCCAATTGTACTTGATCAATTCAAGTACTAAGTATACAAGTAATCAATTTCCTTTTGCTTGTGATCGTTTAATTGTGATTTTCAATCGTACGTGATCTTTTCCTTTTGCTTGAGCTATCAATGGATTAATAGAGATTTTAAAGGTTTCATTTTTATCACAAATATTTATTTGTTATATGTAAACATTTAATTTTTGGTTTAATATTAAATTAGAGAGCGGTGTGGATTTGGAGAGGAGTTTCGGGCAGTGTTGAGTCCGAGAATGTCGGGGTGACCACGCGAATCTCTTCCTCGCGATTGCCTGTAACTAATTTGCTTGTACTAGAAAAATTCAGGTATCCAGTGGGCCAGGAAGCCAGCGTTTACAAGATCGAGCACACAAAGTGCATCCTTTTCTTCCTTGACTGGCTTTCTCTTGTGCAAGTAATCTTGTGAACGCACTTTTTCTGGTGCACTGGTTTCTCCATTTCTTGAGACATTTTTCTGTAAGAGAGTGTAGAATTAAGTGCACCAGATATAGTGCGTTTGCCCATTGGTGAGCACAAAGTACACCGAGAAGAGCGTTTTACAAACCCCAGATCTTTGCTCGTTCTTTGTGCTCTTGGGTAAACGCACCCTTTCTGGTGCGCTTAATTCACAGAAAACGATAGTGCCTTCAAGAAAACCGGGAATCCAGTGCAGTAGAAAGAGTGCGTTTACAGTTGAGCCAAAGTACACTAGAGTTCTTTGTGCTTATAGGTAAACGCATCTTTCCTAGCGCGCAGGGAATTCTCTTATTTTTCTTGCTACTTTTCATGAGAAAAATAGGAATTTAGTGCACGAGAGAGGGTGTGTTTCTCATTAACTTTTTAAGCACAAAGTACACTCACCAGTCGCATGTGAGCGAACTCTTCTGATCGAGACGCGACGACCGACAACCGATGTACCAAAGAGGGCACATCTAAAATTTTCCCATTCTTACAGTAATCAAAGAGACTACAGTACACCGTGCCGTGCAAAGTCAAAGTCTATTCTCTAAAACGTGCCCCCACAGTTTAGGGCCTAGAGTTACTGTAGCTTAAGGTCTAGGGCCACTGTAGCTTAGGTCTAGAATTCCTGTAGCTTAGGCTTAGGCCACTGTAGCTTAGGTCTAGGATTCCTGTAGGATCCTGTAGGTCTAGGATTCCTGTAGCTAGCTATTAGGATCTAGGATTACTGTAGATCTAAGATCTAAAGTCTTCGGATTACTGTAGACTTACAAAGGAAATTTGAGCTAAATCCCAGTAGATCAAGGCTCAGTGTCCAGGGATTCCTACACCCAGAAGAGCATTTTACTAAACCCCAGATCTTTAGAGTGTGTTCCTCGCGAGTAAGTAATTACTCGAATAAAATTTGCATAAGTAATTTTTTACTCGATTAATCGACGTTTTTTTGTCGAGTAACTACGAGTAATCCTCTTTACACCGCGTGTAAATTGAATATCTTTGAACATTTGAAGGGAATTTGCCACCAAATCAGTCGAACGGTTGAATATCTTTAAAAAGAGTCGTATATAAGCCGTCGCTCGTGATTTTTTTGGCGCCAATTTTTTCGCAATAATTTTCGCTAAAAGTATGGTACCTTTTTTTTAAGCGTGCGTTTTCAAAAAAAAAAAGGCATCACTTGCGAGGAACACACTCTAGTATTGTGATGGTATCGAATATTCGATCCAATTTCAATTCCAGAAAGCCAATGGCTTAACGTCACTCTTCGTCTTGTATGAAACGAGGAAAAAAACACGAAATGGATATCATTTTTGCATAATATTCTAAATATTCATTAGATTATTAAAATTTTGACAAAAAATTAGCATATTTTTAGCATTGTACAGCTTTTTACTTGCTAAAAATACCTAGCTCCAACAAAAGTACAACAAAAGAACAACAAAGCTGTACTTTGTGTGCTTTCTGCACTTTTTAAATGCACTTTAAATGGCGCCAATTTTTCGCAACAAATTTTCGCTAAAAATTACGGCAATTTTTCCGAAGTTTGCGTTTTAAAAAGCGCATTACTCGTGAAGAAAACACTCTACAAAACTTTGCTCTATGTATGCTCTTCTCTCTATTTTATTGAATCCAATTTTTTTTTTCTTGATTTATAAAGAGTACAAAAAAAAGGATGGAAATAAAAATAAATAAGATTACGATAGTTGAGGTAAAAGGGCATGTTTTAGAAAACGGAGAAATGAAAACTTTTTCTCGCCACTGACCTCTCCGGACGAATCTTCAAAAATTGAATAAAACCAATGACAAAACTACCAAAAACACTGGCCACGTTGAAGAAAACTGAAAATTATTAATTTGGGGGAGATTTCTTTGCGATCTTAGTCATTTGAAAAAAGAACAATTTTATATGTCGCAGCCGCTCGTGATTTTCAGCGGCTAGTGATTGAATCACCATCGGCTAGTGATTGAATCACCATCGGCTAGTGATTGAATCATTATCGGCTAGTGATTGAATCATTATCGGCTAGTGATTGAATCACCATCGGCTAGTGATTGAATCACCATCGGCTAGCCGCTAGTGATTCAATCACTAGCCGCTGAAAATATAGGGCTGCGACTGCGACATATATATGTCGTAGCCGATTATGAATGAAATTTTTTGGTAAATCTTTCTAGTAGAGTAATGTATGAGGACAATATTATATCATCCTCTAGCGAATTAAATTCTGCGTCGATTGGTACCAAATTTGTGAGTTTAGGTTAAAAATTGCCGGCGCTACAACGTTTCATTCAAAATCGGCGGGACCTCCGTAGCCGATTATGAATTTCAGCCGATTATGAATGAGTGGGTCTAGAAGCGTCCAACCATCAAGTATTTGGTATCATTCAACGCAGAATTATTAATAATTATGTTAAATTTTTAAAATTAGAAAGATTTGATAAAAAGAAAAAAAAACTTATGGGGCTTCAAAGTTTTCTCTTGAATAAACAGTTTTTTTGCTCTAATTTTTTTTTCTTTTTATCAAATCTTTCTAATTTTAAAAATTTAACATAATTATTAATGATTCTGCGTTGAATGACACCAAATACTTGATGGTTGAACAGGTCCGAATCAGCTCATTCATAATCGGCTGAAATTCATAATCGGCTGCGGCATCTATACAATTCGACATTTCCTCCCTTACACATCCCGTTCGCTTCCGAGCTCATCACATCCGTGTACCCGATTTTCCAGTTCTTGAAAGCGATGTCGAAGTTGAAACGCTTAAATTTTTTGTTTAATTTTGATTACTTCAGCGTCAGCATTGACAAAAAAGTCCAAAAATGGCTTTTAATCAATCTTAGACTCGAATTTTCAACTCTACCCTTGGCTTTGTTTAGAAATTTAGCTCTTTTCTCAACCAAAATCAGTTTTAAGACTTTCCGGGCTTTTGGGAATTGTCTTAGAAAAATTTATGATAGTAAAAATGTTTTCCAACTCACCAAAAGTGTGAAGAGCACCTGGCCGAAGTTGACGCATTTGAACAAGACGACCATGTTGAACTGCTCGAGGTAGTCCTGAACTTTCGCTATTTGTATCTTTGAGTACTCATTGCTATTCATTTTACAGCTTTTCTATCCAAAAAACGAATGAAACCTGTGTCATTTTCAGCAAAATGTGCGTTATGTAGACACCGGTGATCGCCGAAACTGCGCCCAGTCCGTTTAGCACTTGATTTGCACTGAAAATTTCTGTAATTCAGAAAAGAACCGTTTTCTGAAAGCTGTTAGCTAAAATTCAACTCTATTATTCACGTAAATACGTAGGAAAACAGTTTTTCCAAAAAAACAAAAAAGTGACGAGAGTGGGACTCGAACTTGAGGAGAAGTGATGGAATAGCTTTGTCAGTCTAGCAGACTATCCACTAGACCATGGAAGCAGCTGTCCGGGGGCCTTCTAACAGCTTCATAAAACTCTGGTTTCCTATCTTCTTGCTTCTTCTTCTTGGAAATTGCTTGATAACCCAAATACAAATGGAAAACTGCTATAGTACTCCAACAGTAGCATCTTTGCGTAGGATTTTAAAGTTTACCGTAACCCAAAGCACTGTAGCCGTAGATAAACTTTAACTTTAGAAAAACGAGATTTTAAAGTTGTACAGCAAATAAATGAGACTCACATCGAGTCTTCAGGGACTTTTTCGAGAATCAAAACGATAATCGTCACTTGGATAATGACTCGAACAAGGGGCGATTGAACGACGAAATATTGAAGTCGTTGAAGGTTCTCTCTAAAGAGATTTCTTTTTACAATTGAAAGAAAGTCGATAAGCAAGAGTTGAAGATCAGATTTTAAAATCGATTTTTTGTTGCTTCAACAAATCAATGATCGACTTACGGTGTTGGCTCAGCTTTTGGCCAACACTTGCAGCAACAACAAAATGGAGTTGTCGCGAAGTCGATCACTCGATCACTGGAAAGTGACAGTGAATGATGTAACATTAGTAAATCGGTACAAAGTACGTAGACAGTACAAAGTACAAAGTACAAGGTACAAAGCGCGTACACAGTACAAAGTACAGAGTTCATGTACAAAGTACAAAGAACTCTGTAAATCTTTGGTCTCACTTCCTTTTCAACCATTGTGAGAACTGTTGCCGTCCGCCGAACAACTTGTACACTAAATCGACAACCCGGTACAGACAAGCCATTAAATATCTGAAAGATAATGACGAGTGTACAGTCGCGTAGTCGAACTTGAAATGTCTTATACTTTGCGCTCGTTCAAGCTACAGTATGCTACAGGATGTCAAATGATAGCCCTTGAAATCTAGGATTTTTTTAGTATCAAAAAAGTAGTTGAGAAAAATCTAGAGGCTGAGAAAAAGAGGAAGTTAGACTACGCGACTGTACGATGAGTTCGCGGTCTACTAGAGGCTTTACGGGAATATTTAAACGTAAAACTTAGCTAATACTTTTCTATTGATCTCTTAAAACTCACGTCAGTCCGATGGCGTACATCAATTCAGCCGATCGGGGCATACAATTACCGATCATTGAGAGGACACTCACCACCTAGAAAACTCATCAAATGAATGATTAAATGAATTTATTTTGTGATCAACAAACTAGGGAAAGGCACAAAAGATGGTGAGCTTTTGTCTGGACACTATAGAATCGGGTACGGAGAATCCGAATCTCAAATCAAAATCTATCAAATGACTTTCCAGCCAAGCCAAGCCAAACCAAGACAAGCCAAGCCAAGTCAACCCAAGCCAAAACCAAACCAATTGTTTTCAATTGGTCTCAAGGTGAGCTTTTGGACACCTAGCGCACTTTATAGAATCGGGTATGAGGAACCCGAATCTGAGATCAGAATTTGTCAAATGACTTTCCAGACGTTTAAAAGTTCAATCGAAAATTTGGCGTTAAAACGAATGCTTTAAACGGCTTCTTCCTAGCGACCACCATAAAGAAATTAGCTGCAAAATCTTAGAACTTTCGCCAAAAGGAAAAGAAAAAACAAAAAGCTGCACCAGGGATTGAAACGTGAACCTGTGGACGGAAGCTTATCCACTAGACCACCAACGTGCTGGCTGTTCGCTAGGAAGAAGCCTTTTAATGCATCTGACGCGAAACTTTCGATTGAACTTTTAAACGTCTGGAAAGTCATTTGACAAATTCTGATTTCAGCTTCGGCTTCCTCATACCCAATTCTATAAAGTGCGCTAGATGTCCAAAAGCTCACCTTGAGACCAATTGAAAACAATTGGTTTGATTTTGGCTTGGCTTGGTATATCGATGATGAGGTAGCCGTTCTGGTTCTCTTACGTAGATTGATGCAATGGCTTGTTCGTTGGTTTAGCGGTGGTCAAACGCAGTCAGCTATGGCGCTGAATGGTTAGTTGAGGAAAAGGTTAGCCAGGTCAGGATGTAGGAAGCTAGAAGCCAGATCTGGATTGGCTTGGCTTGATCTGGACTGGCTTGGCCTGGTCTGGCTCTTGGCCTGGCTTGGCTTGTCTTGACTTGGCTTGTCTTGACTTGACTTGACTGGGCTTGGCTTGACTTGGCTTGTCTTGGCTTGTCTTGGCTTGGCTTGGCTTGCCTAGCCAAGCCTAGTCATGCCTTTTCGCCAACCATACCAGCCATGTGAACCCCTTGAACTACACTTTTAAACTAATTTCTTAAAAGCTTTGAAAAGAAACCATCGGCGACGAAAGAAGCACAACCAGATCCCGTCGAATCATATCGTCCTCAATATACAAATTGACGTCTCTCAGCATTTTGATTGTCATCAAAATGATGATACCAACGACAACGAAAGTGATGATCTCGAGGATTAGGAAGAGAACAGGCAATTCTAGAATGCGGGAATGCATAAGAATTACAAAAAAATTCAGCTAATTAGCTTTCAAGTTTCCTTTTTTTTTCTCCTCACCCTCACCTCTCCAGAACTCGCTCGCCAACGGGACGAAGGTCAAGTTCATTTTTTAGTGAATTTGGATCTAAACATTTATAGATTAATGCTTTTTATTACAAATAAATACTATGATTCAAATTTTAAAGAAAAAGAAAAATTTTTAGCTTTTTTCTTTCTTTTCCTGAAAAGCGGAAAGTGATAAGGGTTTTGAGAAAAGAAAAAAAAAAGGTTTTTGACTTAAATGAGTCATCACTTTTTTTCAAATATTATATAAATAAGGTAAATGGTTAGATTTTGAGGCAGATAATAGCTTTGATTTGATGAAAAATTGTTGAATTGAAAAGAAAGAAAGAGAAAGCGGGTGAAAAAGGACTTGGTCACCGCCGATCCCCAAATAAAGCCCATCGCCCATTTGTGTATTTGCATTTCGTGGGAGTGATCCTTTCCTTTTTCCTTTTTCCTTTTTCATATTGACTTTGAAAAGAGAATTGAGATTGACGAGAATGACGAGATTGACAAAACCTTTTTGCTTGTATCTTTGCACGAATGCAAACATTCAGATCTTCTTGTTTTTAAATCGATCGATGTTTGAATCTTTTTCTTTATTTTTTAGACTCTTTATTTGTATTTTTTTTTGTTCATTTTTCACATAAAAATCGATAAAAATATAGAAATTTATTGAATTGATAGGTACACTACTGGACACATTACTGGACGCGTCCAACCATCAAGGTACACTACTGGACAATGAAATATGATATTTGAAAAAAGATCGTCACTTTCGCGCGTCTATAACTCCCTTGTCTTTACCGTATTTCTAAATATTAATATTACCATTGTGTAGCCCTTGAAAAGAGCTTTCAGAAAACGTATAACACTAATAGTTTAAACTCAAAGACAAGGGAGTTACAGACGCGCGAAAGTGACGATCGTTTTTCAAATATCATATTTCATTGTCCAGTACTGTTTATTGTCCAGTACTGTTCATTTTCCAGTACTGTTCACTGTCCAGCATTTGTCCCACCCCCGAAAGTGACGATCGTTTTTCAAATATCATATTTCATTGTCCAGTACTGTGAGAAATTGGAGAAATTGGAGGAATTGGAGGAATTGGAGGAATTGAGGGAAAAGAGATCTACGAGATCTACATCTAAAGGTTGAACTCAACAAAAAGAGCATCACTTTTTTTGCTTGTATCTTCGCACGAATGCAAACATTCAGATCTTCTTGTTTTTAAATCGATCGATGTTTGAATCTTTTTCTTTATTTTTTAAACTCTTTATTTGCATTTTTTTTTGTTCATTTTTCACATAAAAATCGATAAAAATATAGAAATTTATTGAATTGATAGTGAAGAAATTGGAGAAATTGAAGGAATTGAAAGAATTGGAGAAATTGGAGCAATTGAGGGAAAAGGATCAGAAGGAAATGAAAAAGTCATTTTTGATGTAAATGAATGACGATTTTTGTGATGATTTGACTGAATTTTTGAAAAGAAATTAGTAGAATGATCAAAATTTACCTGTATATTTCGCGAATCTTGACTTTTCTCTTTCGTTTTCTTTTGACTAAACATTTCCATTAAAACTTTTCGAACCATTCGATTTGTCGTAAGAAAAAGAAGTGAATTGAGGATTTGATTCTGGAAAGGAAAAGATAAAGGTTCAGAAATTGATCTTGATTTGGTTGGATTTGTTTTCAAGAATTGATTGAACTGAAAAACTAGTATAAAAAAGACTTTTTACTTAAGATTTCAAGATTTCTACTAGCTAACAACGAGCAACAACGAGCAACGAACAAACAACGAATTGCTGTTGTTGTAATTGCTCGAGCTGTTGTAAGAAATTCAAAGATTCTTCTACTTGATGAAGCCACTTTAGTGCTTGATTCAAAATCGGAATCAGAATAGCTAACCTATTTAGATCAAGCCTCTCATCTGATCAGATCAAGCCTCTCATCTAATCAGATCAAGCCTTTCATCTGATCAGATCAAGCCTCTCATCTAATCAGATCAAGCCTCTGATCTGATCAGATCAAGCCTCTCATCTAATCAGATCAAGCCTCTGATCTGATCAGATCAAGCCTCTCATCTAATCAGATCAAGCCTAAACCCAGGCAAAATTCTTGCTTTCATAGAAGCTCCTATAAGTTGAAGAAAACTATCGTCTTCTCAAACGATTATAGCACATTTTGTAGAGCTCAATGAGAGCTTTCAAATGCTATATATCACTTAAATCTACGAGATCTACATCTAAAGTTTGAACTCAACAAAAAAAGCACCACTTTTTTGAGTGGGATTCTCACTGTACTGTAGTTTGCACGTTTTGTTTGCAATCTTTAACTAGAACTAGACCATTGCTGACTCTTGAACTAGTTTAACACAAATATCAAATTGATTATGGAATGGAAATGGATTCCCAATGACCTCACCGATATCATGACATCACTTCCCACAATGCCCACCACCCACATCGCCCACTCGACATTGTAAAGCAATGGTTGCACTCGAGCCACCACTGTCTCTGTGATCCGAGTCATCTGGAAAAGATTTTCAATAGATTTGTTATAGATTTACGAATTGTTAATTGTTAGATTTGTTGCTATTCTAAACAGAATTCAACTCGATCTTTTTGGGGAAAGGGAAGTCATTATGGCATTATCGGATTTCATCAAACTCAATAACACAAAAGGCAATTGCAAATGCATTGATCGAAGCGATTCCATAGTGCATAGTCAAGTGCATAGCAATTGCATTGTCTAACAAAGTTAGACAAAATGATGTAGGCAATCTAACAGCTTGATAAGCTTTAGACAGCTTTATAATCTAACAGCTTGATCTAAAGTTTCAATTTTAGAACCCGACTCACCTCCAACGAAAAGGCAATAATGGCTGCTTGCTTGAGAAAAGCCATTTCAGTCTTTGATTTGTTTTTTGAGTGCATTTTTCGCTTTTTTCGAATCACAAATGCGATGTAGCAATAGGTGGAGAAAATGAGAAGTGGAAGAGTGAAACAGAGGATGTTAAAGGTCTGCAAGAGGTTATTGTTTCACCGATTTTCGAAATCTAGCTAAAAAGCCAGTAATCTAGCTAAAAATCTAGCTAAAAATCAAAATTCAAAACATTATACTTGTAAAAAGAAAAAATTACGCGGCAAGCGGATTTGAACCCGCGAGAAAAACTCGGCATAGGTTTCTAGCACACTATCCCCTAGGCTTTCGCTGCTTTGGATGGCGATCAGTGTGGTGCCTTCTTATAGGTTTTGTTTGCCGAATTTTGTCTTTCGATTAGTTTTAAGCCTGAAGTGGAAGAGTGAAACAGAGGATGTTAAAGGTCTGAAAGAGTTTATTGTTTCATCGATTTTCGCAAGCTAGCTAAAAAGCCAGTAAAATCAATTCAAAACATTATACTTGTAAAGGGAAAAAACTAGGCTGCAAGCGGATTTGAGCCCGCGAGGAAAAACCTCGATAGGTTTTTAGAGTCTAGCACACTATCCCCTAGGCTATCGCTGCTTTTGATGCCCGATCAGCGTGGTGCCTTCTTATAGGTTCGGTTTGCCGAAACTTGTTTTTCTATAAGCCTCAAGATTCACCGTTTCAATTCCTGCATTGAGCGAAGCGATGATTGACTGATTTTCTGGGAAAATAACACTCAAAAATAATCCCAAAACGAAACGAATTATCACTGTTGTTAACACAAAAAGCCAAACAATAAAGACACAGATTTTGAGGTTTTTCCTGTAATTTAGAGAGCATTTAAGCATTTTTTGAAACTTTTTTTGTTTACCCCTCGAAAAGGAGAGAAAAACGAGGAGCAACAAAAATGACGAAACGATTTGAAGACATTAGTAGATTGAAATAGATCACTGCCTCGTCTGAAATTTTTTCTTCAATCATTTACTTTAAACCCCTGCAAAATAAACACTTTCTCATGCGCTGAGCTCTCTATTTTTTCAAAAATCGTTGCTATGGGTGGAAATGAAGAATTCAATGCACTAGAAAAGGTTTGTTGAAAAGAAAACTAGAGCACAAAGTAGATTCAAAAGAAACCGGTAAATTTGATGATCTCAATCCCGATCGTGCTCCAAATGACGAGAAATTGAGCCGAATTTGGCGTCGAAATGATGATCATTAGAGGGAATACGGTAGTCGCCTGGAATATTCGAAAGATTAAGAAAAGAGAAATAAATTGACAGAGAAAAGAGTTCGAAAGATTAAGAAAAGAGAAATAAATTTACAGCTAGGGTTACGGTAGATTTATTCATTATTTAAACATAGATTTACTAGTTATTGTCATAGAGAAACTTGTTGTTATTGTCTTGTTGTTATTTACTAGTTATAGTAAATAACAACTTAGTTATTTACTAGTCATAGAAATAAAATGTTCAAAAAAACCTGTGCTATTAGATGAATCTCATTCACGATGATCACTTGCCAAACGATCGTGAAAAAAGCGTACTGAAAGTTTAAAGATTTAAGAATTATACGCTAATTTCTTTGGCTTAATTGAAGTTCTACTAGGTTGGTGCAAATGAAATTTCGTTTTTTTACAAACATTAAAGTCATCCAAAATTTTTTTTGATAACAATTTATTTAAAACAATAAGCACCATTATTATCTATGACATCCCTCCAACGTTGCTTCAGATTGCGGATCCCCTTCTCAAAGAACGCTTGATTCTGTGATGCAAAGTAGTTGGTCACCCAATTTTCGACTTCTTTTGCATTCTTAAACTGGCAATTCTCAAGGGAATGTTGCATCGATCTGAAAAGGTGAAAATCGGAGGGTGCTAAGTCTGGACTATACGGCGCATGTGGTAAGACCTTCCATCCTAGCTTCTCTAGTTCCTTACAAGAGGTTTTTGCCGTGTGAGCTGGAGAATTATCACGGAGAAAGTTGATAGTTGAGGGATTTAGGCCTTTTTCACGCAAAATTTCGTCAACCTTCTTGAGTTGTTGAATAAAATAAGATGAATCGACTGTTTTTCCGGGCTCTAATAATTCAAAATGAACAAGTCCATTGATATTCCACCAGCAAGACAACATCACTTTGCGCCCATGATAATCCGGCTTTGGAGTTGGAATTGGCGCTTGACCTTTGCTCAGCCATTGCCTTTTTCGAGAAGTATTATCAAAGTGAATCCACTTCTCATCCATCGTCAAGATATTCTCAAAAAAAAATGGCTTCTTTTCGACTTCTGGAGCAAGATATGGCTGATCGGAACGCGTGCTCCCAAATTCTCAACACTCAATTGATGTGGAACCCATTGTCCATTACGATTTGTCTTTCCAATTATTTCCAAATGGCGTACAATTGTTGAATTGGAGATGTTTGGCAAGTTCTCGTGTTGTTTGCATTGGATCAGCTTCAATTAATTGTTCCAATTCATTGTTGTCGATGGCTGTGGCACGATGTCCATGCGATTCGTCTTCAAGGGATTCATTACCATCTCGGAATTGGGCAAACCAGAGCTGGCATGATCTTTCGGTGATAACCTGTTCTCCAAAGGCGGAACAGAGATCACGATGTGAATCAGCAGCGTTTTTGCCCATTTTGAAGTCATAGAGAAGACACGTGCGCAGAACATACTTTTGATCCACCATGATCTAAAGCAAAAATCAATTAAAAAGTGAAAGCTCTGACTTTGAAAAAATGCGAAAATAAAGTAAATATCCAAGAGTACAAATGCACAAAAGAACATCAAATAAGCTCTTCAGATTAAAAAAATAAGAACATTTTATATCGACCGAAATTTCTTTTGCACCAACCTAATAGTTTATCTATGATTTAGTTAAATTAAGTGAAATCTTGTTAACGAAACCTCAGCGAAAAGCGCTCGTCCTTTGAAGAGAATGAAGAGAAATAAATTGACAGAGATCAGCCCGATAACCAAGAGAATAAAGAAAATGACAACACCTGAAAGAAGATTATTGTATATTGTGACTTAGAATGTGAAAGATGAAGGGGACCCCTCGATCGAAAGGAAGATTCTCCATTTTTATAGCATTCTTCAATATGATCACGTTGTTGAAAGTGAAGAAGAAATTAGAAGATTGAAGAAGATGATGATTCAGACAAAGAACAGACAGTGACAGTGATAAAGACAGTGACAAAGACAGTCATAAAGAAAGTGAACAAAGAACGGGAACTCTTGTAGATACACAAATGAAACATAAAAATAAATGAAAAGAAGAGGAGAGGGATCGAACCCGAGCGAAGACCCTTTGGCTGGTTTCGCAAGCGAGACTCCTAACCACTACACCACCATCACATGCTTGACGCAGGCGAAAAAAGCTTATAAGGATCGATTTCTTTCCCAAATCTTTTCATTTTTTCTTTTTCTTTTCCATTTTCTATAATGCACTAACTTTTAACGAACATAAATTTCAATTTTTTTAAAATTCAAACCTGTATAAATAATAATATAATCCTGAACGTGAAGTGTTCCCAAATCAAGAAGGCTTTGATTTAATGAAGATGTTGATGAAGAGCTCATCTCAAAAATATCAGCTAAAGAAAAGTAAAAATTCAAAAGTTTTTAAGGAAATCAGAAACAAATGTGAAAGAAAAATGAAACAAAAACGAATCAAAAAGCAATGAAAAAGCCAAAAAAATACAGAACCCATCCACCCACGGCTCAAAAAAACGTAAATTTCTCAAATGAAATCAAATCAAACGTCAAAATTTACAAAAACAAATCAAATTTTGATTTCATTTTCCGATTTTTTACAATAATTTTCCTGTCATTGACGCAAAAATTTGATTATTTTGATTAAATAAAAAAAAAAACTTTGAATCCTTTTGGTACTTCTTGAGATTTGATTCAATTTTGATTGAATTTCATTTCAATTTTGATTTCAATTTTTGTGCAATTTGATTCAATTTTCATTTCAATTTTCAATTTTGAGTCAAAAATTTGCAACTTTACTAACTTTTTCAAATTTAAAAACGTTCAAAATACGTTTTTTTTCATAAATTTTCACTTTCACACAGCATTTTTTTCCCTGATGATCCCTTAGTAAGTGATCATTTTGTTGAGAAAAAAATCTAAATCTGCTTTTTTTTGGTTGATTACGGTGGGGATATCTTAATTTCGTTCATTTTTGACCCTTTGGTGCCAAAAATAGACTAGTAAACGAGCCTAGATTTCTGCTTTTTTATGTACTTGGTGGTATCATCGTTTTTGAGATGTACTCTAACAAAATAAAGTACTGTTTTGAGTTGTGATTATGAAGCTATCATTGTTTTAAGCTGTACTTGCTTTTAGTAATATTTGAGCTTACCTTTGATAGCTTTAAAGATTCGGATTGTGAAAGATTCATGGATACAGAGTAGGGACTAGATCAAAAAAGTGCTGCTTAAAAGGCGCCGTGATCAAAAGAGCGCTGTTTAAAAGAGCGCCGTTTGAAAGGCGCCGTGATCAAAAGAGCGCCGTTTGAAAGAGCGCCGTTTGAAAGAGCGCCGTTTAAAAGAGCGCTGCTTAAAAGAGCACCAGGCCTTACCAGTGAGGCGATTCTTGATTAGTTTCTTTAGATTAAAATTAAAAACAGACAATAAATGAAAACAAATAACAAAAAATATTTCTTTTGAAGCCTTAATTGCCGGTGATTTTCTGCCAAAACCAACGGCTAATTCGAATTCCCGTCGTTTTTTTTAATTAAAAATGTAAATAAACATTAAAAAAAACCAGCAAAAACATCAAGAAAAAGTGAAAAAAATTGGGGCGCAAAAATCTAGTCGCGCTCTTTTGAGCGTTTTTGCATTGGTGCTCTTTTAAAAGGCGCTTTTTTGAACGGTGCTCTTTTCAGATAATGGCACAAAGTCTATATACTATTAGGTTGATGCAAAAGTCTTTTTCATTTTTTTCGTACTTCCGTTAAAAAGTAACAAATGCACCAATTGAACAACGGTTTATTGCATTCGAAAGGCCAATTATTTTTCTGCAAAATGACATTAAAACGAGTTTAAAATGTCTTATGTCTAGATTTTTTTGAGAGCCTGAAGTCGGGTAGTCAAAAAAGGCGACGGCTCGATGATGCATTTTAGACGCTTTAGCTAAGGAAACCAATCTTGATGTTAATAAATAAAAGATAGAGCACAAAAAGTTAGATATTTTTTCAGATTTTCAGAGAAATTGTTCAGCCGATCTTTATAGAGGTTTTATAGATTTTTATGAAAAACCCGTTTTCACTCCTCGAATTTGCTTGAAAGTGAACCCCCAAATTGACTTAAAAGATGGGAAATTGAAAATAAACACTTTTCATTTAGGAAACCATAGGTTAATTGATGGCTTTGTTATTTTTCTAAAGAAGTACGAAAAAAATGAAAAAGACTTTTGCACACCTAATATACTATATATGGAAAAGACTATATAGAAAAGACTATCTACTATATACTATATACTATATACTATATACTATATACTATATACTATATACTATATAGATTTTTTAGATAGTTTTTATACTAGTCCAAAAAAGTTGGGCCGGGTCACGGGTCGGGTCAGCGGGTCATCCGGGAAAAAAGCCGGGTCGGGGCGGGTCAAGGGGTCACTTTTGACCCGACCCGACCCACCCGACCCCGACCCGCTGCCCATGTTTATGTCTTGTGTGTCTGCCCATGTCTTTTCAGATAATCCCACAAAGTCGATAGTGAAAAAGATATAGAAAAGATATATAGTATATATCTTTTAAAAATAGTATATATCTTTAAAAGATACTATATATCTTTTCTATATCTTTTTCACTATCCACTTTGTGGGATTATCTGAAAAGACATGGGCAGACACACAAGACATAGACATGGGCAGCGGGTCGGGTCAAAAGTGACCCGCTGACCCGACCCGCGACCCGGCTCTTTTTTCCCGGATGACCCGCTGACCCGACCCGTGACCCGGCTTTGTTGGACTAATGCCAACTATCTTTTCTATATAGTATATAGGCTGAGTATTTCAATTAGTTTTCGTCAAAATATCGAATTTCTAATCAGCCAAATTTCAGGCAAAAATAGATCCCAAAAGCAAATCGATTAAAGCTTAAATTTTATTGAGTTCTTTTAGAGTTCTTTTATTCAATTGTTTTATTGAGTTCTTTTATTGAGTTCTTTTATTCAATTGTTTTATTCAATTGTTTTATTCAATTGAATTGATTGTTGATTAACGAAAGTAGAAATAAAATTTTATTACAGTATTTTTCAAATTCACACATTTCAAATTGACATCTTTAAAAAAAACAAATACCCGTGAGAGATAAAGTCTGGAGTTTTCTCTAGAGAATTGTTTCAAATTCGGGATTTTCTTTCAAGCAAACAATCGCAGTAACATTAAAATACAAAGCTGAGCAGAGAATGTAAATGAAGATTGTAAATGATTGAATTGAAAGATTGAAAGATTGTAAGATTGAAAGATTGAATGTTTTTCTTTTATGTAGTTAAATCTTGTTCCTTAACGAGTTTATAATATTTCCCGCGACGAGCCATTAGCTGAGCATGAGTCCCAGATTCGCGGACCTAGAAATTGAGAATTGAGAATTTGAGTTATCAATTGTCATCAAAATGATGATACCAACGACAATTAAAGTGATGATCTCGAGGATTAGGAAGAGCCTAAGGAATCTTCAGCTAAGAAATCTTCAGCTAAGGTATCTTCAGCTAAGGAATCTTCAGCTAAGAAATCTTCAGCTAAGGAATCTTTAGCTAAGGAATCTTCAGCTAAGGAATCTTCAGCTAAGGAATCTTTAGCTAAGGAATCTTTAGCTAAGGAATCTTCAGCTAAGGAATCTTCAGCTAATCTTTCAAATAGAAAATCTTGGTCCTTAAAGAGTTTATAATATTTTCCGTGCCAGTAGCCATTATTTAAGATCTTTAAGATATCCTTATATCTAAAAGATGCCTTCAAAAAATGAAAAAAAAACCTATCGTATTCGATTTTTTTTCTTTTTCTTTTTCTTTAACCCATCAGTCTCAAATTAGTTAAGCGATAGTTAAAGCGTTTTATTTGGAAAAATCTTATTTAAGCCGTTGATTTCACCTTTCCATCTGCAATATAAACAATCATATCAGCGTTTTGAATGGACGAGAGACGATGAGCGATTGTCACACAAGTTCGACCAGCACGCGCTCGATCCAAAGCTTCTTGCACTGCCTGGAAAACGAATTTTTAGAAAAATCTATGTATTTAAAAAAAGATTTCTATATATAAATTGACCTTTTCCGATTCTGAATCAAGCGCTGAAGTGGCTTCATCGAGTAGAAGAATCTTTGGATTCCTTACAACCGCTCGAGCGATAGCAATTCGTTGTTTTTGTCCTCCTGATAGTTGAGAGCCTTTTTCGCCGACCTAGAAATCAAAAATGAATTACTAATAACTACAATACCGTAATCATTTCAATATACAGCCATAACCAACAGGATAGCCAACTGGATAGTCAACTAGATAGTCAACTAGATAACCAACTAGATAACCAACTAGATAGTCAACAGGATACCCAACTGAATAGTCAACTAGATAGCCAACTGGATAGCCAACTGGATAGCCAACTGGATAGCCTAGATAACCAACTGGATAGTGTATTTAGTCCAAACAATTTGAAGTCAAAGATTTTGAGGAAGATTTGAGTCAAAGATCGGTAGATTTTGAGGAAAAGTTACTCCGAGTTTTGCTTAATTCTAACAGTAACCAGCTTAATCCTAAGCCAAATGATTTAAAATACAAATTCCCCTATCCAACCTCAGTATCCAATCCAGAAGGTAGCTGGGAAATGAATTTGTCCGCATTCGACATGACAAGCGCTTCTTTAATCTTCTCAATCGGTACATCACCCAATCCAAAGCAAATATTCTCCTTTATCGTTCCACTAAAAACATTTCATTAATTAATTTATTTATTTATTTATTTTATTTATTTATTTATTTATTTTATTATTTAATTATTTGTTTAATTATTTATTTATTTAATTTATTTATTTATTTATTTATTTATTTATTTATTTATTTATTTATTTAATTATTTAATTATTTATTTATTTAATTATTCATTATCTTCAATTCCTTCAATTCTTCAACTTCTTCAATCTTCAATACCTGAAAAGCCTCGGCTCTTGTCCAACAAGCGCCATTTGAGTACGCAAATCGAATAGTGATAAAGCTTTCAAATCTTTTCCATCAATTCGCTGAAAATTATAGATATAAATAGATTTGGATTTGAATTTTATCTAACGACAAACCACAAAACCGCCAGTTGTATCGTAAAATCGTTCAAGCATCGAGATACACGTCGACTTTCCTGATCCCGATGGACCAACCAAGGCCACTGTTTGTCCTTTAAAAAAAAGTCAGTAATAGAAAAGTAATGGAAAAGTAATAGAAAAGATTTCGTAGAATGTTTTCTATGCAAATTCTCTAAACAATTCTCAAAGCAAATTCTCTAAACTCCTTCATCGTCGTCTTCCCTTCACCACCAAAAAAGCTATTTAGTTCCCCATTGAGCTTAGGGTTAGGGAGCCGTCTGTCATGACGTGGGTTAAGTTAAGATATAGCCTAGTATTGTGTGTGTCGTTGTATTGTGATTGATATATTTCGTGTATGCGATAAATTCACCACTGGTAGCCCCAGTCGGTATTTTTTTTTTTTTAAAACAAACCCCTTTGAGCAGTGAAATTCAACCCGGTCATGATGGGATTATTCGGGCGTTGTGGATAGCGGAAGTTCACCTCTTCGAATAAAATGTTGCCTCGAACACTCTAAAGATATTCAGTAAACAGTTTGTCCGGCTTTAGTCTGGCTTTAGTCTGGCTTTAGTCTGGCTTTAGTCTGGCTTTAGTCTGGCTAATCTCGGTACTGGCTACAGTAATCCCAGCGATACAGCAATGTAACCATTACAGTAATCTCATAGTCATCAACAGTAATCCCAGTAGCTAGAGTGACCTGATAAAAACAATGCCTACAGTAATCTCTGTGCTGTCTACGGTAGATATTTGTTTATAGGAATTGAGTACAAGTATTTCTTTCTTTTCATTTCATTTAACTAACCATTTTCTCGCCAGCTTTGTGATCTCCGGTGGCTGGTTGACGATCGATGATGTTGAAAAGGAGACCCGCCTGAAAAAGGTCAACTTTGCAAAGTACCGTAATCCCAAGTACAGTAGCTACTACTGTTTGTCTTACTGTGGGCTAGTTACTGGTACTTTTGTCTAGTTACCGTAATCCCAAGTACTATAGTCAGTCTTGCTGTAAGCAAATCACTGGTACTATTTGTCTGGTTATTGTAATCCCATCTACAATAGCCAGGCTTACTGTAGGCTAGTCACTGATACTATTTGTCTAGTTACCGTAATCCCAAGTACAGTAACCAGTCTTACTGTAGGCTAATCACTGGTACTGTTTGTCTAGTTATCGTAATCTCAAGGCTATAGGCTAAAAATAAACAGTCAATGGGAAAAAGTAGGCTATAGTAAGCCAATTAGTTTATGTAGAAGCTACAGTAATCCTAGGAGCAATAGAATGACTGTAGTCTTACAGTAGTCTTACAGTAGTCTTACAGTAGTCTTACAGTAGTCTTACAGTAGTCTTACAGTAGTCTTACAGTAGTCTTACAGTAGTCTTACAGTAGTCTTACAGTAGTCTTACAGTAGTCTTACAGTAGTCTTACAGTAGTCTTACAGTAGTCTTACTTTACTCCTCTTTAAACTTACAGCAGCTTTCGCTTTAACGAATTCAGGATAATATGGAGAAGAGTTCATGACAGAAACCGTGCCCAACAACATGGCGATGATTGCTCTGGAAACTCATTTAGAATTTCGAATAAATGAACTTTCTAGAGCACTCACCTAAAGACATCATTCGACTCCTTGTCACCCACATAAATCACTCGAATACCCACAGCGTATCCAATTGTTAGCATGAAATAGATAAACGATTGAGTGAGCGTAAAGTTGATCCCCTCGTACCAACCTGGAATTTTGAAACTAAAGCTATTCTGTCGAATCTATCGAATCTATCGAATCGTTTATTCTCGAAATCTCCTTACATTTATTCAACTCTCGATGTTTCTGCCGTTTACTCGCCTCCTCATAAAGCTCATAGAAATATTTCATTCTCGTCAACAATTGAATCGTTTTCACATTCTCGATTGTTTCAATAGCAATCTAGAAAAGTTGTTGAAGTTGAAGTTGAAGAAGAAAAATAGTTGAAGCTATAATTTATTCAATTCGTACCCTTCCCGCCTCATTGTTCTTCATTAAATCAATATTTTTTCGCATGATGAACAAGCCAAGGAAGATCATGAAAAGCCACAACCCGATTAGAAGACCTGAAGTAAGAAGTAAGTCTTGTAAGATTGTAATCTGAGCTACAGTAACCAGAAACCGATATGCTACCGTAATCCAGGAGTGCTTTAAACTATCGTACCCGGGAAGCTGATGCACCCTACCGTAATCCGTAATGATTACCGTAACCCGGGAAAATCCTATCACAATACTAACTAAAAGCTCAAGTTATCATAGCTTGAGAAAGCTCTAGCTAATCCAAAAGCTGATGAGTTAAGCTACCGTAATCCGACCTGATGAGTTAAGCTATCGAACTCGAGCTCTAAGCTAGCTACGTAACCAAACTAGCTATCGGAACCAAGTCAGCTACCGTAACCAAGCCAGCTATCGTAAACAAGCTACCGTAACCAAGCTAGCTACTGTAACCAAGCTAACTACCGTAATCAAGCTAGCTACGGTAACCAAGTCAGCTATCGTAACCAAGCCAGCTACTGTAACCAAGCTAGCTACCGTAATCAAGCTAGACTTGAACTTTATCTCACCAGTTCCAATCGTTGCCACTTGCCACGAGAAAACGAAAGCAATCGCAATGTTTCCAACAATCGCCGTGCATGCGTAAATCACTTGCAACATTCGTCCGTCAACAACCTGACAATTCGACAATTCTGTTGAAATATTTGAAATTAAGCTTATCAAAGTATCAAAGTACAACCCTATAAATAAATGTCAGATATTCAGCTTATTTCTTCTCACTCACCGCTTTCACATTTGGCGCATCCGACGCCAAACGGGTAATCAACTTTCCTGGAGTGTGCGCTGGATTGTCAAAGTAGGAAGCATCCTAGATAAAATAAGATATTATCAGATGGAGGATTAGATTATCTTTTTAAATTTAAATCATTTTCTTTACTTGATGCAGAATTTGTTGAAAGGAAAGAACTCGAAAACGCATTGCCAACTCTTCGGAGACGACTGAGAAGAAAATACTCTGTAAAGTTAAAATAGAGCTCAATTTTTTCTATTAATGATCCTTCTAGTTATAAGTTTATTATTTAGTTCTTTAGTTCTTTAGTTTTCCTTTTCAAATTACCGATAAAATCTGGAAGATGAAACAGCCGACACCGATCGCGGAATAGACAATCACTGCCATCGCCATTCGGTGCATCATTCGACCGTCAGTGTAAGGCACCATTTGAAAGCCCTAAATTAAAGCCCTAGATAGGTTCAATTAGGTTTTTTTCTAGTTTAAATACTACAGTATCCTCTAAAGCTTACAGTAATCCAAGCTAAGACAACGCTCTACAGTACCCCTTTAAAGTTACAATAGTTTAAGCTATGGAAAGCCTACAGAAAGCCTAGCTGTAGATTAATTTGTTTTCTAAAACGTTTAGCCGAAGCAAGACTATGTAGTTTTTTTGTGTTTAGAAAACTTTGCTTCAAGCTTCAGGATACTGTAGCTGACATTCTTCAGTATTTTAAGGGTTTAAAGATAGGTTCTGAAAGGTTTTGAAAGGTTTTGAAAGGTTTTGAAAGGTTCTGAAAGGTTTAGAGAGGTTTAGAAACCTCTGGAAACCTTTAGAAAGACTTTAGAAACTTTAGAATAAAACTCTAGAAACCTCTAGAAACCTTTAGAAACCTTTATAAAACTTTAGAAACCTTTAGAAACCTCTAGAAACCTCTAGAAACTTCTAGAAACCTCTAGAAACTTCTAGAAACCTTTAGAAACCTCTAGAAACCTCTAGAAACTTCTAGAAACCTTTAGAAACCTTTAGAAAGCTTACCAGATAAGTTTACTTCTGAAAACTCACCGCAAAGACATATCCAAAAGCTAGTGTCAACCCTGGGAGCTCAGTGCCTCGAATGATTGCTGTAATGACTCCCAAAATCATTGTCCTATATTGTCCCTGTGAATGCTTGAGAATGTCCGTGTAACCGGCTTTGATCTTCTCATCCTGAATTTACGATTAGAGAATCGATTTTCTTTAGCTTAACACCTCGTCCATCACTTTTTTCACTTGTTGCGCAAAAGCTAAATTCTCGGAGTCGATCACGCCGACGAGTTTACTCTCCAAACTCAACGAGCTATGCATTGTCGAGTTTCTGAAAGATAAAAGATATTAGAGAATTGTCTATCAACAAAGTACCATAATCCTTAGTATCCCAGCGTTACTGTAAGTTTACTGTACTTGTTTACTGTACTTACTGTACTTACTGTACTTCTTTAGCTCAAACAACTTTAGCTCAAACCTACTCCAGTTTTTCGACGTTATCTAGAGTACCAGAGCTACAATACTCCATTCTAAAGCAACCTAATCCAGATTTGCATATATCTATTTTAAATCTAAATGGATAAATCGAAATTTGCATTTATTTTTTACCTTATAAATGCATCTCTGCCTGAAATTCGCTCATTCTGACTGCGGCTTGATTGGCGATAATATTCCGAGGTTGAATGAGCTTCACCGCTAAAATTATTCAATAAATTTAAATCTTTATTTACAGTATAACTTCTAAGAAGCCTAAGATACTGGAAAATGAAAAAAATATGACAAAAATAGGTCAAAAGCCATCGTCTGAGCTCAAGATTCATTTGAAACTCTACTCTGACTTGCCAGCTAACTATTGGGTTGGGGACTATGACTCGGCGCTAAACTTTAAAGGGACTTTTTGCACACATAAAGCCTTCTTTAAATATACGTTTGGTTTCATCAAAAGGATCCACTATTTCTCTACAAAATCACTTTTGAGAGATTCCACAAAGCTTTTCTTTCGTGGAGTTTATGGACTCCCAAACACAGCTAGTCAAAATGGCAAAGAGCCCGACTCATCATTTGAACAGTTTCTTTCACATAAACCTTCTTTGATGTTTATATAAAAAAGATAGAGCACATTCAATTACTTAAGTTGCCAAATTTGCAGGAAGATCCCACCAATTGTTTTTTCTAGATGACAGTTTGTAGTTTTTGTGAAAAAATGGCTTTTTCTTGAGCGGAGGCGCTGTTTGAATTCTCTTTTAAATGTCGTTTTGTAGAGAATTAGTTAACCATTCTACTCATATCAAACGCATATTATTTGACGAAGTCGAATAGAAGTTTTAGACATTTTTTTGATTTTCGGCGCCGAGTCATAGTCCCCAACCCAATAAATACCAACTTCTACAGTATATCTACAGTATTCTACAGTATCTACAAACCCTAAATCAATCTCATCTCCATCATCTTCTCCATCTTGTACGATTTGATCCTCTTCCGGTTGGAATTGTTGCGCTTTCACGAGTTTGTAGTATTTCCCTTGCAACTCGACGAGTTCTTCGTGAGTTCCCTAAACGATTTTCAATGTAAACAAAACAAAACAAATGAATAAAGCTTTTAGAAATATTCTTTATACTATTAGAAAAATAAATCTCTGTTCTATATTCACTTTTTCAATGATTTCAAAAAGCTTTAGAGACAAATAGTCAAAATCATCGAAACTCCCCGTTTGACAATGATTTTGTGGAAGAGTTTCTTTTACTTGAACTTTTAAGCTTAGGCTTAGGCTTTGGCTTAGGCTTTGGCTTAGGCTTTGGCTTAGGCTTTGGCTTAGGCTTTGGCTTAGGCTTTGGCTTAGGCTTTGGCTTAGGCTTTGGCTTAGGCTTTGGCTTAGGCTTTGGCTTAGGCTTTGGCTTAGGCTTTGGCTTAGGCTTTGGCTTAGGCTTTGGCTTAGGCTTTGGCTTAGGCTTTGGCTTAGGCTTTGGCTTAGGCTTTGGCTTAGGCTTTGGCTTAGGCTTTGGCTTAATCGCTTTTAAGAAACTAAACAAATTTACAGCTAAATTCATTCAACTGTTTTTTCTGAAAGGGTATTTACTTATTTGAAACTCGAATAAATTCAAAGAGTCTAAATAGAAGCTCGTTTATTCTGTTTAAGGAAAAGAGACTATGGATTTGGCTAGAAACTCAGCATTTCTAGTCAATTTTCCATTTAATCAGCTAGTTTCATTTTCAAATCAGTTCTCTTTACCCTGCTATTCGTTAATACATCTTGACGATCAAGTTCTTGATGTCTTGATTATCTTGATGATCAAGATCTTGATTGTCTTGATGATTAAGAGCTTGATCGTCTTGCTGACCAAGATCTTGATTGTCTTGATGATCAAGTTCTTGATTGTCTTGATAATCAAGCTCTTGATGTCTTTGATGATCAGGATCTTGATCGCCTTGATGTTCCAGAGCTTGATTGTCTCGATGATCGAGCTCTTGATTGTCTTGCTAATCAAGCTCTTGATCGTCTTGATGATCAAGATCTTGACGTCTTGACAATCAAGCTCTTTTCAAATAAGATCAAAATCTTTTCACGAACTTGTTCAATAATTTCCCCTTTCTCGAAAACGACAATCTTGTTCGCATCACGGACGGTAGACAAACGATGAGCGATGACGATCGTTGAACGACCTTTCGCCGCATTGTTCAATGCTTGCTGAAGAAAAGAAGTTAGAAAAAGAAAATTTCTATTAGAAAAACGTTCCTTATCAAAATATAATATAATGGAAAGGTTTCCTATCAAAAATTGCAATTTAATTCTCAATCAAAGAAAACTCTCTCACTTGAACAATGCTTTCACTCTTCGCATCCAACGCCGAAGTGGCCTCGTCAAGGAGAAGAATCTAGAAATGGAATTCTTCTCAATCTACCTTAGTCAGTGAATTCATAAGCTTTAAATTCATCTGCTTCATAGCTTCAGCAAACCTTAGGATCTCTGGCCAATGTCCTTGCAATAGCCACTCTTTGCTTTTGTCCACCCGACAGTTGCACTCCACCATCGCCGATCAGAGTATCGTAACCCTAAAATGTAAATTCTACAATAATCCTATTGTCTTAATAGAGTAAACGGGAGCTACATTTTGATCTAAAATACTTCCAAAGTACTAAAGTACATTGTGATCTAAAGTACCTCTAAAGTACTAAAGTATATTTTGATCTAAAATACTTCAAAAGTACTAAAATACATTTTGATTTAAAGTACTTCTAAAGTACTAAAGTACACTTTGATCTAAAGTACTAAGGTTTCAAAGCAAGTTATTAATGACTTTTCCGTGTACCATTTAATTTGTATCTCAATTACAGAATCTTCAAAATTACCATTGGCATTTTCATAATGAAATCGTGCGCGTTCGCCATCTTGCACACTTGTTCCATTTGCGCTTTCGTCAGTGTCGGGTTTCCCATTCGTAAATTCTCGACAACAGTGTTGTTGAACAGAATTGGCTCCTAGAAAAGCTAGTATTAAACACTAAAATATAGAATCTATTTTGTAAGAAAAATAAGATTTAATATCATTTAATTGCAAGAATAAAAGAAGATCTTGTCAAACTTTTCAACTAAAGGATTCATTTCTGGCTTCATTTAGAAACTCTGTAAAGGGAAAGCTTTTTCAAATAACCATTTGATAAAAAGAGTTTCCTTTCTTCTTTAGGTTCTTCCTTTCTTCTTTAGGTTCTTCCTTTTTTCTTTACGCTCTTCCTTTCTTCTTTAGACTCTTCCTTTCTTCTTTACGCTCTTCCTTTCTTCTTTAGGCTCTTCCTTTCTTCTTTAGGATCTTCCTTTCTTCTTTAGACTCTTCCTTTCTTCTTCTTCTTTTGCTTCTTTAGTTGAATGATAATTTTAAAGTAAAAAGAAAGAAGTTTGATTGAAGGGATCCTTCAAAAAGTATCAATGCTAGATCGATGGAGAGAAGACTTGAGCTCATGCAAGAGCTTATATAATGAGTTCTATAATTCCAATTGGTAAGTTCTTTATAGGAAAATGTAGCCAAGATAAAGGGCTTTATTTTTCTATATAACACTTGATACTTTGTTGATAAGTTAGACGTTTGTCAGCAAGTTTTCAAAAAATGGTCGTGATCAAAGATTTGTCCAAAGTTCTTTCTTTTTCTCTTTCTTTATCTATTTCTTTATCAATATCTTTATCTATTTCTTTATCTATTTCTTTTACTTTCTCTTTTTCTTTATCTCTTTCTTTTCTAACTTCTAAACTAATCGTTCTTTAAACAAATCTAGAATAACTTTAAGAAATCAATAATCATTACTTTCATGTCAAAACCTGATTAGCTAAGCTATCGTAATTTGAGGACGCTTTAGACTACAATAATCTATAAATTATTATTTATATAAAGCTTGCAAACCTGTTGCACAATTCCGACCACATTTCGTAGCCATTCAATATTCAAATCGTTTACATTTTCCCCGTCAATTGTCACTTTTCCCTGCTCAGCTTCGTATAAACGAGTGATCAAGCCAACCGAGGTCGATTTTCCGCAACCACTAAAATTTCTTATGTACAATATACTATTTTATCTTTAATAAGCTTTTAACTAACAGAATACTTTCAATACTTTCAATACTTTCAATTTTATCTCTACAGTAACTCTTCGCCCGTCCCCCCCAATACTTCTTTTTCTTTTTCCTCGTAACTCTTACAAACATTTTGAAACGTTTTGTTTTCATAGTACTTTAGCTGGATTACTGTACAATAAAGAGAAGCATAGAATTGACCGTTAAAGAATCAATGAATTAGGAGATCTTTAATTGAAGCTTTTACTCTTTAATCTTTAAATGAATACATCATTTACCTATTTAAATATCTATACAGCAAAATTTCTACTAGATACTTTAAGTCTTTAACGATCAATTCGACGCTTCTCTTTTATTCTACAGTAGCTAAGCACAGCAAAAGTACTGTAGAAAGTACTATAGTTCTACTAGAAAGTATTCTAGTTTCTTTATCAAGACAAAAGTACTGTAATTTAAGTACTGTAACAAAAGCCTTATCTATTTGAATGACCTGTGCCCGACGAGAGCCACCGTTTGGCCAGGTTCGATAACTAGATTGATCCCATTCAAAACTTTTTGCTCCTTTCGACTCGGGTATCTAAAAGTATACTTTAAATCTAAGCTAAATCTAAATAATTAACTAAAATCGGTAAAATTTGATTGATTTTTTGATTGATGACTTTTTTAAAATCCCCGACCTGAAATGAACATTCTCGAAGACGACCCGTCCAAGGCATTTGCTCGGTTTCCGACCTTTCTCTGAATAGGCATCAATGTGTGGGATCTAAAGGAATAAAATTATTGATTATTATATTAGATTTTAATAGATTTATAGATCTAAAGTCTTCTTCTATAAAAAAAATTCGATAAAAATAAACCCTTTCAATGATTTGGTAGATTTTTGCGGCGGCGACACGCGCATTTAACAACACCATCAAGTGTGGAGAGATCAAACCGAGGAAATAGGCACCTAAAGAGGAAAGATTGAGTAGAGATTTAGATTCTCTAATATAAATATAGTAAAGATTCTTTTTTTAGCTTTAATAATAGCTTTTCTAATCGCTTTTTTTAAAAGCGGCTTTCTTTTAGTTGGAAATAAGGCAGAGCAAAAACTCGTGCACCCAATGGGAGTCGAACCCGCGGCCTTTCGCCCACCAGGCCACTGTACTAACCATAAATGATTAGCGATTCCACTCACCCAAAAGCATCGACATCACGACGATGAAAACGTCTCCCGGGCTGCCTACATAACCGATTTTCAGCAAATAAGCGCCAAGACTGAAATGTAATCATTTTGATGTAATCACAAAGACTTTCAATGTTTTATTTTACTCTTTTTCCTTCCACTTACAGCATTCCACAACCGAGAAAAGCGAAAAGCACACAGAAAAACAATCCGCCGAAAAAGCCACTCCAAAAACCCTTCTCAACCGCAAATTTCTTTCCTTTAGCCAACTCATCGCTGTATCTGAAAGAGATTTTGCATTAATTTGCATTAATTTGCTTTAATTTGCTTTAATTTGCATCAATTTGCATCAATTTGCATCAATTTAATTCAGTTTAACTCAGTTTAACTCAGTTTAACTCAGTTTAACTCAGTTTAATTCAGTTTAATTCAGTTTAATTCAGTCTAATTCAGTTTAATTCAGTTTAATTCAGTTTAATTCAGTTTAATTCAGTTTAATTCAATCCTTCCCCACTTTCCAATCATTTCCTCTTGTGCATTAAACGCTTGCACTGTCCTAACGCCCATAATCGATTCCTCAGCTATTGCTCCCGCTTTCCCCACTCCAACCAGTTCTTTCATCGTTGTTGACGTCATTTTCTAAAATTTAAGATACACGGCTTTCTTTTAATTGGAAAGAAGGCAGATCAAAAACTCATGGACCCAATGGGAGTCGAACCCGCGACCTTTCGCTCACCAGGCCACTGTGCTAACCATTACACCACAAAGCAGTTGAAATCTTCTGCTTCAGAGGGAGTTAACTTTATAGTGAACCGTTCCTACCAATCCACTGTGCTTTGTGCTCAAACGAGTGCTCTTTGGCGCACTCTAGTGTGCTAAAAAGCATCCATTTTGGCACTCTAGTCTGCCAAAAAGCATGCATTTCAGAGAGCACAAAGTGCAAAGTCAAAAAGCTAATTTCCAAATCCAAATTCAACTCACTCTGGCCATCATCGACATGCAGAAACAAGTGATCGGCGCAACGCCTAACATAAAGAAAGCTAAGCGCCATTCGTAGATGAAAGAGATGACAATTGCAGCCGCATACATAGCTGTTCCGCTGAAAGAATTTAAAGATATTCGTCTAGATAAAGAGTTATACAAAAGCTAACATTATTCTAAACATTATTCTAAAGTTTTCTGTAAATTTACCGGATAAGAAGTCCCAACTTGTCACCGATTCCCTCGCGGATTCGCTCGAGATCACTGAAATTTGAGTTTTCTTTTGGATTTGATAAATATAGTGAAGTATTTTACTACTACTACTACTATATTCGTTTCCAAAAAACCAACTCTGAAAGCCTTGTCGTCAGTGTTCCCGAATGATTTTTATCCAGCCAACCGGCGTTTTGTCGGAGAATCGATTTCACGTATCGATGTCGCATCTGGGCGATCACTCGTGAACAAACTGAGGCAAAGCACATGAACTGAAAACTCAATGTTCTTTGGGGACATCAAAACGCACCCTTCTCTGGTGCACTGAACCTTTTCACTTTTCCAAAAGAAACCTGAACAAAGTTGATGAACGATATCAGCACACCGATCCCCAAAAAGATGTAAACGTTCTCGTAAGCCTAAATGGACTATGATATTTAGATTTATCTATAGATATAGATATAGACATTATATATTTAGATAATCTATAGATATACATTAGCTACTATATAGAAGAACAGTTTCTGTCCATCTTTCGACCATCCGTCTTTCGGACGAATTCTCAGCTCCCCGTAAGCCGATTTAAAAGATTTTTAATTTCTTAGGCTTAGAATTCTATATAGTTATGCATCTATTATTTCATTTTTTAAAAAACCAAAAGTGATGACACAGCGGGGAGTCGAACCCAGATTCTGTGGGTTGTAGACAAGAGCCCTCCCGACTGTGCCATAGCGACAGAATTTCCCCGGGTCCCGCAAAACGTGTAAATACATCGTGCATAGATATTTCACTCCACCTTGTCCCTGAACTCTTTCGACGTGGGTGAATAGGTGATGAGAATGTTCGTGATTCGACCGGAGATCAATGCAAGCGTGGGCTGTGAGATTCCTGGAGATAAAAGTTTTAGATAAATACCCAAATCGAACTATAGATAGATATAGTTGAAGATATTTTGCGTAAGTTTTGCGTAAAAACCAGTTCTACCTGATAGAATAGCGCACAAAACGCCGACCGCCAGCGCCACATGATCCCATTTTGACGAGAAACGAAACTGAAAGTGGATTTAGTTTTTTATCATACAATTATTTTTGATTTCAATAAAAGTCAAGACGCTTTTGGATACTAATTTAAAGCATTTGATGGATAAAGTTTCTTTTAGCTTTTAAGATCGATACAATTTGTGAGTAAACTTCGTTGATGTCGAACTTTTGAAATTTTGTGCTCTCCTAATGATGAATACAATTTGTCTAGTTCAACTGGGTAAACTAGAGGAAATTAGAGCCAGATTTAAAGGCGGGTATACGCTTCTGATTGGTCTAAGTTTTCTGGGTCAAGCTAGGCGCAGACAGACAAATCAAGACCATGAATCAGGAAAGAATCACTGGTATTTTTTTTTTTTTTTTTTTTTTTTTCCTTTTTTTATTTTTTTTTCTTTAAAAAAAAAAACAACCACTCCCTTTTCCCCCTACTCCTCATAAACCTTTAAAAAGGGAAACAATTTTAACAAAAAAAAAAAAAACCAAAAAAAAAAAAAAAAAAATAAAAAATTAAAAAAAAAAAAAATTAAAAAATTTTATAATTTTTAAAAAAATTTTAAAAATTTTAACTTTAAAATTTTTTTTTTTTTTTTTTTTTGAATTCTTTTTTCAAAAAAAAAATTATTTTTTTTTAGGAAAAATATAAAAAATAAAAAAAAAAAATTTTTTTTTAAATTTTTTTTTTTTTTTTTTTAAAAAAAATTTTAAAAAAAAATTTAAAAAACTATAAGTAATCTTAAATCAATTCAAAATCAGATCAAAATCAGTTCAAAATCAGTTCAAAATCAGATCCAAATCTAGCCATCTAGCCAAACTGTTAACAGGCTTAGAGCAAAGACTATAATGTACTATAATGATCAATTGGCATCAGGTGAGCCATTCTATAGGTATTTACTTGGCTTTGATCTTCTTGACGCTTACTGATTTACTCATTTACTCATTTACTCCTTTACTGGCTAAGTACAAGTCAAATACTCGATCACCGAAAGTCAAAGAGCCTTTTATAACTCTTGATGTACGCTAATCGCCAATAGTTTAGCTCTTTTCTATCATCAACCTATTTTCGGATAAGAACAGATAAATAGAACGAGTTTTTTGAAAAGCACAAGCGCTAACGGTTACGTTACGTTACGCTACGTCACGCTAACGATTACCGTACCCAGATCTAAACGTTATTATTATCGTTCGTCTATAAAGTGATTCTATTTTTTCGACATTTCCGATTTCTCATCTCAATCACATCACTCACTATGAGTAACATGTAGTTTTCAGTCTTCCCACCCCAAAAAAAAAAACCCCCATTTTCTTCAATGTTTACCCACAAATGAATACATGAATTGAACATAAATCACAAAAATTTTAAGTCCATTTTTGATTTTTCTCTTCCAAAATTTCTCTATTTGAATTATGAAGAAAAAGAAAAATTTTTTTGTGTAAATTGAGTATTAAATTGAGTATCTCTACGCTAACATTGAAAAATTTCAATTTTTTTTTTCAAAAATCTCCGAAATTTCCAAGCGTTTCTAAGTGATTTTTCCGATTTTTCCGATTTTTCGTTACATTTCCGTCAATATTTGTCTTTTTTTATCAAAAAGTGCCCATGTTGAACTCGTTTTCGTTTTCTTGAGTACCAGAAAGCCTTTTCGCACAATTTTGAACAGACTTTTTTCTTCTTCTTCTATTCTACGCCTTCCTTGTACTTTGTGCTCAAAACGCACTCTATCTGGCGCACTGAATTCTTCAGCTGACTCAAGACTACAAAATACGCACAGAAAACAGCTCATATCAGAGTTTTTGAAAAGTCACACACCAATCCACCGATGGACACCGGCTGCACCTCGAGTTGTTGATTGGCCAAGTCACCACTGAAAATGTATTCTATTTTTTGAGCTTTTAAGCTCACTTGGTTTTCAAGGAAAAGAAAGAACAGCCTGCTTTTATGGTAAGGAATACAAAAATTGGCCGCTGACGGGAATCGAACCCACGACCTCTCTGGACCTCTCGCCTACCAGACGAGCACTTTGCCAACGAGCTACATAAGCGACCCGTCGCCACCCGTCAAAGTAGGTTTACTCACCGACACAACAAGTAATTGATAAGCTTCTCGAATGTCGTCGGTGTGTACATCGCTTTTGGACCGTCCTCATCGTCGTCCAGCACTCCTTCACTGCCGCTCGTCGGTAGAACCTAAAAACTGAACATTTACAGTACTACTCAACCCCAGAAAGGTATCCAGCTAATCTACTATAGCATAGAATAGCACAGGCTATGAAAAGCATTCAACGAGCGTCTACCGTCGTTAGCAAACTTAATACCGTTTCCTACTGTAACCTTGTAGTAAACAGAATACCCCCCAATTTACCGTAACCTTGCCTAGCGTATAGTAAGATAGATATAAATACGAGAAAAAGTTATATGACCCACCGTGGCCGGCATGGCAAGTACAGTGCTCTTTTTCGAGTCCCTTTCCCATTTCGATTCCAATCCCCGTTCCAACGGGGAATCTTTCGCATTCGGCGCCATTGTTGGCGTCCCGAATTTGCTCGATCAGAAAATTATCGTTGAATTCAATCGTTTCAATCAGCTCATTCAGAGGGATTTTGTTCTGGAAAGAGATATTTGTGATTTGTGCATTGGGTGGATACGAATGATACGATGAAATTGGATGCTTTGTAAACCAATGCATCACCAATATCTATAATTGCACGATAAAAGACGAGGGTTTGCGTCCAGTCATCAGATTCGTTTTCGTCATCAGATTCACGGTGAAATTGTTTAAATATCTTCAATTTGATATCATTTTACGAGAATTTAGTTAACTTTCGAGATTTCGAGGCTTCAGGCTTTCAAATGATACCAAATTGTTGATTGTTGATTGAAGATTGAAGTTGATTGGAGTAGGGGATTCTGAGAGAATGAAAAGAGAGGGATAAGGAAAGCATCTTATACCAAAGCGCTTTACTAGATCGAGAGCGATTGTGGACACCTCGCAGACATTGTGGAGACAAAGGACACCTCGCTAAGGATTTTACAGGGATTTTTCTTTTGTTCTGTAAATGGTACAACGAGAAGATCTCGGTTTTAATTGATCTAAACTTTTCCAAAAACTCAGGCACTTATTTTTATCTTCAAAATTTCCACAGCTTTCAACTGATGAAAAATCGATTTAGAAATGTAGATTGGTAAAGATAAAACTAAAGAATATAGTAAATAGCAACTAGTAACTAGTAACTAATAAAAGAAAGTAATTAAATAAATATAAGAGAGAGATAAGGAAAGCACCTTATACCAAAGCGCTTTACCAGATCGAGAGCGATTGTGCGCGCACACAAAACTAAAGAATCTAGTAAATAGCAACTAGTAACTAATAAAAGAAAGTAAGCAAATAAATATATAAAGATATAAAGAAAACTAGAGGAGAAAAAGTACTGGCTTTATTAGAATAAGATGAAATTTTCAAATTCAAGTTCTAACACAAAATTTTTCGAAAACTCGAGACCAAAATGAAGCGCTTGCCGAAGTCTGATCTCCTCCTATATACCCAATTTTTTTGTGCTTTGAGTTGAAAAGTCTCTCTTTTCGGAAAAAAGACACGGGAATAAACATTGAAATTCTTAGCCACGTAACTTTTCACCTCTTTTTCCCAATTCCTTTTCTCCAATTTTTCTTTGAAAGGACCCAAGTGTTCTTGGGAATCCCTTCTCCTTTTTTCTCTTTTTCTCTTCTTTTTCTGGAAAAATGTTTAACGAGTGGACACCTTCTTGTAGTATTTTGTGCCACCCAAAAATCGGCTCTGATTTCTGTGTTTGCTCATCACTTTTTCAGCTACTTTTCTTCAATAAGTTGACGAGAACGAAATTGCACAATGTTAACAAATGTTTCATTTGAAGCTTTCTGAGATAAATTTACGACTCAATGAGTAAATGAGTAAATGTCAAGAAGATCAGAGCCAAATAAATGCCTATAGAATGGCCTACCTGATGCCAATTGATCATTATAGTACATTATAGTCGTTGCTCTAAGCCTGTTAACAGTTTGGTTAGATTTAGATCTGATTTAGATCTGATTTTGATCTATTTTGATCTATTTTGATCTGATTTAGATCTGATTTGGATCTGATTTGAATCTGATTTAGATCTGATTTAAGATTACTTTTTAAATTTTAAGATAAAGTAAAAATTGATAGTGATAAATTTGAAAGTTTTGAGTCTAGAAATTCGGCTCAGTTTTTCAATCGAATCTCTTTCCCCCCTCATCAAGTGTATTTTAAAAATCTTTAACCTTAATCGATAACCGCTTTTCAACTATCGATATCTTTTTCAAAAGTAGCAAAACTTTGATATAAAAGTACAAGCGAATTTAACCGAAAAGTAAGAAGCGTTTCAAACTCTGCTTTGTGTAGATCGATTATGATTTGCACACTGATTTGCATTTATCGGCGCAAGCACAAAAATTCCCCTTTTGCAATCCGTTTCCTAAATAAAACGTGTCTCTTTCTACAGTCGTTCCGTTTTTCCAGAGTCAATGATTACGGTAAAGTTCGTTTTAGAAAGCACAGTTTTTAGTATTTGCCTAGAAATCGAACTAGACGGTTTTCGAAAATATAAGTCGATCTCCAGTTTCGCTGAACTCACGAAAGCATTAGTTCAATGAACAGAGCCCAGCCCGGCCAAGGCACAAGTCAGAATCGTTTGAAAGAGAGAAATTGATGAGAATCGGGAAAAACGAGAAAACGATGATTGAACTCCGGGGAGAAAAGTCTGTCTGTGCCCGTGTTTTCTCTATGTTCTACATCGACATTTGGGTCTTTTCCCGATTTCTTTTTCATGTGCAATGTTTACCGAAACACCTCTGTAACTGTCGCTGGGGTCAGAAGAGGAAGAAAAATCGGAAAAGAGGAGATGTCGACAAACTCTTTCATCCTTCCATCAATTCTCCATCCATTCACACAGAGCACAACTGGAGATGTAAGATTTTCAGGGAAAGACACACACTACAACAGCTACATTATTCGCGACCATTGGCCAACATCGGTAAAATTACCTGTTGTCAACTTAGTGCTAAACAGAATGAACTTTAGTCTCCGAGCTATTTTACTTTTTACCGTAATCCTTCATCTTCAAAGTCAATTTCTTGTCAGTTTTTCATTCCTGTATTCCTCTTAACTTCTCCAAAACTAAAAATTTTTGTTAGCAAAAAACGATCAATTTAATCTAACACCAGGAAGAAAGAAAATAAATTATAGACATTAAATGAGATTAGACTGTACTACTTTAGTTGGTTTTCTAAAACGTGGATCCAGGATTATGGTAGCTTTTCTAAACCTTTTTAAAAGCTCGTCAATCAGGAGTAACACAGTCTAAATGAGATAGCAAAGGAACCAGTTTTTCTTCTGATTGGGAGGGGTACAATCGAAAAAAGACAACAAATACTGATAAAAGGGCGACAAAACAAAAATTCTATCACATTTAGTGTGTTTGGAAAGTCGGGAATGAAAAAAGGAACCCATCTTTGATGTGAATATGTCTAATAAATTAACGCGGAAGTGAAATAAATTAGGATCACAAAAAGAAATCAAAAATGAGGTTGACAGAAATGAAAAGAGAAGAAGCAACAACTAAAAACTAGCTTGGTGTAAAAATTTTACTTGGGCAAAATGATTCCAAAATAAAAAGTACATGTAAAGCCTACATTTAAGATTTTCGTCTAGTACTGATGGATGACGATCTCCGAGGTGCCACCGACCACCGTGATGCCCCATTTCCACCAGCCGATTGCCTGAAAAAGAAAATGATTTGTTTAACTTGTTTGGCAAATAAAGTAGTTCTTAAATCGATTATCATCAGCAGACCCTTTATTAGTCGACTCTCAAATAAAACCATTTGATATTTACCTGCTGTGGTCCCTTTCTGCGAGATTTGATCAACTCACGAAGTTGCAACAACGTATCCGAGTTTTGATTCTCACCTAAACAATAAAATATAGCTTTATGTCTAACGCTTTAATGACTACCGTGAGCATGATGTGAGGCGACGGCAATTTCCAGGTTTGGTTGCTTTGCGGGATCTGGCAATTTAGCGGACTTCTTCTAAAAACGATATTCTTTTTTGTTTTTCAATTCAATTACACATTTAAATGGGCTTCGAGATTTAAACTTTAACAAGCATACTCACGTCTTCAAGCTCGATCCAGAATGTGCGCACTTCGGGTCGTTCAAATCCGTAGGTGAGGAATACAAAGTAGGTTTTTCGCCGGCCGAACGTGTCCAAATTCATTGGCGTAAACGACCACTCGGAAAGCTCATAGTTGTCAAGAGGAGTGATGTGAAGAGACATCTTGTCAAAACCACCGCGTAGCTAAAAGGATCAAAGATCATTAGTTGTAAAGCATAACTCAAATAATACCTCAAATTCAAATCGAAGTTTCCGTTCACCAACTCGTTCTCTCTTGATCATTTTCAACTCAATCGGATAGGGAATCCTCGGAACTGATGGAACGGCAATCCAACGAGAGTGACTAAAAGATTTTGATAATCAAACGTCTTATGTCTCATGATAAAACGTACCTTGGCGGGAAAAGCTCATGAATGGCCGTATAGTATGGTAGCTGACAGTACTCGTCTTGCGTATGATTGCACGATGGAGCCTCACTACCCTAAAATGAACAGCGTACACGCTTTTTAAAATTCACACATACCGAAAGGAAAGAATGTTGCGGAAGATCGGCGACACCTCGATAATCCAATGATTGAATGAAAAGACCCGTGTCTTCCAGCTTCACTCCGCCATCAAAGTTGTGCACCGTGCGGGTGGCATGCTAAATTTTAGAATTAATATAAAACCATGACGGCTCCTACACCAACCAAAATAATGACTCTCCTGAGGCGTGGATTCTCGTGTGAGTACTTGTAAGGATATCCGAGTGAGGTCGTTGCCATTGCGACAAAGAAGAGCAAGAAAACGGCCGAAGCCACTTTGAGCACGTAGTTCATGCGACGAGAGATGTAGATCAGATTGCACTAAAGAAATGCATGATTTGATGTCCTCGATCAGTAACGATTCCTTTTATCAACTAAAACATACCGTGAAGAGCACAAAAGTGTAAGCGATTCCAAGAGCCAGCGGCCCCATCACAAATTCCGGATTCACCGCATTTCCCAATCGTCCCATCACTGGCACAAAGAAGTCAATACATTGCGTAATCGCGTAAACGGCGAAGACTAAAGTAAAGTCAGTATTTTTTTATTCAAAAGTGTTACCAATCAACGGGAAGTAGCAGACGAGTTGAGCGAAGAAGACGACATTCGGTGTCACTCCTAAATAGGAAATACAATTCGACAAGAAGTTTGCTTAATAATCTGAATCGAGCAAATCAAATATAAGCTTTTACCATAGCCGCAATCAGGTTGATAAGATGAATCTAAGGCATCACCATTTTGAAATTTGCAATACTTTTTGATCTCACACCGCCCGCTTTACATGCACGGTTCATTCATAAGTACCAATGAGTTTTAATGCAAAAAGGACGACGAGAGCTCAACAAGTACAGTTTTAAAACTGAAAACACTCACTTTTGATCATGCCAAACTTTCCGAAAAGCCAAATGAGCGGATCTTTGGCAAGTGGGAATAGGACGTAGTTGAAAATGAAAAAAGCCGACGCTAGACGAGCAGCAGTCATCGTGAAGAGTAGGCACGAGAAGATGAACAACACCGAGTCACAGTGCACCATCTCCGCCGCTCTCATCTGAATAATGCATTTTAAACAAAAAGAATAGCAAAATGTTATAGGTAACTTGTCCTTAATAGTGCATAGAAAAGTTAAGTGTTTTGTTCATGAAGTCCAATACCTTTGTTGTGGAGGCGAAATACGAGTGAAAAGCGGCTCCGGTAATCATCATCGGAAGCACATAGAGGCCACCAATCGCTTCAGGAAGAGAATACCTAGGTAAACATTAATTTCATAGAATAATTTGCACTCACCAGCACATAACCATGTCCAAATTGATCACCAAAGCAATTATCGCAAACATCGTCACAATCATCGCAAGCAAAGCGAACAAATGATGCACAAGAGCCTCGAAAATATCAGCCACACCTATAGAATACTATATTAACATTTGAGTTTAAATTAGTACCATAGACGCCGGTTCTGAAGCGGAAGAAGATCAACACAAAAGTTGCGACCACAGCTCCAAAATTGAGAATTTGACCTAAACAAATGGTATTATGAGAAATTTTTCTCACACAAACCAATCGAAATGCTATAGTAGACGGAGAACAAGCCAACAACATCGTAGAAAACCCAGCGATTTCCTTCATCGAAAGTGGCGGCTTGTCGAAGGTAAGGTGAAGACAAAATTCGCTTTACCTAAAGATAAATACAGTTTTAAAGCTAAAGAAATAAATTGTTTTTTTGGAATCAACATTGGACTCATTTAAATGTTTGAATCTTTTTAGAATTACGAACCACAGCGAGCACATTCTCCCCAGCCCGTTGAATAGCTCCTGGCTCGATTCTCCATTCCTCGTCGAATTCGGTGTGATAAACCCATCCATTTTTGGTGTAAGCAATGTCGAGTCCTAAATATTTTTATTTTAAATTTGATAAATCCCTTCTCAACCTGAAGCGCGTCCATAATCGCGGAAAATTCTGAAATCCGTATCCGAAGGAATCACTCCTGATTGAAAAACCTCTTGTGCCAAAACTATATGAAAATTTTCACTTTTTAAAAAGTTTACTAGTTACCGGAGCAAAATGGATGCGGGGCAGCTTCGAGATAAGTTTGAAGTAGCCATGAATTTCCAGGGCCAGCCTAAAAAGAAAATAAAAATAGGTATAAACTTAAGCAAAATATACCTGAAACAAAATCTCCCGGCCACCTGAGCCAGTGCCCTCAAGATTGATGAACGCCTGAAAGAAAAGAAAATTTTATCACTAAAAACACCACACACCTTGATCGAGTGTCTCCATGGGTGCTTCTCAATAAACCCGTGTGCTCCTTGGAGAAAATTCTCTTCGGCTAAAAGAAAAGGTTTTATGAGGAATTTCTCGAAAATTACCTCCATTGAACAAAAAGATGACATCATTTTGCAGTGATTCTTTCGTATGCGCCAACACATTCAATACTTCCATCATGATTGTACAAGAAACCTAAATCAAACACATTATTTTGGCAATAATGAATTAGTAAGCACAAAAAATTCTATTGCTCACAGCATCATCGGTGGCTCCAGGTGTATCGGGCATCGTGTCAAAGTGGCAATTCAGGAGAAGAGCACTGTCGGAGGGTTTTCCCTACAAAACTTTTATCCTGGGAAAAGGAGCTAACCAACTTTTGGACCAAGTCGTACCACCAGGTTCGTGATTTTCTCGTAGCACAAAGTGAAACTGGATAAAAATTTGAGATCGAAACAACCGGTGGGTCGTTGAACATCAAGCTAAAGGGCTTTAGAATTTTGTTTTGTCCCGTTAAGACTTTGTTTTGTGTCGTTAAGTTGTTACACCTCCAGCTAAGTAATTAAATTCTGCAAGCGCTACCTCAAAGCGGTTCACTCCAATCGCCGAAACATTTTTGGCAGCCAAATCAAGTTGATGGCGAAGGACGTTGAAAGCAATATTCTAAAAACCCCATCACTCAATAAATTTTCTTTTAACAAACCTCAAGATTGTGAGAACCACTGGGTCGAGGGCCATTTTTTGTCAAATCCTTCAGCAGATTTCGGGCATGCGTTTCAGAGAAGCGTTCGAATTTCGGATCATCTACAACGGGCGGCATACGTCTATAAATAAAAATTTCTAAGCACCATGAGCGAAGAAAACCTGTGCAAGTAAATGACGCCTCCATAAATTACGCCAATGTAGAGCACAACCAAAAGCCAGTGTCGAAATCCGAGCTGCTCCTAAAAAGTAAAACTTATTTCCATCTATGCCCTTTAAAGACTAACCTTGGTCTTTCGTTCCTCATCCAAGCTGGTGTAACCATTCGATGATGATTTACTGTCATCCAATCGAGCGGCTCCACCACCCGCCGTTGTACGGCGTCTTACCTCCATGATCACTAAATTTAACAAATCATAAAACAGTCCGATTATTAGGACGAAAAAATCAGAAACCAATGGTCACGGTAAAAAGTTATTTTGAACCCTGCATTTCAAAAAAGTTTGACAAAATAAACTATCGTTGATTAGAATGAGAAAATTATTGTTGATATGACTGAACAGTAAACAAATTTGTTTTCCTCCAAAAACACTAGTGAATCATTGCGAACGCCTAGCATCGCACCCCCAAAACACTTCGTTGACAAAATCTGTTGGAAAATCTGTTAGACAACATTCGATTTTTGCGATTTCATTTCGAAGACACAATCAAGAATTTTTTATTGCAAAAACGAAAATTTTATAGAACTTTACGGAGAAGGAACACCGTAGATGAAAATTATAACAAAAACCATGAAAATAATTTAGCAAACAAACAAATAATGAGAACAGTTCAATTTTTGTGTTTTTCTTTGCTTTGCAAGTTGGCAACGAAGAAGAGGCCATTCAACGGCGACGCCTAAATCAGCTTTTATCATTCCCAAAGATAAGAATCGATGAAGGGAGAGTGTAAAGACTAAAGGGGTGGAAAAGGGGTTTTCTAAAATACATAAAAAAGCAATATATTTTTGCTCATTTCAACACATAAGTTGTCTTTAATCTAATCTTCCAAATTTCGATGCAAGCGTAAAGGGATGTCAATTATTCCTGATTTTTTTGTTTTAAAGCAGGTTTGCGTATCATCTGAAGAGATACCAAAAAAATCTCTTGGACATCATAACTAACATCCATACCTATCACGATCATCACGTCGATCATCACGGCGATCATCTCGCCGACGATCATCACGTCTTCCATCACGGCGCTCGCGCGAGTTTGACCGGCGGCGACGATCGCGTGAACGAGAGCGACTAAATGCAACTGTTTTTACAACTGTTATAAAAATCAATTTCTAAGGACAAAAATATGCACTAACCTACGACGACGCTCCTTGTCTCGGCGATCACCACGGTCACGATCGCGCCGATCTGGTGATGAACGTCTAAAGAAGCTAATGCCATGTTACTTGAGAAGTCAAACCAACCTCTCCCTTCCACTGTCACCGTTCTTCTCACCATAAAGCTTACGACGCTCATCGATGGTGCTCTAAAATAATTCTTACATTACTGCATAAAGTTTAAAGCTAAATATCCAATCTTTATCATACGGGTTTTACTTCTCAGTTTAGCTGTGTTTTCCATCTATAGACCTCGTGACGGCCGGGTATACTTTTAAGAGCCTCACCAACTCTGCTGAAAAGCCTCGACCGCCCAGTTTATAAAAAATTTCTTGAGATTATGTTAGGCAAAAAACACTAATGGGTTGGGTCGAGGCGCGTGCTAAATCGTTTGCGAGAAGTGAACCCACGGGAAAATGGAAAACCGCAAACAAGCTCTACGTGGCCATATTAGAGGGCCAAGAAGGGCGACGTCACAATTTCCTTAAAGCGAGACGGTCACCCAAAGTCTTCGTGTTGTCGAACGAAAAGTCTTCGCCCATAAAAACTCACCCCCATCTCGGTGTAACGCTCTCGAATTTCAACCATTCCCAAATGCATCTTGCCACCAAAATGATCAGCCAAGCGCGATTCATGGTCCATGATATTGAGCTAAATTTAAGGAAATTTATTTTGCTTCTTGAATACCACATACCTGTGCACCGCAGTCATCACAAACACGAAGACGTTCTAAAATTTATAAATTAAATAATATAAAGTCAATCCATAACAACAGACTGTATCAAACTCACGTTGAGAAGTCATTGGAATGTTCATCTTTCCTTCATTCTAAACAAAAAGTTCAATCAAAATCTATTTTGCTTGCGCTTTACCTTCAATTCGTTTTTCTTTTGTTCCAACTCCTCGACTTTCTTCGCGGTGCGCATTGATTCCTCAACTTTACCCTAAAATCTTCGAGATTAAATCAAACATTGATAAAGAAACCTGCGAGCCAAGTTCTTCAATTTCCCCAACAAGCAACTTGATTTGCTCTTCAATGTCAGCAATGCGTTTCATCTAAGCAGAGATTAATTTAGCTACTAACAATAAATAATTTCACTATCACCTTCACAATTTCAGCGCTTTCTCCGGCATCTCGCGTGTCTCGGTCGAGTTTGTTCTTGATCTTCTCAATCTCACCATCCACCAAGCGAATTGTGCCTTGCAAGATGTTGTAAAGCTAAAGATATTTGTTGAAGTTTTCTATATCTAAAGAGTACCTCTATGTCATAGAAATGATCCTTCTGTGCTTGAGCATTCTCGTAGTCAGCTTTGTGAGTCGGTTCATGCATCTTTCGACAAGAAACAAGCCCTTCCAACCTAAAAAGCCTTAGAATTAAAAACAAGAAATATATAAGCAAACCTTGTATCTCCCAAAAGATCGGCCGGACAACAACTTAGAAGATATGGTCTGCACACCGAATGATGGTTGTATAGAGGCAGATCTCTGCCTAAAATTGAAGCTCTACATTTGAATGAATGATAAAAAGCACCTTCTTCTTTTGCCCGCTGAGCGCCCATCAACTGGGCAATCGCTTCACGCATCGTGTCCGTCATCTAAATGAAATCATTACATAGATCAATACATTCCTAAAAATAGGCTAGTTCACAGAAAATTTCGACCTGCCCGTCGCAAAACAGACTTTTAAAGAGACCTTTTAGAACCGATTTTTGAGATAACATTGGACTTTTACCAGAAAGATAATTAATTAAGCAGATGATAAATTAATACGTTTATTTACAAACTAGATGTACAATCATGGCAGTAAAAAGTTTAAGTATACAGTTGATAGAATTCCTATTGCTTTGGCGGAGCTTTCTTTGCAGCCACTCGATTTGCAATCAGCCGTCCGTACTGTGAAAAAAGGAAAACGATTATGAAGACTCCAATCGTCAATTTCAAAACCCTAAATTGAGAAAAATTAAAAGCAAAAGCAGTTCAACTACCTCCAGACGTCAATGGTCTGTTGTAGCTGCAGGGCGACTCCTTGAGAAAGGGGGATACCAAGTCCATCTTCTACCTACAATTCTCTGTAAAGGATTAATTTAATAAATTTGAACCTTTCGGACTTCAGCCCAAAACTGAGCAGCGGATAAATCGGTGGCAACCGTGACGACATTGTCTTTCGACTAAATCGATTAATCGATTGAAGAAATAAAATGAATACAATACCATTCTTCCACCAATAACGGCTCCATCATGCAGAACGGCGATAGCCTTTTTCTCATGCGGCAAAAATACTACCTTTCTGACCTAAAACAAACAGATTGTTTTATTTACTTTAGTAAACTAACCTCTCCTTTTTCAAGGTAATTGTGAAGAAAATCATCAATCGCGATTCCCGGCTCAGCAATAGCTTGTGGCGTAACTTCTAAATCTTGCATAAGCTAGTCAAATCTCACAAATAACCTGGATTTGCCTCCGCTTGTTTGAGCACCAATCGAGTCATCAGATAAAGCGTAACACCGAATGATACCGCCGTCATGCCAAGTATGTAGATACGAAATCTTCGCTCTAAACAAAAACTGTAAAGAGTCAAACAATTGTTTCCTACTCATATTTTCATCAAGCGGCGGCATGGAGCTGGTTTTCCTTTCCTAAAACTCTATTGATTCAATTAATTAGAAAAAGTTACCTTTTCTTCTTCTTGCTTTTCCTCCTTGGCATCATTGCTGGTTTTTTCACTTTCTTGTCCTTTATTCGATTCATTGGTTCGTTGCCGCAGGGTTCGTGTAACTAAAAAAAATAGAAACGCAATAATTTACTCAAACCTTTCACAGAAGTCAGGGGCCGAGGCACGAGCAATGTCCGAGTTCCATTTGAATAACATCTTGTTAAAGTTAAACTCCGAAAAACAATAAAGAATCGAGACTTCGTTAGCAACATTTCAACTAAAACAATTGAATGAAACTCTTGTTCAAGACGCACAAAGAGGAAAGTGAATTGGACTGACGCGGAGCCACCAAACGATTGATGATAAACGCAAGACTGAACACCATACGACTTAACACCGTTTTTTTTATCCGTGAATAAAATTCAAAACGAGAATTCCAAAAGAGGTAGTACAACATTGCTTCAACGATCAGAAACGCCACTAGTCCGTTTTTGAGCTTGCTTGGTTTTTTATCTTCTTGCCATCGTCGCACTGTCCGCCTATCTTTCTGTCAGCTTCAAATAATTATGCGTTTTGAACTTTTCGTTTTCACCAAGGAGCTTTGCGGAAAGTTGTTGGAGAACAAGAGGGTGAACAACATGTGTTATTATTTTAGGTACTTTACCAAAACCAAATCATAAAATCAAACATTCATTGAATATTTATTTGTAAAAAACAACAATTAACAAAAAGATAACAAAAAACTGAAACATAACAAAGAGCAAACAACGCGATTAACTAATAGTGTTTAACGGACTGTCATCATCCATTTCGTCATAACTTTGATCGAGGGGAAGTGTAGTCCGCGAAGACAGAAGCATCAAGACGACCCTCTTCACACATTCGTTCCGCGTACTTTTGCGTGTAGCGAGTTGGAAAACGCCTAAAATAAAAAATAAAACCACAAACTACATGAAATAATACGGAGAGGTAATCAGTTGTTGATCAGTGTCGTACACTTTCACCAAATCTTCCACAATGGAAGGGAGAAGCCGCCCTCTTCGCTTGTTGCCATAAATTACACAAAGTCGACTCAACCAAACATAAGTAAAGGTAAAAATAAAGACTTCTACCTGAAAAGTCGTTCAACAGAAACCGAAGATCCGGGGACGCAACACCATTGAAGACCTTTACGAGCTAAGTCCGGTAAAACGCCTTTATGGAGCATCCAAAATTGAGGCAGCGAAGCGCGACACTACCCCACCGCGCACGATAGCTTCATATGTGGTAATCTAAGAATAAGAATAAGTAAGAATAATAATCTAAAAGCAACCTACCTGATCCTTAATTAATGGCGCTGAAGAGGAAAGACTTCATTTGAAACGGTGATGTAGAGGGCACTCCTGCTTCTGCATCACACAATTCGAAATAAAAGCGTAAGTTTTAGCAACGATTTGCAAACCTAGTTCTGCTGACAGGATTGTTTTGACTTTTAACTGCTGCAAAGTTTGAGGATTGAGGTAGGAGCCGACGCATAAATGATCATATACATAAACGATCTCCCAGTAGCACGAAAGCCCGAATCGATGCACATATGGGATGAAGCTCAATCAACTCGACGAGATACCTAAAAGAAAATATTATGACAAACCGGGAGTGGGACAAATGCGACCTTTTTTTTTTTTTTGCGCACCCGGCCATTTGCGCACCTTTTTTTCCGCACCTGGCCCATTAGCGCACCTTTTTTCGCGTTTTAAAAAAGCTTTAAAAAGCTAATATTAACCAATTTCTATTCCAAAAGTTGTTTTTCTAGATAATTCTAGGGCGTAGAATCGAAATTTTGACATATCAGAGCTTGTGGAAGCGAACGGACGGAGTTATACAAAGAGAAAAATCGACCATTTTCTGTAATTTGACCTACCCGTTTTGTCTTTCAAATTGATTCCACACGCTCTGTTATGTCAAAATTTCGATTCTATGCCCTAGAATTATCTAGAAAAACAACTTTTGGAATAGAAATTGGTTAATATTAGCTTTTTAAAGCTTTTTTAAAACGCGAAAAAAGGTGCGCTAATGGGCCAGGTGCGGAAAAAAAGGTGCGCAAATGGCCGGGTGCGCAAAAAAAGGTCGCATTTGTCCCACTCCCGACAAACCAAAAACCCATATTACCTGTGTATTTGTGTTTCTGCGGATTTGAAAAGTGATATTGTGTTGCTACTATGAAAATCTTCGGCAGAAAGCTAAAAACAAGTTCCACTGCGTACATCCTAACAAAAAACTAACTAGTTTGGTCATCCAATTTGTCACTGAGAGCAACTTTTGGACGATCATTGATAGTTTCATTGTCTGTCTGTCTGTCGGTCTTGTCGTCCATTTTTGCGATTGGGCTTCTTTATCTTTAATCTCATCTACAACCACTTTGTCTGCGCTGGCAATCGCTTGTTCTTGGGCTCGGTCTGTGGGTCGATCTCTCATTGCCTTTGAAGATGTCAGTGCCCTCTTTCGTGTTTTTAACATTATGGCCAAGTTGATTGGGCATCATCAATTTGGCGCGAGTTAATGGATTCTTTTGCGTTTCGGCAAGCAATTCCAGCACACGAATGCCACAAGCTCTCTTTTCCTCTTCGCTCCATGCTGCAATTCATGCGCCACCAATTTTATTGCACAGCATGTCATCTTCCTCATCGCGTGTAATGCCGCTACCACAGCCGAGGGCCACTAGAACAATACTTTCTAATGCTCGTGCAGCCGTTCTGGCCAGAAATGTTGATGTGAGAAGATAAATCCCACTTTGTTCGGCCCAAATTTCTCGGATTTTTTCCTTGAGCTCCGGGTTCTTATTCTCCTTCCATCCTTTTGTGTGAAGCTTGGCGACGAGAAGATGGTGAACTGATCGTTGATCGTCTCCCGAGCTGACATAGACTAGCACCTTTTTGGCTATATCTAGCGTGAGGTCGTCTCCTGGGGTCCATTTCTGCCCATCGATGTAGACATAAAGTCGACTCTTTACCACTTCTGCTTCTGCTTTTTCTCGCCACCCGCTCCCAAGGGCACCAAGCGTTCCACGAGTTCATCGGGGTCATTCTCGGCTTGAGACGAAGATTCAGCCAATTGCAACAAAACCATTGTTCTAAACATCAAGAATTAGTATATAAGAATTAAGAAAGTGAAAAGCAATAAAAAATTAAAAAGGAATAGTAAACTTTAAGGTGCTCCAGCTACAAAAGGATTTGGCGGGGCAGTTGAACAGGAAGTTTTGACTTGTCTGAAGATGTCTGGAAATCGGTGAAATTCTGAATTGAGCTTTCCCTACCGTAATCTTTTGTTTAGATGCGCCTGGTTCAACTCATCCCTAAAGTTTTCCCTACCTTAGCCCATTGGTTTGATACAGGCTAAAGTCCAGCATAGGAGTCAGTCCAGGTCAAGTCATTGGACTAGGTAAGTAATGGTCAGGCAGGTCCAGCCAGGTTGAGGATCAGGAACTAGAAAAAGTTCAGAATTTCGAAAGAGATTTTCCTTCGACTTTAACCTGAAAAAGTTCGTTTTAAAATATTCTTAGATATTGAATAAGACTTTCAACCTTCACTGAATCTGTTCATAGTTTTTATAAGAAGTATGACCCGTTTTTTGTTTTGCATAAACGTTTGGTTCAGTCCTTGATCTCAAAGTCTTGATATATTTGTTTGGTTCTTTTGTAGACATAAATTTTTCAATCACAGATGATCGAAAAGTTTTATGGCCCTTTTCAAAAGAGATTTGTCCTTGCATCGGTAATGGGTTTGATGCTACTTTTGAGGAAAAGAAAGAGGTAGATGTTTGTTTTGAGGAATTCGAAATGAAATTGAATGCCTTGAAAAGATTTTGTGAAGTTCGAGGTGTATTAAGGAAAGGACTGCCGTAAACTGGCTATATTTTTTGGAGGGTGTAACTGACTTAGAGCTTAAAGGCATCAAGCAGAGTACGGTAGTGGCAGCGTGTCGGACAAATACGGTAGAAGGGGTACTGTAGTTGCCCGGGATACTGTAGCCACAAGGATACTGTAACCAACAAGGGATACTGTGGTTGCCTTAAAGGAGTACCATAGACAACAAAGAATACCGATTGTAGCTGCCCTTGAAGGGCCTGAGCCTGAACCTGTAACAATTAACCTATGAAATCTCGCGTTTAAGCTTAACCAAGTCTAATCTCAAAGACATCTTGCAATCATTCACATACCCAAGATAGAGTTTGTGTTGTTGAAAAGTTTTTCTTTTAAATCTTTGAATCAAGAGATTTCTCTCACCTTTCCTCTCAAAAATCGCATCAATCACCCAGCACAAAATTTGTTCAATTTTTTTGGAAAAAGAAAATCTTTTCACATTCTTTTAACATTCTTTTAACCCTCCTCCTTGTCCTTGACTATTTTTGGGGCCAAGAGATTTTTTCAATTTGAAAAGTGACGCGATTTTATTGAAATTTCGCTAATCCACATGTGGTTTCATCCATTTCTCATTTTCTTTGGCTTTTCGATATTTTTGGATATTGTTTATGCGGCTGGGTCACCATTCAGAGATTATTCGTTCGACGAGCGATTGCTTTTTCACAGTGAGTTTGAAATTTAAAGTGTTTGCTTGGTTATCGTAGTTTTATAGTAATACTGTAACCTAATAAAGTTTCCTGTATACTGTACTTGTTGCAAAATACTTTTTAAAAGCTTTGCTATAAACTATTTTACAGGGTACTTATAAAGCGTTTGATAAGTTATCAGGGTCACGAGATCAAGAGCCAAAGTTATAAAGGGGCATTACGGTAGTCTGTTTTATCTTTTACAGGTAATACAGTAGCTTGTTGTCCAATGAGTATATTCAAAGATATTCTTTAGAATGGTTTTGCGGTCGTCACCGCTCGTTGGGAACTTGCCAGGGAACGTTTACGATGAATCGATACTTGACCGAAAAGGATAAACTCAAGTTGGAATCAAAAGTCTTTTCCTTGGTAATTTGAGAATTCAGGAAAGAGTTGGATGAAGAGTTCCGAATCAAAAGAGAAGTGAAAACAGGTGGGAAAGATAGAAATGAAAAGACAGTACAAAAGAGATTCAGTAATTTTTCACTAAAACACATACTATTTCTAATACTTGTAGCACTGTAGTACTTTCTAGGTCCTACAGTACTTCAATAAGCTTAGTTTAGTCAACTTTTCTAATACTCTAGGTCTTACAGTACTTCAATACGCTTAGTTTAATCTATCAGTTTCTAGATATTCGAGTGAAAAGAGCGATTGATGATGAAGACGAAGAGTTTGAGTATTATTTGTGGAAGAAACATTTGAGGAACAAGTGGAGAAGAAGATTGTGAGTGTTTTGGACTCCAAAGTACTTCAATCCTTATTTGAATACTCCAGAAAAAGATACCAGGAAGGGTACTGAAGCAAGGAAAAGGTTCAGTAGCCCTAGGCTTGTTATTATAGAAACAGAACCCTTAGCAAAGTACCCGAACTTCTTTCAGAGAGATGAATAGCGGTGACACGATCATCCACAATCATTATCACATCGATCGACCTACTCCTGTTGTTCAACAACCCGCCTACCAACCCTACTATTATCAACCGAGTTAGTTTTATTTGGCTAAACCGTATTACATCGAATAAAAGGCTCATAAGATGGATATTTACTGTTTTCAAATTGATTCATGGACAAAAACAAGTTATAGTCAAGCCAATGTCAAGCCTGAGGCACTGGTTCATCTGGTCAGGGTCAGGCTTTTAAATTTTAAAATTTCAAGACTAACAGCCATCACTTGACCTTAAGAGCCTTCTATTCCAAGAAGTAGAGTGTTTTTTTCCATTCTTTTGTTCTCACTCACACCTTGCGTTCAGCCTATGGTTACTACAACCCGTATTACCGCTATGGATATTACTATCCGCGTCGTTATTGGCGTAATTATTATCGTTATTATCCATCATACGGTAGCGATAAATGAAAGTGCACAGAAGTTGGATATTCTTTAGGTTACGGTGGATACGGTAATTACGGTGGATACGGCAATTACGGAGGATACGGCGGTGGATACGGCGGTGGATACGGTAATTTGAAAAGATATTTCATATATTTGAAAAGAGACGAATTTCAGGTGGAAACGTTTTCAATCTGGGAATGGGACGAGGAATCGGTTAGTTTGGAAAAATTTTAAAAACTAGAACTTTGAGACTGAAAATTTCATGATTTGGCTTATGAGCCGAATTCTATCTAATGGATAGTATGAACATTCTTTAAAATGTTGTTTTTGAGTTACTCAACTAAAAATAGATTGACTGGAGCTTTAGAAAAGCATAAAGTAGCAAAATGAAGCCAACTACCCCATTTCAGGCATATCAACCCCGATTGGTGGTTTTGGGCTTGGCTCTTTCTTCAATATCGGTGTCGGATAATGCTTTGTGCAAACGTTTTATCTCAATTTTTCCGAATCTCACACTTCTTGTACATAATAAACATTTATTTTGATGGAAACTGGTAGAAAACGGTTTGAAACCGCAAAAAAAGTAATTTCGGTTGAGGCTATTTGGTGGCTCGGCTACCGTACCCCGCTTCTGTCTGGGACCAATTTTGGCGGCGAACAGCGACAAATTTTTCATTTTATTTTCAACCCTCATCCAGTTTCACGACTTTTTTCGAACTTTCGCTAGAATGCAGCATTTGTTCGGATTTTTGTTAGCCGTTTATGGCCTAGTTCATACTTAAGCCTCCAATTCCACTAGTTCTTGCCTGATCTCATTTGGTTTAACGTGAAATGGGCTTTCATTTTTGCTCACCTCAGATTGACTTGTCCCTAATAATGTTTTTCTTCAGATTTGATCTTTAAAACGTCTAACGACGATCTTTGATTCACCAAGATGGTCAAAGAGGACAAGTAAAACGATTTTTTTATAGCCGCATTTATCTAGATTTTTAGATCTACCTGGAAGGCTAACTACTTCACCAAGATCGCCGAGCTCTTCGAAGAATATCCGAAGCTCTTCATCGTCGGTGTTGACAATGTTGGTTCTAAGCAAATGCAGGAGATCCGTATTGCTATGAGAGGTTTGTGTTTGCGCTCTTTATTGATTATATTAAATTTTTTAGGGCATGCCGTCATTCTGATGGGAAAGAACACCATGATCCGCAAGGCCATCCGTGGACTTCTCGCAAAGAACCCAAATCTCGAGAAGCTTCTTCCATACATCGTGCAAAACGTTGGCTTCGTTTTCACCAAGGGAGATTTATCGGAGATTCGCGGACAGCTGTTGGAGAACAAGAGGGTGAGCGGCTTTTGGGTTATTGTTTGTAGCCGGGTTAATGTGTTGAATTAAGCGATGCATTTAAGGACTAGTTTGATTGGATTTAGGTTTTAAGCTTTGTAGTATAGGCTCTTTAACATATTAGTTGAGTAGTGAAGAATTTTGTTCTTAAAAATATTACATTTTACGAATTTTATTATTTTGGGGTGCTCCTGCTATGGCTTTAAGTAACAAACAAAATAATGTATCAATCATTCAAAAGGAATTAAAAGTAATGAAGAATCAGAAATAAACTTTAGGACGTCGCGTTTGCGCTCATACAGACAGACGTCTTCTGTTTTATTTAAAGTAAATAGTATCTTTGCGGCCATTAAAATTATTTAAATAAAAGTAAACTTTAGGGAGCTCCTGCAAAAGCAGGAAGTCTGGCGCCATGTGACGTGAAACTTCCTCCACAAAACACTGGAATGGGACCTGAGAAGACTTCTTTCTTCCAAGCTCTTCAAATTCCGACCAAGATCGCAAGGGGAACCATCGAGATTCTCAACGAAGTTCACCTCATCAAGGTATATTTTTAAGCGAGGCTATAGCTACTAATATGCTTGCCTTTGCTATGCACGTTCCAACGTTTAAATTTAGATTGGCGAGAAAGTCGGTGCTTCGGAGTCTGCTCTTTTGAACATGTTGGGCATCCAACCGTTCTCATACGGTCTTGTTGTTCTTCAAGTGTATGACAGTGGAACGATGGTAAAATATACTTTCTTTCTCTTTTTCTAATAAAAAAAATTTAGTACTCTCCATCTGTGCTGGACCTTTCGACTGACGACTTGCGTGCTCGCTTCGTCCAAGGGGCCCGAAACATCGCCGCCGTGTCTCTTTCGATTGGAGTGCCAACTCTTGCCTCCGTTCCACACAGCTTGGCCACCGGACTCCAGAACATGCTCGGAATCGCAGCTGCTACCGACGTCACTTTCAAGGCTGCCGAGAAGCTCAAGGAATTCTTGGCCGATCCTAGCAAATTCGTTGTGGCTGCTGCTCCAGTCGCCGCCGCTGCTGCTGCTCCAGCTGAGACCAAGAAGAAGGAAGAGCCTAAGGAGGAGTCGGATGACGGTAAGAGAAAACTCGGAAAAGGAAACTAATAATTTGTTTTTCTTTAGACATGGGATTCGGTCTCTTCGATTAAACGATCACCTTTGATATGTTCATGGTTTTAAATAAATTGTTGTTATTCCATGTTATGTGTCATAAATGCCTAGTACGGATTGTAGCAAACATAAGCTGAACGAAAGGCGCCTTTAAAGCTATTCGGTGCATTTTCTGAATTCCAACCACCTATTGCGAGGAGCGTAAAGGAATGCAACGAGCGGATGGAGAGATTTTGGATGGTTCCGACAAAGGAGGTTTAATAAAAAGATTACTGACAAAGGTTACTGTAAATATATACATAGCAGTGTACTGTCCACCTTTTAAGCCAGCAAATCCTTCCAAAGTGTCAAATTGCAATGCGAAAAACTGCAAATACCTCAAAGCCGTTCAAATCCATAGTTCCTTTCAAAAACTTTACAATTTCTCTTTTAGCTTGTGCAGCCAACGATCAAGTGATCGAAATTGATAAAAAGGTGAAAATTGGAGAGAAATAGTAAGTAAAACTCGTGTTTATAATTTATCCAGGGTTGAATGTAAAAGGCATCGAACGGAAACGGGTGGATGAGCCTTTTTGAAGGAGGTCAATTGTTAATTTTCTTTAACAACATATTGTTTCGTTTTTTTCTAGCACCTACTCGTAACTCTATCTAGATATATTAAAGAATCGCCTGGCCTAAACTGTCTGGCTGTCGCTGTTTTCAGCCTCTTGAAAGGACGGCTCTCTTGTATTCTCCTGTACCCCAATAGCTCTGAGCTTTTGCCCGGAAAGGAAACGGTCCCGGCATTCGATCCCCGGGCATAGACTGTGCATTTCTTTTGAGAGATCAGTAAAGCCAGTCCAGTAGTTTAGTCTAGGCTTACCAGGTCCAAGGACGTCTTGTGAACAAGATCTACAGTAAAGCCAGCCAAGCCAAGCTCAAGCCTCTCCGAGAAACCCTTGCACTCAAAGCTCAACACTTGCAGCAAAAGATTGAGAAACTTCGAGAAAAGGTAAGCACTCAACAAATCAACTAGATAAATGCCTTTTCCAGCTCTCTGACATGTACTTTGATTTGAAAGACGTCATTCAATCACTTCTTTGTCTCAAGTGAAACTCTAAATCAATCAAAAATCAATCAAATAATCAAATGATAAATATTTATTAAGAAAAGTTGTGAATTTTTCTTCTTTTTCCGCGTTCAAATCATTGCATCAAGCTGCTTGACGAGCTGTCTGAAAAGAATCGTGTTTAAGCTTGAACATTCAATTTCCGGAAACTCTAAAGCTTCCTCCAGCTACCGTAACCCGGGCTAGATACACATGTTCCTATCAACTTATGTTACAGTAATCTTTATGATTACGGTAGACTTCTTGAACTACTGTAACATCTACAAACTGGATGACGGATCACGTCATCCAAATAGTCACGTCACGGGTCACAAACCAAGTCACGCTTTAAAGCCCCTATTCAAGTCGATATTTTCAAGTCCACTGGCTTATAATTTAATGCACTTAAGAAAGCGAACCATTCTCATATATGGTGACATCATCGGTCGTATCATTCGACGTTCCCCTCTTCAGCGATGGTTGAAATGAAGGACGAGATTCCATCTTCTTCACCACCTCTCCACCCAACTCATTTCTCGGCTTTCGTTGCACCTGAAACGATTTCTTTTATGACAAGACAGAGATCTTAAAAGCTAGAAAGTCTAGGTTCAGATTATCAACATCTCTGGACTTCTCTGGACTTCTCTAGACCAGAGCAAGTCTCTACAGCCTCTCCGCCTCTAAACACAGGTCCAGAGAGTGTCCACGAGCTCAGGATAATACTGAGATGACTCTGGGCTAAGATTTCGGTTTAGGAATCTTAGCTAAGATTCCTAGCTCAGCTTCTTTAAGCTAAGCACATGGGTTGCGGTATATTGACTAGTCCCTGGCCAATATACAGTAAAGAATACAAACACCCTGAATCTTCAAAAGCTTACCAAAAGAAAGTTCTAAAAAATGAATGCTTGGGTGTACGGTATCTATCACCTAACAAGAAACTACAGTATCCATCACTTTTAAACCACACACCGTAATGATGATGTCGACTTGTGTGGGGAAATCGGCAACCAACTCATACAACGCCTCCGTCCACTCGGATGCTAGCTGCAAAAGTAGATATACAATAATCAGATAATCGACTTTAAAATAGCTTTTTACATTCAGAACATTTCAAAAATTTGAATTAAATCTTACTATTGATTGGCCTGGTTAATAGTTTCAAAAATTTGAATCGAAAAATTCTAAACTGAAAAAAACCACAAACCTTATCAATTTCAGTTTTCGAAATACCGATCATCTGAGAATAAAAATGGGAAATAAAGAGACTTTTAGTTCTTATTCCAATTCTTATTCCAAATTCCAAATGCAAAATTCACATTGCAAAACTCGTATGCAAAGTGAGTTTGTATGGAAATTTCTTAGATTAGATGAGCGAAACAATAGAACGACCTTTCTACAGTAATCCTAGGATTTTTTTGGTCGACAAGGCTACAGAAGGTAGTTGAAAAGGTTTACTACGTTTACCGTATTCTCACTCAACTTCTTTCCCAAATCCTTAAACCCTTGAAACTAAAGTTCTCTTTGATACCAACGAATTCCTCTCTTCCCCTGTTGTTCCCCGACCTCTTCCCGACCCCGGTTTCCCCCCTTTGTTTCCTTTTTTTCCCCCTCATTTCTTTTGTCTTTTCTATTTGTCGATTACGTGAGAACACTTTCCAGCTCTTTCCTTTCAACAATTGTGAGTCAATGATCAATTTGATGATGCTTCTTGATTCAACGTGGGAAAAAAAACGTGGAACTTGTTACATACAAAGTTATTGACTAGCTATTGACTAGTTATTGTCTAGTTATTGACTAGTTATTGTCTAGTTATTGTCTAGTTATTGACTAGCTATTGACTAGTATGAACAAGATCTCTTCTGAGCAAATAAACAAGTTCCAGCCGGGTAGCAAAATTACGTAATAAGGACTTAACGATAAAAGTTAAGCAATGGAGTTAAGCAAGTTAAGCAGTTAAGCAGTTAAGCAAGTTAAGCAGTTAAGCAAGTTAAGCAAGTTAAGCAGTTAAGCAAGTTAAGCAAGTTAAGCAGTTAAGCAAGTTAAGCAAGTTAAGCAGTTAAGCTTGTCCGCTGCTTAAAAACAGCAATCGGGATACGATAACTTTCTCTGAAGCGCGTCATTCACATCGTCAAAAGCCTGGAAAACAAAGTCTACTATAAATCATCTAAAATACAGTAACCCTTTTGTATATCTTATAGTTAGCATCTTATCTCTCTTAAAGTCATTCGACTAATCCCATTCTTTTCGTATAAATTGCCTACCAGCTAAAAGATATCTATTTTATGCAAACTACTGTAATCTTCCTAGTTTTCCTTTGATCACCACAATTTTGATCATTCCGATTATTGCCGAAGCTTTTTGATCTCTCATCGAACGTGATAAATTAAGCAGATTGAGGCTCTGATTATGATCGTTATTTAAAATGGATACCTTCTGAGAAACGCACAAAAATACACCCCCCTTTTCCTCGATATTAAGTCGTCTACCCCAGCCAATCTCCTCCCAATACGTCATGGTGCGTCAGACGTGATGGCTGAGAAATGGCCGTGTTTTTTGTCGTTGTCTCATCGCGTGGCCCTGGGATGGGCTCTTGCATGAGAATCAAGAAGTAGAAAAAAAATGGAGAAAAGAAAAGGAGATCGGATTTCGATCCATCGTCGATCCAGAGACCTCTAGTCTCTCTGTCTTTGATGGATGGAACACTCGACTCTCCTTTGCCCCTCCTCATCCAAATCCGGATCTCTCCGAAATGGTGACACCATTTTGTTAGTGAAATAAATGAAACGATGGGTTGATGATTGAAAGAATGGCATTTTTAGGGGGAAAAGCTGGTTTTACTTTATTGTTTTATTGGCTATTCAAGGATTAGGTTTATACAAAGCACTGATTGAAGTCGATTAGTCAGCTAGATAAGCTAGAACTTAAATCTTGGCTTGACCAGGCCAGGTTCTAGCCTAGCCTTAGCCTTGCCTGGATTGCCTGGCTTGCTTGGCTTGCTTGGCTTGCCTGGATTGCCTGGCTTACCTGGCTTGCTTGGCTTGCATGGCTTGCTTGGCTTGCATGGCTTGCTTGGCTTGCATGGCTTACCTGCCACGCTCGGAATTGTCTTCAGAATAACAAAAGGATAATAAAGACCATGTCAAAATCCAGACACGGTTCAACCTTGGAACAAAAAGTATCCAGATCAAATCCCAGAATAAAGGTCCCTCTTGATCTCGTGTACCTTTAGAAGTCGTTCCGTTGTTACCTTTTCAAACTCTTTCTCTTTTCCCCTTGCCTTTCCGCATCCGTGTCTCCCTTCTTTGTCTCCTGCCATCCCTCCTTCCCTTTCCCCCTTTTTTTCCCCCTCTTTGTCCCATCTCTTCCCTATATAATGCCCAACAAGATGACAAGAAGTTCCTTTCAGATTTTCAGACTTTCAGACTTTCAGAACATTTCCCCCAATCCTCAATTTCTCTTTGATCTTTTTGATGGTTGACTTAGCTTAGCTAAGTCAGCTAAGTCAGCTAACTTAGCTTTATGATTCAAAATGTCTTGCCAAGGTTGAAAATTTTGTTTCTTTATCCCAAAAATCTTTTCACTTTCAAATTTTTGTTTAAAGTTTTTGCCTAATCAACTTTTTCTTCCCAGATGCGGTGGTGGAAAGTCACGATATTTCTCATATTGGCTGAGCTGAGCACGGTGAGTTTTTCAGTAACTTATCAGCTCATTATCTGGCACACAAGCATCTACCCCAGCTGTTGAATGCTCACTAAAGTTCTCTAGAGTGATTCTTACACTGAATTTGAACATCTTTCAGTTCTAGGTATTCCTTGTTGCTTGAATACTTTCATTTTGACTGAAGTGAGGAATTGTAGGCTTGTAGGTGTACTGTAGTTTGAATTTACTTAGATAGATATATACTAATGTCTAATCTTACTTGCTTACTGTAAGCTTACTGTAAGCCTTAGCCTTATTAACTTTACAACTATAGATTTACTGTAAGATAAATAGATAAATAGCTTACTGTAAGCCTTATTAGCTTTACAACTATAGATAAATCTAAGCGTACTCTACTTTTACCTTAGTTCAGTTCTACTGTAGTTTTGAACTTTTAAAATTATAAATCTTTACTCTGAAAGTTTAGACTATCAATGGCTGGCAAACGGGAATCGTTTTGGCGCCTCGAGGATTGGCGATTCAAAGAAGAAATGATGAACCGATGCTTCTTCGCTTGAAGCGACAACAATGCCGATGTGTTCGACTAACTTTTGGAAACGGTTTACAATGCAGTTGCCCACAACCCGTTGCGGTAAGAAATTTTAAGCACACTCTTACAAGCAAAATCATCTCCCAATTGAAGGCTTTATATTCTTGTCGTTTTTAGTCACCTTATTGTTTAATTAATACTTCTTTTTGTCATTGATAGAAGGAATTTTTCCATTTAGTTTGTGATTGAGAAGGATAATCCCTTCTCCGATTCTTTCTCCGATTCTTTCTCCGATTCCTTTTCCGATTCCTTTTCCGATTCCTTTTCCAATTCCTTTTCATGTCCAGTTTCTTTGACTCTAAGCTTTTCCAATTCCTCTTCACTTACAGATTTTAAATTCTGCTTTAAATTGAATTAAATTTCAAATACGAGAATCTTTCTAAGTCTAACTAAATTTCAATAGAGATGGGAAACGAATTGCTTTTTGGATTTTAGTAAATAGCTTTCCAATAGACGAGTTGCTTTTTGGATTATAATAAATAGCTTTCCAATAGATGAATTGCTTTTTGTATTTTAGCAAGCTTTCCAGTAGACGATGATTTCTGCATTTTAGCAAGCTTTCCAATACTCGATTTGCTTTTTGAATTTTAGCAAGCTTTCCAATACTCGATTTGCTTTTTGTATTTTAAAAAACAATTCTCCAAAGTTTCTAAAGTCTAAAGTTCCGTTTGATTCATTCTTTAGAAACAACAAAAAAATGTATACTAAAATTGCAGAAAGTTTTGACTCGATTTTGATTCCTTTCTGAATTCTAATACTTTGATTTAAAGATTACTTTTAATTTAAAGATTAAAATTAACAACCCAGTTAATAAAATGAAAAGTTAACCTATTCTAGAGTACCTCATCGCAACAAGGCGATGAGCTGGCCACCGAGTTGCAACAGACATCGTATCCGGCAGCCAAGTGAGTTTTGTAATCTAAATCACATATATTCCTATGAAGAGCTTAAAGTATATCTATTTTCAATCGATTTTTAATTCATTTTCAATTCATTTACAATCGATTTTCTTTTTCTAGAGGTGTCCACCCGATCTCGTAAGTTCATTCAAATTTCTTACACACCGGGTTTTTCGTTTTGGGATCCTGCGTTTTCTAAAAAGCGAATAGTTTGATGCTAAACTTTTCTTCACTTTTTGTCTGATCTACTTAATTTTCTATCTATTCAATTCAAAATTTGATTCATCGAATTCCTCAGAATCAAGTAGATCAAACGAAATCTGAAAAATTACGAAAACCTTCAAATTATCAACTTTTTAAGAAAAAAAAACGAGGAACACACTGATCTTGAAACTATTTTATATTCATTTTAACTTTCAGATGTGCTTGCATACAAATCGTTTTTGCTGGCAATCCCCAGTATCAATGTCAATGTGGAGAGAGTGGAACGGTCACTGTTCCGGTGAGTTTTCAGCTTACATTAGTTAAATTCATATCATAAGCGTTTTCTAGAATGCACGAACAAACTGTTTCATTTGATTCAGGGTTTTCTAAAACGACAATATTACAGTACAGCATTATTTGCTGATCTAGCTTCAACTTGAAAAGGTGTTGTTCGGAGTTTGGTAGCTTTTACGAGAAGTTAGCCCAATAGATTCGGTGGCAGAATATGGTAATCTAAGAATTCTATGAATAGAAGTGAAATAATAGTTTATTTATATATAGATAAAGTTTCTAAATTGTATATATTTATTTATAAATAAAGAATGGCAATAATAAGATTATTATGTCAGAGTGACAGATAGATCTATCTATCAGTGGCAGATGGATCCATTTGTCAGTGTCAGAGTGACAGATAGATCTATCTATCAGTGGCAGATGGATCCATTTGTCAATGTCAGAGTGACAAATAGATCTATCTATCAGTGGCAGATGGATCCATTTGTCAATGTCAGAGTGACAGATAGATCCGAAGATCAATTTAGTGTGACAGATAGATCCGAAGATCTATCTATCACAAAAGTTGTCATCATTCGAAGACCAGAGCACCGTCAAAATAGTCATAAAATAGTACTGTAGTAGCCAGGTGTACAAGTCGTGTCTATAGTTGTCTATAGTTGTCTATAGTTGTCTATAGTCTATAAGTTGATCACCTTTCTCTCATTCTTCTATTAGAAATGACATTAAAAGACTAGAATAGAATTCACTAATAAACTTACTGTTTACTTTAATAGAAAGGCCAACTATTTTTCTGTAAAATAGCGTTGAAATCTTTTGAAAAAGTTTGAGTTCCGAATTTTTTTCAGGGTCATAAAGTTAGGTAGTCAAAAATGGCGACTCCTAACCTGATAAACAATAAATAAACAATTTCTAATGAAATTCGTGCATTTGTTGGTTTAAAAACTGAAGGAATGAAAAGGAACGAGTCTTTCTGGACAGCGTACAATACGATTAGGTTTTGATGTACTGCTCAAAATAGTCCTAAATAAGCCTAATATGTTTGCTATTGCTTGGCTCTAATTCTAGCAAACGACAACACCAACAACGACAGCACCAACAACGACAACAACTACAACAACTACAACTACAACTACAACCACAACCACAACCACAACCACAACTACAACCACAACAACTACGACAACAACAACTACCACCACAACTACTACCACCACAACTACTACTATGGTATTGACAAGTAGAATGTTACTATCAACTTATCTAATCAGACTACTACCACTTCTTTACCCACTCCACCACCCGAAGTCACCACGATTAATACAACTCCTGCGTATGTGACTGTAAGTACATAACTTTTACTAACTAATGGATTCCCAATCCAGACTTACTAATCACTTACATAGATGCCTACAAATCCACCAGGAGGCGGCCAGTGTCACTGTATAATGATCACAATCACCGGCCCTTCATCAGCTCAATATCAATGCAGTTGTCTTTCTACTGTTACACCGGTAGATATTTAGATTTTAATTACGGTACTTCAATCAATCACTTTAAAAAAGTGCCAGAGAAATCCTAACGGAGTCTTGTTTACTAAGCTGCTGCACTTATCGAACTATTCGGTAAAGTTTGATCGAAAGACATCCACTTACACTTAGCACTATGGCAGCTTTTAGAAAAATCAAGAGATTCAAGAGAGATTCTGAATCAAGAGATTTCTCAATCCTTGAAATCTAGGCCATTGATCAGCCACAAACTGTCCCGGTAACCCCGTTCCCGATCATTCAGACGTTCCCCCCGCAAACTGGTGTACCCGACACACTACCACCTGTCACTCTACCACCGACTACAGTGAGACAGATTTTGATTACGGTAGTCCATTCACCATTTAGACCCTACCCATCTTCCCACCGACTCTCAGCACTCAAACACTACCGGTAAGCACATTTTTTTTAGCAATTATACTAAAAAAGACAAATTTCAGCCTCTCACCACTACCACTACGACAACTACTGTAGCTGCAAATCGTAAAAGTTTATAGAAATGAAAATATGCATTCTTTTAGCACCACAAGATACATCTCCGAGTTATCCACTGACGACAACTTGTGTCATGTATTTGACTGGAGTTCAGGTAGGAGCTAAAGCTTTTAAAAGCTAAAATACGAGAACTTTCAGTCATCACCTTGTATGTGCATGCCCGAGTACGATCAATGTGCACAGAATATTTGCTGTCTTAAAGCAAAGTATCGATCGTTAAAGGTATCAGGCTAAAGAATGAATAATTAGAAGAGTTATTGTAAAAGTACTGTAATTATTAGTCCTTCACCGACCCTAAAAGAGCTTACTTGTCTACTACGTTACCTAGTTCTCAAGTAGACTTTAACGGTGATACAGTTTACCGCCGTGAATCGGGTTACGGTAACTTTTAGACTAGGATCTACGGTTGCTTTGCTTTGCTTTACCACTTATGGGTTACAATTTAGCACTACAATGCTGCCGCCTCTCTACCTTTACAAAACGCGGATGTCAACAAAGAAGAGCAACCATCAACGATTGAAATGCTCATGAATGTTCTGCAAAAGATCAAGAACAAATGGCAAAGCAAAGCTTAAAACAATTCGCTCATAATTTATCCATATTTATCACATTTGCTGTTTTCCAGTATTACTGAAACGTGGGTACGCTTTTCCCCAAGAAAAATCGAGTCATTTAAATGTGAATTTATTTTTGTGTACAGAGATAAATATTGTGTCAACAGAATGCACCAAAAACTACCAAAACTACCTGGATTTTCTTTATTGAAACCTTTTACTTATCTAGACTTTTTATCACCGACTAAAACGCACCCAAACCACCGTAATCCTGTCGGTTTTCTTTGTCGAGCGGCTCACCGATGGATTTTGATACCCGCTAAAGCGTACCCAAATTACCGTACCCATAAACCGCGATCTTCTCTAGTTTATGTTTGAAACCATCCCGCAACAGCGGCTCCTATTATGCACCTAAATCATTTTGATAGCCAAATTTTGAATTGGCGCCATTTTCGCTCAAAAAACGATCGATATATCGATCGGTTAACATGCTGAAATAGGTAAAAAAGGGCCAAAGTCTATTTAAAACTTAATTTTTCTCTTATACGGTTTTATCCTAAATCTTTCCTATTTTGCTTTACAGCTTACAAGCACCGTGACCTGTAATAGAGCCTCACAAATGTAGTATTGTTGCGTAGTCTTTGCTTTTTCCTATAGCAATCTTTTATTTCTTGTGATTCTAATGTTTTTGTCAATTTTTATACGAGATTTCAGAAGTTTGGATATTTTTAAGACTTAAACTACCGTAATCGGCTTTTATAACAGGTATTGAGGTACATAGTACGGCAAAATACAGTGTCCAGTAGAGGAAAAAATAGAATTGTTTAAATTCTTTCATAACGATGAATGAAGCCAGAAAATTTGAAAAATTTTGAACAAAGTGAAAAAAGAAAATTTTTCAAAATTCTAAAAAGCATCCTTTTTCGATTTGGCGGAGACTTGGCGCAAACTACCGTAATCCGAGTCATTTCTCTTGCGCAGTGAAACGGAATTTTCATTTCGGCGAATTCTTCGCAGCTTTTGAATTCCGTTTTGATCAAATGCTGATTTTTTAAACGTTTTGCTTAACTTTATCCAAATTAACCTTATCTCAGCGCTGTTTTTGAAAAAAATGTTCAATTTTGATTGCGTAATTTGACAGATCACATGACTTTCTTTTCATACACTTTCTCCGCGCTCAAAACTTTTTGTTTTTAGTTTTGGATTTTTTTAGATCCCATTATTTTATAGAAAACTCGATTAATAACGCCTTTTACTTTTATTTTTATTTCAGGTACTAATAAACTTTGGGTGACCACTTTGACCCTATTCGACCCTGTTCTAGGCGTGTTTTTTCTAGTCTTGTTTTGCATTTTCTGGGGTAATCGATTGACGATATTTTTATAATATTTTGAGTAAGTTATCACTTTGTATTTTGCTCCTCCTCATTTTCAAGCTCAGCAACACTGCAGAGGCAAAACTCTTGCTAGCTTATCAAAATATCAATTAAAATTGTTCAAAACTTTCTAAAAATATTATCAATAGAATCATCATGTTTGATGACCTCGGAAAAAGTAAAATAACTTTTGTAAAACAGTCAAAAATGCAATCTGACCAAGTCGGGTCAAAGTTGCCCCCCGCAAAGTTTATTAGTACCTTGTTTCAAATTATATTTTATCATGTTAATATTTTTAATTTAGATGGCCGGAATTGCCCAAAGTCGACTGGCCGAAGAGCGAAAATCGTGGAGAAAGGATCACCCGTTCGGCTTCATCGCAAAACCCTCGAAGAACCCGGACGGATCGTTGAATCTTTTCAATTGGGAGTGTGCCATCCCCGGTAAGAAGGACACTATTTGGGAAGGCGGGCTTTACAAGGTGAGGACTCGTGGTTTTAAATTAAATTAAAATTTTTTGCGACGTTTGGGCTAGGAAAGTTTTATCATAGAATGAAGAGATCGATTGATTCCTGTTTTTAAAGTATTGGTAATAAATTGAATTGACAACTTTTGCCTAAAACTTTCAAATCCTTAAAGATTTAAGGACTAGTATTTAAATTTTAAGTGGTTCTGATACAAAAATTTACTTGATTAATATTCTTTTCTTTCAAACCCCAATAAATTTTTCATTTAGATTCGGATGGTTTTCAAAGACGACTTCCCTTCAACGCCGCCGAAATGTAAATTCGAGCCGCCGCTCTTCCATCCAAACGTCTATCCATCCGGAACGGTGTGCCTTTCGCTGCTTGACGAGAACAAAGACTGGAAGCCATCAATTTCCATCAAGCACCTTCTCGTCGGAATCCAGGATCTTCTCAACAACCCGAACCCCGAGGACCCCGCGCAAGCCGAGGCATATCAAATCTATTGCCAGAATCGGTATGGAATTTTTAAATATATTTTTGATTGGGCAGTAGTCTTAGTGCTGCTAATGCAGTTTATCATTGCATTTGAGCTGGTTAACTAATTTTTTCTCCTCCATTCTTATAACGTTGTAATAAGCTTGTAACATTCTTACTGCTAGCCCAACCTTTGACTTTGATAACATTGAACGCGCATTGATCTTTTCTTAAATTAGCAATTTGGCACACCTCTATGTCACTCCGGTTTGGTAAATTTTGGCGAAGAAATCAATACACATGCACATGTTATTTAATTCTGTGGTCGGGCGAGAAGCAAGGTTGTGATTTTAAATTGTAGCTATTTTCCACGGTTGAGAGAAGAATGAGCTAAACAACTTAAATGTAAACATGGTCCCCTAAGTGCGTTTGCACCGTCGCGAGCTAACATATAAAGTTTAGCACAAAATAATTGTTTATTCTCAACTTCTTTTTAGAACTGAGTATGAGAAGCGTGTGCGACGGGAGGCGGCCAAATACAACGCGGAGCTCATTCAACGCCAAATGCTTGGATGATCGAGTGGTCGAGCGAATCTCTTCCCCGGAAATGTTACTTTATTCACGTGTTCTCTCCATTCATTTATACAATTTATCTTCAACTTATTTGCCCGCTGTATTGTTCGCCTCCTGGTTGGTTCCCAAATTTTCTTCAACTAGTGTGGCATTCACTTTATACGGATATTCATTGATCTTCATCTGGAAATGTTGTTTGTTAACATTGGAATGAAATGTTAACGTTTACTTTAATTGTTCATGATACACTTTAAATAAATCGATTTTGTCTATTCGCTGAAAATGCAGCCAAAACATTAACGTCTCAAGGATATTTTGGCAGTAATTGGCTTCGCAGATTGCCTCAATCTCATAGTTACTTTCTGAAAATTTCAACACAAGAAGCAAACTCTTAAAGAAATTTGGTCGTCTTATCTTCATTCGGCTTTCGACAGTCATCTTGGTGTTCGGCTCGACTCACGACTCGTTGCTATGGACGGTAAACCTCTATGCTCAGTTTGCAGCTAGTTTTGCAAGGCATTGCTCTATCTAAATAGATTTTCTTATCATTTCTTAAGGCCTCTAGTTCTAAATTAATTTCAGTGCTACAGATTACAGAAACTTGGTTTGCATTTAAGTTTAAATTCAAACCAACCTTTTCCTTTAGTCGATGGTTTCGTGATGTTCGAAGCGTATTCAGCCGGCGAGGTCGGCTTCAAATTGCCCGTCGAATTGTGCTCGATACGATGTCAAAGTGAGAAAACTTAACTTTTCTTCGAAATTGAATCAAATTTAAAACTTTCCAGAGTCAACACAGAATGTGCTCGCCGGATGCAAAGAGGGTCATCTACTCGTTTACTCGAGAACAGGTGAAAGAAAAAAATGACTTAAAAATTCCCTCATATTCAGACACTCGTCGAAAATTTGACTTAAAAACGCTGTGTAAGAATTTCGAGCGAAAACCGGTCACGGAAATGGCCATTGTTGACTCGATGCAGCTATTGTTTTGTGTCAGCGATCAACAGGTAGTCAAAACTAGGTTTATCATCGATAAAATTTAGTGCAAAATAGCAAATACGATAATTTTTACAGCTTTCCGTTCACGAGTTAAGTCATCACAGCGCCGAAGCGAGCGCCCGTCAAGTCCTCTATCCATTGCTGGCACAACTCAAGCTCAAACCCGTGCACACCTTTGCCGTTCACGAGAATACGGTAGGCATATCCATCCAATGTCAAAATTCTAATTAGCAAATTCGACGTTCCAGGAAGAAGCAAACGTTCTTGTGGCGATTTCTTTAAAGCGAAAAATCGTTTTGCTGAGGGTTAGTTAAATTTTAATTTAAGGACAATTGGATAATTTTGAGTTTGAAACTTTAATATCAAAAAACAATATTTCAATTAGTTAGCTTTTCAGTTCGAAAAGAACGAATTTTTCGAGATCCCAATCGATGGAGTCTCATATTTTGCCGACAATCCCACTGCACTGACTTGGTTAGTTTAAAAAAAAAATAAATACAAGTATTTCTAGATAAAATTCTAAAGTTCATCATCAAACCAAAAATGAAAATTTATCCATTTTTTTTTTCCTAGGTGCGGCAAGAATTTGGTGTTTTCCGTCCGAAACGAGTATCACTTGCTGTCGCTGAAACACAACGATGAGTTTACGGTGAGTTGAAAATAATTTTTTTAAATAAAATTTAAATAAAATATAGATTCTATATGCAAATTTAAATTACTATTTAATATGCAAATTCACATTGAAATCCACCAATCAAAATTCAGCAATGCGCTGCCGACGCGAAAGTAATCGCCACGTTTACCGATCTTCCTTTCATCGTCGATTTTCATGAAAAGTCGATGATCGGTTTGGCGAGAGGTGAGAAAAAAAAACTGTAGAATGTAGAAAATCGAATTTCTCAACAAATTCCCACTAACTTTATTCATTTCCAGGTGAAACTCTGACCATTTTGACTTCTGATGGAGTGAGAGATCCACGAAATCCACTCTGCCGAGAGATTCGCTTCTCAAATGTCCTACAAAATGCAGGTTTGTCTGAAATTGTCTGAAATTCGAGTTCAACTAAGACGAAAAGAATTTTGTAAAAACTATGGTAACTTGTAAAATCGTGCATTTATTCAATTATTCCAGTCTACGATTCTCCATTTGTCGTTGGTCTTCTTTCCAAAGGTCTTGTCGAGATTCGCTCCTTTGATCCACCACAACTTGTTCAATCGATCACCCTTAAACAAGCGCATCTAATCACGAATGCTTTACCGTGAGTACCACAACTGCTAGAAAGGTTTTCAGAAATTTGTGCCCCCCCCCCCCCTTTACCAGTCGCATTTCAACTTTGAACTCAAATATCTTGGTGTTGGGTTCTCTACTTTCAATTCTCTTGGTATCATTGGATGCGCAAAGTCTTTCTCTGTCGATTGGTACAAAAACCATTTGTATTGAACAGCGCAACACCAAAAAATTTGAGCTCAAAGTTGGATTGGCAATGGCAAAGGGTGCGCGTATCAAATGTCCCACAATCGATGTTCAACTAACTGTAAGCTAAAGTCCGGTCAGAGCTCAAGAAAGTTAGCGCCAATTTTTAGCTGAGCAAAGCAAGATCTGGCCTTGAAGTTCTTTAACAACTCTGACTCATACCGTAGTATGGTTTTTTCCAAGAATGTAGACCTTTTCAGTGGGTGTGTCGTCGTGGGAAGTCATGCGGACATTTGGATGCTCGATTGTCACGAGAGTTTACGCAAAAATGTCAATTTCTTGATTCAGGAGAAGAATTATCGATTGGCGATTCAGTTGACGGTTTGTGGGATTGAAAGAACTTTTGAATCTTTGCTTCGCTAATGTAAATTGATCTTTGACCGCTTACTTCATGAATTTAACGGGGTTTTTTTCGCCATCTTTTGATTTGGTTTTGAATAGATCTACCGTAAAAATTTTAATAGAAGATCACCGCCTGACTTCTTCCTGAAATCGGGGACTTTTTGAAACTTCTTTTTAGGTAGAATGGTAGATTTAGGTCCAGATCGAAGTATTTTAGCCTCGGCATTAAAATTTAAAAAAAATTTGATGGTGATGTAGTGAATTTGAAAATCGTGACCTTTATGAGTCGACTTTTATCCAAACCAACAACTTCCTCGGTAGTATAGTGGTTAGTATCCGCGTCTGTCACATGCGAGACCCGGGTTCAATTCCCGGCCGGGGAGAATCTTTTTCATTTTTGCTTTGGAAAGTAAAGGTTGTTGAATCTGGGGGGAAATTTGCATTTATCCTGTTTCTGCTGGAGGGCAAAGAGGCAAAAGCATGAAAATTTCCAAATAAAAATCTTTCTAAAGGAACAATTCGACATTTTCACGGATGAGAACAAACGAGAGATCAAGCGGCAATACGCGAGGAATCTTTTCTTGCAAAGACAATTTGACGAATGCTTTGAAGTTTACTCGAAAATTGGAGCAGGTAGAGTTGGAAAGGAATTTGATAAGAAAGAAAGGGTGCACCAGAAAAGGGCTTGTTTACAAGTTTGAGCACAAAGTACACTATGAATTCCATTTTCAGAGCCCTACCTTGCCATTCAAATGATTCCCGAGGTTTTACCGGAGAAACTCCAGAATTTACAGGTAAAGTAGACTGATAAAGTGATGCCAAAGTAATACTAAAGCTACAGTATACTAAAGCTACAGTATACTAAAACTACAGTGATTCCTATCCACAATTCTCACTAGGAAATGTTGTTAACTTATCGTATCATAACTTTTTGACTCGAGAAATAGCCTATCTGATGCAGTTTTTCACGCTGATTCCGAATCTGCAATCACTTTTTGCCAAACGCTTCTCTATAGCGAGATATTTGGCATACAAGTTTTCACTGACATGGATTCACAGGATTCACTGACATGTTGGCTGTATATTATTGTGGTTTGGTTGGTTGGTTTCCCCAATCATAATAAATTGCGTAGGTTTGTGCTCAAAAAATGGGTGAAAAAGAGTAAAAGAAAGGTTGCCTTATATAGACAGAGGACTCGAACCCTCGGGGTCCAAAAGGGCATACGCCCGGCAGACGCGCGCACTAACCACTACACCACCGAGGCCGTTGGCTGAAGACGGTGCGTCGCCCTCATAAAGAGAACCCAAAAACTTGTATGCCAAATATCTTGCGATAGAGAAGCGTTTGGCAAAAAGTGATTGCAGATTCGGAATCAGCGTGAAAAACTGCATCAGATAGGGTATTTCTCGAGTCAAAAAGTTACGATACGATAAGTTAGCAACATTCCCTAGTCAGTGAATAAGTCAGTGAATATCTTTTCAGCAAAACTCCCCACAACAGCCATTGGATCTACCGGAAAACGAGAAGAAACGAGCTATTTCTGCACTTTCCGACTATTTATCTTTGGTTTAATTTCTTGTTTCTTTTACTGTAGCCAAATATAAACTAGCTTTAAACTGATCATAAATAGAACTAAATAGAATTTTAATATTGGCATTGTATCAATATTGAAGAAATATATCAATATTTTAAACTGCTACTGAAAACTAGCGAATTTTCAGGTTCGCACAGAGTTAGCAATGCGTCTTGACGCTCATCAACAAGCAAAACAAATTGGATACACACTAGGTGAGTGTACTTTGAGCTAAGTCAAACGCGTGCCTTTTGGCACAGCTTTTGGCACACTGAGATCGAGTCTTTAGCTTATTAATCTGTTTTCTAAAACGTTTCCTGTTTACAGTAATCCTATGAATTTTTGGCTCTAATTCTTTGAGGATTCATAAAGGATAAAAAGATAGAAAAAGTCGATAGAATTAGATAAAATTAGATAAAATTAGATAGAAATAAAGGTAAGATTACGGTAGCTTGGGGCACTTTTTAGAAAAGGTTACAGTAGTTTTAGAAAAATGTTATCTAGGATCTAGGAAATTTAGGAAAATTGTCGAAAGATGAGCTGAACACAACGCGAATGAATCTTCAAATTGTCGACACGACTCTTCTCCGGTGTTATTTAAAGGTAAATAAAGTAAGACAGATTACTGTAAGATTGTGAAAAACCTATTAGGTAAGAAATAAGAATCCTACCACTTTTTGGCTCTAATTCTTTGAGGATTCATAAAGGATAGAAAGTCGCATAAGAAATGCGGATTTCAACAATTTTCATAAATTTTCAACGATGTATACCAGTTGGCCGACTGGTTAGGAATCTTCTCTCCTAATCGGAAGATCCAGGGTTCGATCCCGCTGGCGAAATCAAGTGTGCTTTTTCCCATTAAGTTGGGTTTTTTCTTAACTACATTGTAGGGGTAAAAATTGTGTCCTCCGTTGTGTTGTATCCACTTATTCATGTTGAATAAAGTATCTTTAAAAAAAAAAAAAAAAAGATAGAAACCTGATATCGATGAATGTTATAAACTATTCGAAATTTGCAAATCTCCTCGACAAAATAGGCTAAAATGTGTTTCAATTGATCGAAACATTGACGAAATTTCGAGGCCGAAATGCGGGTGACCAAAAAAAGGAATCGAGTCACTTTAGGGACAAGTTTAGTGTGGTCAAAATTCTTGAAAACCCCACTTTCACAAGAGTTCGATTTTGAATATATAGTGAAAAATGAGCGCCCTAAATTCAAAAAAATATCATTCAAAATAATGAAGAGTTTGGATCATTTCATGGGAAAACTTTGTTTTTACAATAATTTTTCTTTTTTGACAATTTCGAGGGTTTTGAACTTACGCACTATCTAAATTTCTGTAAATGCATTTCCGTTAGACTTTTTTTAATGAATTGATATCTAGTTATCCTTTTTTTTTTTTAAATCTTCAATTTTGGGAAGCTAACTCTATTTTGACGACACTAAACTTGTCCCTAAAGTGACTCGATTCCTTTTTTTGGTCACTCGCATTTCGACCTCGAAATTTCTTCAATGCTTCGATCAATTGAAACACGTCAGCCAACACGTCAGCCTATTTTGTAGAGGAGATTTAGAACTTTCAAATAGTAACAAATTTCAAGCATAACATTCATCGATATCAGGTTTCTATCGTTGGAAATTTATGAAAATGTTGAAATCTGCATAGGTTAAAGATATTTGAATTATTAGTGCAGAAGAAAATTAGTCTAGAACCCCATAAATCTCTTTACAGTACCTTTTTTTTACAGACAAAACCGATGATGGTCGATTCTTTGCTTCGTTTACGCGACAATTCCAGTTCTTTTGATGATACGGAAGATATATTAAAGGTTTAGTTTTAAGAAATTTATCCAGTTATTTAAAAATTATCGTAAATGCTATAATTATTGAGTTGGGGAGAATGAGTCGGCGCCAAACTTTAAAGGGACTTTTTGCACACATAAAGCCTTCTTTAAATACACGTTTGGTTTCATCAAAAGGATCCACTATTTCTCTACAAAATCACTTTTGAGAGATTCCACAAAGCTTTTCTTTCGTGGAGTTTATGGACTCCCAAACACAGCTAGTCAAAATGGCAAAGAGCCCGACTCATCATTTGAACAGTTTCTTTCACATAAACCTTCTTTGGTGTTTATATAAAAAAGATAGAGCACATTCAATTACTTAAGTTGCCAAATTTGCAGGAAGATCCCACCAATGGTTTTTTCTAGATCACAGTTTGTAGTTTTTGTGAAAAAATGGCTTTTTCTTGAGCGGAGGCGCTGTTTGAATTTTCTTTTAAATGTCATTTTGTAGAGAATTAGTTAACCATTCTACTCATATCAAACGCATATTATTTGACGAAGTCGAATAGAAGTTTTAGACATTTTTTTGATTTTCGGCGCCGACTCATTCTCCCCAACCCAATAGAATGACATCCCCTTGGCCCCTTGATCTTCTTGATCTTGATCTTAATCTTGATTATAGACCCTCCTTTTAGAAATTCTATAAATAGATCTATTAATAAAAATCTAAAATCTATTAATATTTTATAGGCACTAAAATTTAAATTTTTTTTTTTAAATAGAGAAAAATTATAAGGATGAATTTGTTGAATTGTGAATTCCCTAACTGGCAAGAATCCTGCCAGTTAGGGAATTTTAGACATTAGACGACTTGGAGTTAGGGAATTGATTGATTATTTTGATTTTTGATTTCCCCTTAACTACAGTGGAACCTCTCTATAACGTAACTCACGGGACGGCTATAGCTTACGTTATATAGAGGTTTACGTTATATAGAGTGCCGTTTTATATAGTTTAACGTCGGCCGGGACCGGTCACGCCTTACGTTATAGAGAGGTTTACGTTATATCGAGGTTCGTTATAGAGAGGTTCGACTGTATTTCATTACAAAAAATTTTGAAGTTACTTCAATTTTTGGGCAAAAGACGCAAAAAAAAACACGTCTTTTATGCAAAAAAAAACAAATAATAGCAAACGAATTTGTTAAGCTATTGTTTGCTTTGTGCTTACCAATTTGTTTTTTTTTTTCTTTTAGTGAAGCTATAAAGCTGAAATTTTTACAGTAGATGGGGCATAGGGGAGCGAAAAATGCTGTAAAAAGCAATGTAGGCAATTTGGTGGAAATTTTAGCGCTTCAAGTTTGTGGGGTGGGGCCTTTTGTGCCGAAAAGACGTTGCGGTATTGTGATGATCTCGAAATTTCAATTCCAGAAAGCCAATCGCTTAACGTCACTCTTCATCCTGTATGAAACGAGGAAAAAACACGAAATGGGTATCATTTTTGCATAATATTCTAAATATTCATTAGATTATTAAAATTCAACAAAAAAATTAGCATATTTTTAGCATTGTACAGCTTTTTACTTGCTAAAAATACCAACCGTAAATACGGTAATAGTACCCCACCGCCCATAATGACGGTGCGGAGTGTTGCGTAGTCTAGCTTTGAACGAGTTTTTCTCGACACTGGTTTATGCTACAATGCTCGTTTAGGTATCAAAAAATTGCCCTAAATTTCAGCTATAGCTCCAACTGTACAACCAAGTTGTACTTTGTGTGCTTTCTGCGCTTGTAAACGCATCCCCTCTGGCTCCCAGGATTTCCTATATTTTGCAGTAAACCTTCTATTGCATTTAAATGATATGATTTAAATTAAATTTAAATTTAAATGATAAACAAATCGAAATCCAGTTCGCCAGAAGATAAGCGTTTCTGAAAGCACAATCAAAACAAAGCACAAAGGTTTATAAGTTTTTAAAGTCGATTTTTAAATGAATATTTTATGACTTTTATGACAAATTACTGTAAACTTGAGAATTTTAAATATTTAATTTCGATTTGAAACTAAATTTTAACATTTCTTTTTAGCTTTGGAACTTCTTAAAGCCGAAGCACATCGCGCTGATCCGGAGCCTTTCTTTGACGGGGTTTACAAGTGAGTTTTTAACATCCAACTTTTTTACCGTATCCATATTTGATTCTAAAATCGAATACATTTAGAACTGTGGACTACTTGCAAACCCTGGGAAACACGGAAATCGATTTGATCTTTAAATATGGGAAATGGGTGCTGGATAGTGATGTGAAAGAGGGATTGGCTGTCAGTTTTTTCAATTATTTGATAGATTTATAGATATTTTATAATGTTTGAATCGATAAATCGATATTTTATCTTTAGATTTTTACCTCATCCGATTCGGATCTGGCGGTGAATTTGGATCGTGAGAAAGTCGTGGAATTTCTGAGGAAAGAGTGCGTCGCCGCGTTGATCCCATATTTGGTAAAGAAATTTTGTTAATTTTCCTGTTAGATTTTTAGAAATTATAGAATTATTGGATTGTTGTTGTTGTTGTTGTTGTTGTTGTTGTTGTTGTTGTTGTTGTTGTTGTTTTTTGTTTCTTTGTTTCTTTGTTTCTTTGTTTATTGTTTGTTTTCTTCAAAAGCTTTTCTTTTCTTTACATAATTTTTCTTTAGGAGCACATCATCAACGCGTGGGGAGAGCAACGTCCAAAATTTCACGAATGTTTAGCTGAACACTATGTGGCAAAAGTGAAGTATCTGCATAAGGATTATGTTCACGCGTTTCCTGATGGTTTATCTTTAAAATTATAACCTTCTTTTAAAAGATATTCATTTTAAAAAACCCTTTGTTTAACACTAGATCTGCTTAATGAATTCGGGCAAAATTTTTAGACAGTCTGCCTAGCTCTTCGATTTTTTACTGCCCAAAGCTCAGTTCACCTGCAAGCCCTTATTTTAGGCTTCATTTTGGTACTAAAGATGGCTAGGTTCTGTTTTGACATTCTTTAGATTTCGCTCAATCACCGAACTTTCACCGGACTCGATAAGCTTAACGAGTCCAGAAAAATTTTTATCTAAAATGATTGAAATCTAAAGAATGACAAAACAGAACCTAGCCATGTTTAGTATCAAAACGAAGCCTAAAATAAGGGCTTGCAGTTTTCATGCTCGAAGGAGCTTTGGGCAGTAAAAAAATCGAATAGCAAGGCAAATTGTCTGAAAATTTTGCCCGGACTTGTTAAGCAGGTCTATTTAACACTGATGGTATTAGGTTGACAAGAAAGTTTATAAAAAAAGTTTGCAAGATGATTTCTCAAAAACTAAGCTCATCTACGTTAAGGAATCGTTTTTTTGATGCAAAAAAGTGAGCTGAATTTAAGCTAGACAAATAATACTTTTACAAAAATCTTCTAAAATTTTAAAGAAAAGCGGCCCCCCTTTTTTTACGAGTAATTTCTTGGAGTCGACTTGTAAATAATAGAGCAAAGTGTTCTTGAATTAGTGGATTCGTTTTTAAGAAATTTTAGTTCAAATCAGTGCAAAGACTCTCTTGCCAATATATCAATAAAATCTCCATTTTTAAATATCCAAAGTTATTTAGACGAAAACATTACACGAGCTGGCACCGAAGACGGGGAATTGGGCGAGTATCGACGGAAATTGTTGCGTTTCCTTGAAGCCAGTCATTCCTACTCACCACAAACGATTCTCGTGCAATTAAGCAATCAAGGTTTTGACTTTTTCTTGAATCAACACTTGCAAGTTACTGGTAAACAGTTTATTACTTTTAGCTGTCTATAAATTGTTGTATTATTATGTGAAAGATTTGAACTAACTTCAAATAAATTCGATTCAGCTTTCTACGAGGAACGCGCGTTGATGCTGGGTCGTTTGGGTCAACACGAGCAAGCGCTCACCATTTACACGTCGATACTTCATGATTATGAAGCCGCTGAAAAATATTGTGATTTGTATTATCGAGAGGAAAGGGATGACGCAAGTGCACAGGTTTGGTGGAATTAAAAACGGAAAACTTATGAATTTCAAATTTAGATCTATCTCCAACTCTTTCAAGCTTTCGTTTCCCCAAAGGATCCACAAGTTGGTTTTCTTTTTGAAAATGACTTTGATTACAGAAACAGAAAGGAACTTTACAATTCTTGGATGTCAATCGAATTTTCAGATAGCTGGGCTAAACGAGCGGCAAATCCCGATCCCGCAACCAAATGTGAAACAAGCGATTCGAGTCTTGAGCCGACACGCAAATAAAATTAATACAGGTTTTAATTATTAATATATTAATACAAATGCACTTGGCAAAGTACTTAATCTCAAGTTAAAGTTAAAAATATCTATCTTTCTAGTGTCTGCGCTAAACCTCATCCCTGAATCGACCCCATTATGTCTTCTTTCAACAGCTCTCAGCGCTGTCCTTCAAACGACTCATGATGAAGCGATCAGGGTAAGAAAATCAGTAAAACTTATTGTTTAGCACATATTAGTAAGATAAAATAGTAAATAAGCTTTAAAAGAAATCCTTTAGTGCTCGATTCGTCGAAAAGTTTGCGATCGAGCCGTCCATGTGGCTGAGGAACAGTTGAGGAAAGCTGAGAGCGTCAAAATCACTGTCAATAGTGCCACAGATTGTACGCTATGCGGAAAAAAGTTGGCTAATAGGTGGGTGACAGCCATTTCTTGCGTAGGATATCTGAAATTTGATCTTAAACCCGTTTTTAGCTTTTGCAGAACGCTTCGCAAAAGCGAGATATCTAAATTTCAGACTCCTTAACAAGCTGTCACACGCCCCGAAACAACTACTCCAGTGGTCTAGTGGATAGTCTGCTAGACCACCAAACCGACTACATTCATTGCCCTCAAGTTCTAGTCTCACTCTCGCTAAACGTTTTGCTTTTTGCCAAAAATCTCGCGTTTGTCAAGCGTTCTGCAAAAACCAAAAACAGATTTGAGATTCACATAGCTGACTCTATAAGATGGACTTGGACTCGAGCCAAAAGGTCAGCTTGACTCCATTTTCCCCATTTCAGTGCCTTGGTGCGTGACCCGCAAAACTCTTCACTTATCCACGTGTTCTGCTACGAGAAATCTCAAGAAGCCAATAACCCATGTGATACGATTAAATCTTTATGAATATATAGAATAAATAGCTTATCCATGTACAATCAGTGAAGAGCTCCATGCGCCAGGAAGCTGCAGGCACCAACGTTGCAACACTTTTGAGCACAAAGTAACGCACCGCACAGTGTAACTTGGTTTGATAACTGACTAAAAGATTCTAACTGGGTGCTTAGCTGCGTACTTTGAAGTGAATTTTCTACGCCAGGTTCCTTGCGTTTGCGTGGGTGTTTGCAGCTAATTTTTGCAAATTCAGAATCAGCATAGCCGATTCTATAAGATGCACTCGGTCACGAAGCGATTCTGAACTTCGAGCTGTCCTTCGAGCTTTTCCTTGTAAGCTTTGCCCTCTATTTTGTGATCAGATTTCTTTATTTATTTATTCCTTTATTCAAAAGTTACATTTTGTTTCTTTCAAATAAGTTCAATTTTTGGAAAACTAAACAAACCCGGTTCACAACGGCGCGAAATAAGGCAAAAAAAACTTTCTGGTCAAAATTCAAGCTTGACGTACCATTCGACGTAAAAAATTGCGCTGATTCCGAATCTGAAACTTTTCTAAAAATCCGTTCGAAAGTTTTTCTTAAAAATGAGCTTTACCCAAAAATCCCATCATAGGTTTTCTAAAAACATTAAAAACTGTTTTTTGAATGTGGAATGGAATCGATTGTTAAAACAATTAATAGAAAATTTTTAACTTTTTAAAGCTTTCTTCGTCTTTTCTATGGTTTAAATTAGTTAAATAAGTATAATTGTTTGAAAATTTGTTCAATTAGAAATTAATTTACTTTTTTAAACTTTTTACTAACAAAAAAACATAAACACAACTTTTCTAAACAAGCCTTTACAATTTTTGTTCAGAAACGATTAGACATTTTCATGGAGTTGGGAGTAGGTTGGAAATCGGCTTAGGCTTATTGTTGATAAGCTTGTTTGACTTTGGAATGAGATTTTTGAAACAATGCTTGTTGATTATTCATGTAGAGACGCTACGGATAAGTCAAGAAATGCTAAATACCATTCGACGTAAAAAATTGCGCTGATTCCGAATCTGAAACTTTTTTAAAAATCCGTTCGAAAGTTTTTCTTAAAAATGAGCTTTACCCAAAAATCCCATCATAGGTTTTCTAAAAAGCACTCGAAAACACGTATTTCAGTATTTCAGGATGGATCACAAATTCCCGGTGAAATACAGGCTCAAAAACATCCCAGCCCACGAAAAAATGCGGCTTGTTCTCAGCGGAGATAAAGGCTTTGAAACAACTGTGTCTAAGCGATGAAAATGCGGAAATTTCTCGTGCAACCAGCGGTTGAAAAGCCCGAGAATTCGATTTCAGCGATTTAATCGTTAAGTCGAAATGAATTAGTGAGGAATTCCCCGGAAAAAAAACTAGCAAACCCAAAAGAAAAGTCGTCGAAGTAATTATTGCCTTTTATCACTTTTATCATTTCGCTTATAAGCCGATCATCTCTAAAAGATAGGCGCAAAAATGAGAAATGATTCACACGATTGACCCAAGCATCACTAATACTGACAAGAAAACTGAATTAACAGCAACCTTCGGCGCACGTGAACTTTCACAGATTTACCTCCGGTGGCTGCCTTTTTGCGTCTTGCGATAATGGGAGCGGTGCTAAAAAGGAAACGAAAAAGAAAAGGGATTTTTCGGTGGTACAAAGGACACTAATCACTTTAGCCTTTTCGAATTATCGCAAAACGCAAGCCATTATCACAATGTGTTCTTTCAAAATAGGATCAACACAAATAGGGGATGGACAACTATTTAAAAGCCTTCAACAATGATTCTGACGAGCCTCATCTACATTTTCACCAACAGCTTACAATTAAAAGTCTTTCTTTACTATGCAAATCACTTCACGTGGTGGACGGTTTATCAACTTCGAAAAGTTAGTCACTTATTCTAAAAATCTGTAAGTTCTATTTTAAGAAATCGTGTTTACAAATGCTACCGATTGGATTTTGATCCTGGTCAAAAACTTTTATCTCTTGCCAATCAAGAAGCCTTTCGAAATGAAGTCGAAATTCTGCAGACTATCGGATCACATTCAAACATTGTGCAATTCATCACACATTTTGAAAAATGGCAAGATGGAATGAATCTCGGTGTTCTTGTATTAGAGCGTTTAGCTAATGGATCAATGGAAAGAAGTGTCCTTGTTTTTTGTTTTTTTTGAATAACAAAAAGATGTGTTTCAGTTGTCTTCAGTTCTGACTGGATTTATTCAGATCATACAATTTACTGTTGGTGTTCGAATATTCTTAAAGGATTAACGTACCTCCATACTATAAACGTCATACACGCGGATATAAAACTTTCAAAGTAAGCATTGACAGTAAAAAAATGTACCAACTGATTCAGTTTGATGCTAGACTCGAATTTTGTAGCGAAAATTGGTGATTTTGATCTATCGTTGATCAATGAAGTCTTGGGAAGATCAGAGAAAACAGTGGGAACAGACCGAACAAGGGCACCGGAGTTGTGGATTCATAATCATGTTTATTTTTCTGGCCATTTTAAATCCCTGTCTTTACTTATAATGAGTTTTAGCTCTGCATACTAAGACTTCTTTAGGTGAGCAGAAAGATTGACGTTTGATCTTTTGGAGTCGTTTTGTGGGAGTTAATTGGGAGAAAGTAAGCATCATTTGAGCTTTAAGCTTAAGCTTTAAGGCTTTAAGCTTTAACTAAATTGATTTCCAGGTGGTGCTTTGAACAAGAAAGTTATATTCTCATCGAGTTGAGCCAAAAAGGAAAGCTAGAACCGCCAAAGTTTCACTTCAATCATCCTCTGTGCGATTTTATTACTTTGTAGGTGCTAAACCATTTGGAAAGCTATTATCTATATTCTAGATGTACCATTCCATCGAGGACTGTCCGGCCAACGTCGAAAATCGTTTTTAAGATCTTGTTGGAGCTCATTGAGGTATATTTCATAAAATTCTCTAGTGTTTGATAGAATTGGACTAAAGACAAAATACGTTTAATGTTCAGACTGAATCCGTCAACTTCATGATGAGAAGTTTTACACCTGAAGTGAGCGGAATAAATAGACAAAGCTCTCCGCCAATACCCACTGGATTCGATGAAGACGAAAATGCTCACCAAACTCATTTTTAGTTTCGTTTTTCTTTTTCTGATTTATAGTAAATTGTTTTTCAAATTGTTTCATTTTCCAAAACAAAATGCATAACCTCACTTACTTTCTGAAAAACCCGAAAGTTCCCAATCCGGGTCAGTCCATTTGCCTTTAAATTTAATTTTTTTTTTAATCTAATTTATAAAAAAAGGCAACCAGCGATTTTGGTGTTTCTAGACTATGCTTGATAATACAGGGTGTCCAATAATTACGGCAACACGTACCAACTTTATTAATCAGCTAGTTTTTTTCGTTATTTATTGGTTTTTTTTTTATGTTTTCTACTAGTTATGATGTTTTCCAATATAATTTTATAGTATTTTTGGCATATTTTAGGAATGGAATTTCAGATGCATAACATCTGAAAATGAAAGCTTATAAGTACTCAAGATGTCAGTTTCTTTTCGCTGTGGAAAGAAAGAAACGAGAAGTTCGCGCAAACCAGCTTCTTCTTCGATTCAATGGGATCGACCACCGGAACATTTTGTTTACCGATGATTGAACAATTTGTGAACAAACAGAACGCGTTGGTGCACCATGGTATTTGAAAAGAATTCAATGGGTATGAAGGAGGGCATTTATCACTGAAATGACGAGGGAAAGTACAACTGTCGTGTTGTGCAACTGGTCGATGAAATGTAGGAAACATCTTTCAAAAACTTGGCGATTGATGAAAATAACGATGATTATTCCATTTCCAAATGGGTTTTAGTCTTCTGGAATACTCAACACTGCATTGTTTTTAAATACCGCAGACTGTTTTAATTGACTTTCTTCTAATCGTCGACTCTCTTTACGCTTACAGCTAAGAACTAAAAAAAAAGGCACTAATTGCTTAGACCACTTTTCTTTTGGGTTTGATAGGCTTTTTTCCGGGGAATTCCCCTAGTTCATTTCGACTTGACGGTTAAATCGCTGAAATCGAACTCTCGAGCTTTTAAACCGCTGATGAAATTGCACGAGAAATTTCCGCATTTTCATTGCTTAGACACAGTTGTGTTCAAAGCCTTTATCTCCGCTGAGAACAAGCCGCATTTTTTCGTGGGCTGGGATGTTTTTGAGCCTGTATTTCACCGGGGATTTTTGATCCATCCTGAAATACTGAAATACGTGTTTTCGAGTGCTTTTTAGAAAACCTATGATGGGATTTTTGGGTAAAGCTCATTTTTAAGAAAAACTGTTGAACCGATTTTTAAAAAAGTTTCAGATTAGGAATCAGCGCAATTTTTTACGTCGAATGGTATTTAGCATTTCTTGACTTATTCGTAGCGTCTCTACATGAATAATCAACAAGCATTGTTTCAAAAATCTCATCCCAAAGTCAAATAAGCTTATCAAAAAAAGACTAAGCCGATTTGCAACCCACGCCCAACTCCATGAAAATGTCTAATCGTTTCTGAACAAAAATTGTAAAGGCCGACGTTGTTTTAACAATCGATTCCATTCCACATTCAAAAAACAGTTTTTAATGTCGACCCATTTCGATGCAATAAGAACGTTCACGCGTCCAAGTAAAAAAATAAGTAAGCTAATCACAATAAAATTGGTAATGAAAAACAAAAAATTAATTTAATGACTTGAGGAAGAAAGCGCCTTGGGTGCTGTGAAAGACGTAGTCACCAAGCCAAAAGGATTGGGTTTTGTTGGAAGGCGCTCATTCCTCAAGCATTAGCAAAACTATTGAGCTAACACAAAAGACACGATAAAGGCTTTCTAAATTTAATTAAACTTTTGGGAATCATTTCACAAGAGACACAAAATAAACAAGCATAGAGGATTGGGATACTGGAACAAATATCGAGAATTACGTGATTTCTTGAATGCTAGATCTTGCTAGGGTAAAGTCTCTTTTCTGTTCGGTAGTTGACTTTCCATCTTGTTAACAGGTGTTGTCAATTGTTGCAACCATAATAGCTAAAAAATGAGTTAGATCTAGATTCCAATAAGCTGGCGTTGTCATTAATTAATACTTTTGACTATGTTTAAGAACCAGAATGCCACCTTTGGACAATGATTACGAGTCCGACTGGCCACAGCAAAGGAGTGTTCTTCTGTGGCTGATGGTTCTTGAGGCTCCTTCATCGTGCGCCATTCACCATTTTCTTTCCAAACGCATCCACCATCTGTGTAGACTTCCTACAAATAAAGTTAATAAATACACATAAATACACAATATACCTTTTTCCAAATGGTCACGCGCCTCTTGATTTTGTTGATTCCCATTTCGACAGCTTGTATGGCCTGAAATTTATCAATATAACATAACGATAAACGACGCCAGACCTCTTCTCGATGTGGGCTAGCCGCGGCAACAATCACAGACGTTTCTTCTACCGGGACCTCACCGACACGATGCCAAAATACAATCCTTTCAATGGTTGGGAACTTTCGACGAACTTCTGCGCAAAGCTGCCTCATTTCCTAAACATGAAGCTTATACAAAATGATATGAAACTGAAACCTTGTATGCCATTTCGTCGTAGCTTTCATAGTCCAGTCTACTGACTTCTTTCCCATTGAAGTTGTCTCTAAAGAAACAAGTTTAAAATGCTTTAAAAACCGTATCCGACCAGTTGCTTAAGCTTTTAAAGTAGTTTCGTATATTGTAAGCCTATGTAATTTCATTCCTTACAAGACCTTCATATCCTCAAAGTTTACCTTGTTGTCCCTAGAAAGACTGAGGTCGCTCCACAAGTTGCTGATCTAACCAAGTTGAATGCCTCTTCAACATCAAGCCGGTCAAATGTTATGCGAATCAAATCATCGTGGAACGATTGAAGTAGCTAAAATAAAGATTAAAACCTTTAAAATTCATTCTTTCAATAAGTTTACTTACATCCACAATGCTTTCCGGGCAAGTGACATCCGAGTTCGAGCTCATGTCGATGAAAACGTAGCGTTTATCAGATCGTGCAACCTTCATTGCATTCCGTTGTATGCGAACATAGGAGGGCCACACAAGCTAAAAAGAAAGCTGTGATTTACATTGAACATATTTTATGGCTAGTCTAATCAATATGCTTTTTGCAATGCATCTTATCACTAGCTATTAACCGAGTAAGCGAGTATTTAACCGAGTTATTAAATTTGTGATTTGTTGAATGAAAGATTTTTGACCGCAAACAACTTCTCCGGTGTAGATTTGACACGGAAAATCAACGCAACAATCTGTAATAGAAAATTTTTAATAAGTGAGGTGATCTCATCAACCGTTTGAAGGCCCATCTCGACGTCTAACTGAAAAGTGTTTAGCTTTTCATTTGTTAGCCATTCTAATCACAAACCCCATGATCAGCAATGAAATAAGCGATAAATGACTAAAAGATTCTAACTGGGTGCTTAGCTGCGTACTTTCAAGGGAATTTTCTACGCCAGATTCCTTGCGTTTGCGTGGGTGTTTGCCGCTAATTTTTACAGATTCAAAATCAGCATAGCCGATTCTATAAGATGCACTCGGTCAAGAAGCGATTCTGAACTTCGAGCTGTCCTTCGAGCTTTCCCTTGTAAGCTTTGCCCTCTATTTTGTGATCAGATTATTCACTTTATTCAAAAGTTACTTTTTGATTCTTTCAAATAAGTTCAATTTTTGGAAAACACCACTTATACCAGAAAAGTTTTCGGCTGGAGTGCAGTTTACCTCCCCCCCCACACAATTGGGAAATCTCAAGTGGTTTTTCTGGGGTAATTTTGTGTGTAGAACTCGAATTTCAACATTCTAGGTGCGGATCAGGCGTTTTTTCCCCACAAAATTTTTTCAGCATCGACCCGCAACTACATAGGTCGATGCTGAAAAAATTTTGTGGGGAAAAAACGCCTGATCCGCACCTAGAATGTTGAAATTCGAGTTCTACACACAAAATTACCCCAGAAGTACCACTTGAGAGTAGAGTGCAAAAGCCACCGCGCCCCTCTCCTCCGGCTGGTGGAGGGGAGGGGGGGGGGTAAGTTTTTTTTGCAGAAACCTAGGCATCTCGATTAGTTAAGCAACTTTCATTATTACGATAACGTTTAGAAATGTGTGAAATGGATTCGCCCTGGCCAGGGTAAACTGTACCGCAACCAAGTTTTCATTTAACTGGAACATTCGATCCAAATTTGATCCAAATTGGGGCTTTCCTGGCTGGCTTTTCTCCAATTTTTAATGAGTTTGATAATTTGAACAGATGAGACGAATAGAGCGCAAAATATCTATCCCAATAACTTGAAACTCACTAATTGAAGCAATAATTCTGTGCACGATTATATTCCAAGAACCAATCAGCTTTTTCGACTGCAAAATAGCAGCTTCCACGAGTGTGACCCGGTACGGAAAGTTGTGGACAATTTTTAAAGCCGAGAAGGATAACTTTTCAGATGAAATATTTCACTTATAGATGAAATATTTCACTTTTATCTTGTGAACTAAAAGAAATCGCAATTGTTAAAGTGACTAAATTGATTCTTTAATTGGAAATTGATCTCAAAAATTGAAATTAAAGAACGCGAAGATCACAAAGTACTCCTTTTTGTTCTGTGGTGTGCATGGTGACAAAGAAGTGACGATTTCCATATACCGGATCGAGAGATCATAAATAAATGGGGAAAGTGATAAGCCCCATATTGCCCTATAAATAGATTTCTTTTGAATCATTAAATTGCACTACGAGCTCGAATATTCATAAAATATGTTGAATACCTTAGTTTTTGTATTTTTGTATATATTTTTCGGTTCACCGATTCTCGTTTTTGGATTCAAAACATCACGGGTAAGTATCTTTGGTGAATTCGAAGTGAATTACGATTATTTGAAAGGAATTTTATTTGATTTGTCAAAATAACAGAAATTCATCATCTTCTACATACAAAATTATTTGAAATTATTGAAATTATCGAAAAATTTTTCTAGTCAACGATACGATTTATTAGTCTTTCAAAATTAAATCAAATTTTTTTCAATTAATTAGTTGTCCTTTCTAGAGTGCCAATCTTGAAGCTGCTCTCGAATCCACACCGATTGCACCCGGTAAAAACATTCTAATTAAAATCGTTCTAAATTTCATGCTAAAAAAAACCGGTTTGTCAATTAATCAATCAATCAAATCAATGTCAATCAATCGCTTGAATTTCTCGTCGCAAATTTTAAATGTTAATTTTCGCGCGACGTCGCATTCCAATTGACATCGCCGCCATTTGCAGGTAGTCTATGGGAGCGCCGCGTTGTCATTTCTCTTTCATTTTCAATTTTTTTCAATCATCAGATTCATTGAAAGTCTTGTTTTACGCGATAATTTTTTTGTTGAAATGAGAAAGCAATCTATTTGCATGTGGAAAGAATCCGGAACTTTTCCTAGCCGGACCACAAGGGCCAAAACTAACTGTAAGATGGTTTGGGAAGTTGAATGGAAACAATGAAAGCAAGGCTCATCTTCTGGACTGTTACAAAACTTTCTGCTAGTCCATAAATTTCAGATACGTATGTATTTTGTTTACATTTCACAAATCAATAACTTTTCTTTTTAGGCTTTGACTTTTGCCCACGACTTTCCGTGCCGGGAACAAAACCTGGAAGCTGCATGTTTGGAGTCAAAAAAGTTGCCTACTCGTTGCGGATCGATCGTGTGCAGGATTATTGCGCCAACTAGTGAGTTTTCTTTTCAAAATCATTGCCTCTTCCAAACCTGAACCCAATTGTTGTTTAGTTTTCATGGAAATCTCGTCCCAATCACGAATGATGACGAAAATTTGAGAGTTCTACTGATGACTCGGAATTTCATTTCTTCGGATTTCTATTTTCGTGGGGTAAATGATTCAAGCTTGTACATCAAATTTCACATTTTGAATATCGAATGTTTGAATTTTTAGGCTCCCCCAAGTGCGTGGATTGGCGGCTATTGGGATGGGCAAAATGTAAAGTTTCAGGACGGCACTATTTCCAATTACACAAACTTCGATCAACGTATGTTTTTCGGTGAAATAAACGGACAAACTTTTCAAAATCATTTGATATTGAAAGTTCGGTTTTTTTTCTCTTTCTTCGTGTGGTTCACAAGAGAATGTCAACCGGGTGCGGTGGTCAACTGACACGAGCCATATACTATTTGACGCAGAATTTTGCGCTGATTCCGAATCTGCTTTGCATTTTTGCAACGCAGCACTCTGTCAAAAGTTATAAGCGCTCTGTATGATTGTATGCCACAGAAAACAGCCACTGAGTTTATAAGGTGACTTACCAGGGGAGAAAAAATTTCGTGGTGGCCGAGTGGCAGTGGGCTTGAATACGAAGCAAGAAATCTAGGGTTCGAGTCCGGCGTTTGGCTTTTATTTTTGTTTCATTTAGCTTTTAATGGTTTGACATTCGGAGCAGATTCGGCATCAGCGCAAAATTCTGCGTCAAATAGTATATATCATTTGGCCACCACACCTTGTTGATTTCATTGTCATTGTCATGTCTCAACAAATCATTGTCTCTTGTCAATATCATTGTCAGTTTAGCTTGGTATGTGAATTACACCGGAAACATCGCCATGTTCATAGACAACGGGAAATGGGGCATCGTCTTAGATGCCGACTATTCCGTCTGTCAAACTGATCGAAGTATGAGATTTCTTTGTTTCTTTTGTAAAACTAGCTAATACAGGGTGGCACAGAATTACGGTGGCACCTGAATGCTTCATATAGAGTTACTATGCAAATCTCACTCGTAATGTACCTTTGACTTTAAATTTGACTTTAAACTACTACGGCAGTATCGGAGTGGGCGAGCATAAACCAACGCAACACAAAAAGAAAATGTTCCCAAGTAAATTTTATTGATATATTTATTTAAAGGAGATTTCAAGCTCTCAAATTGTATAAAAATATATAAAATTTGGTACATTACGAGTGAGATTTGTATAGTAACTGTATGTGAAGCATTCAGGTGCCTCCGTAATTCTCTGCCACCTTGTACAAAGACTTTGACAAGACAAAAATGAACTCGATTCAGAACGTGACCCATGTCCAAGGGACTCTGTACAAAGTCTTGTCAATGACGATTGCTTTTTTGCGATTCCTTTGACTTTAAACTACTACGGTGGACAGCAGTATTGCAAGGATTAGTGAGCAAATCAAAAATCCAAAAGATTCAAAAGGAAAATGTTTAGTTTCGACGGAAATCTTGCCTCCATCACAAATGCTTTCGACAATCAAGCTGTTCTTCAAATGACGACCGATGTTTTGCGTTCATTTCAAGCTGTAAGTTATAAAGCTTTAAAGAATTTTTCCACATAAAAGCTCTATGTAATGTGTTTTGTAATCACTTTTATAGCACTTTTCAACTCTTTTTTTTCAGTTTAACACTGAGGCTTGGATTGGTGGGCTTTACAATGGAAATGAAGTCATATGGGAAGATGGAAATCCCAGTGTTTACAATAATTTAAGAAGTAAGTTGATCATTTGAGAAGCACTAATACTTTCCTTTTATTTCAGAAGGCAATTACACCGAATACAGCAATACATACTTGATTTTGATTGATGGGACGTGGGTGGCCGGCTCGGTCTACAGTTTCGATAATTCACCATTTATTTGCAGTGTGAAAAGGGGTATGAAATATGAACTTTTTGAAAAAAATAAGCTAATAAACTTTAACTTTAATAAGCTAAACTTTTAACTTAATAAGTTAATAAGCTTTGTAGCTTTGTAGCTTTGTAGCTTTGTTAAATCAGCTAAATTCTAATAAAGATTCAAAAATATTTCTCGTACCTTCTCAATAGGCTCAAAAATTGCGAATTTTCAGCAGCATCCCATGTCTGAGGCGCCCAAAAGTCAAAAAATACTGCAAAATTTATGCAATTGATTTCCATAAATCTTTCATTTCATTATTTTTTTTTCATTATTTCAAATTTACAGCATTTCAAAGATTTAAGCATCCATTCAGCTTTTAAAGTTAATGCCATTTTTAACACAAATAGTCTATCGATGTACAGTCAAAGGAAGACCTCCATGCGCTAGGAAAGACGCGTTTGCAACACTTTTGAGCACAAAGTACACACCACATTTGCTTTGAGAAATAACTAAGAGTCTGGTGCTTAGCTGCGTACTTTGAGACTCAAAAAATTGCAAACCCATTCTTTCTGGGGCACTAAAAGCATTTTTTTAGCCCAACAGTGAAGAATTCAGTGCACTAGAAAGGGTTTATTTGCAATTTTTCACCCCATTCTTCTCCTCAAATCACATCCAAATCCAGAGCTGTCTGAGCATTGGCAAAGGTGGTATTTTTCTCATTAGCACTCAACCATTGCTTTCCTTTTCCTTTTTTTGCTTTTTCTCCAGATGAGGTCAATCAAATATTGCTCTCGAGATCCGAAAACAAGCCCCTTTCACTTCATGATTGCACACTGCTGTTTGTACCCTAGAATTTTCTCCTCTTCAACCTCATCCAATCTGCTCTTCTCTCTCCAACGTGCCAGCTGATCTGATCACACAATCCGAGCCAAGCACAACATTTGGCGCAAAAGCAGTGGGCTCAATGTCAAATACTCCAATTCAAATACTTTGATTCACATAGTCGATTTAAAAACCATTCCCAATAGGGCTATTTTTGTTGCAAGCTTTGGCTTGATATTTCCCCTGTATTCAAATCTTTTCCTCAATATTACTAGGTGTTATCAAAAGACAAACTTGACCTCGAATTAAAGAAAGAAAAGAGAAAAAGTGATCGAGAAGTTCTGGAGGAGTAATCGACTCTTCCTTTTCTTTCTTTTCACTTTCTAATCACCTCAAAAAGCCATAAATCTGTCGATGACCCTATATTGGGAAAAAGAGAAAGAATCGAAGAGCTCTATCAATGTGATAAATCAAACAAATGAGAAAGGGGGGATTTGAAGAGGATTGGGACAAGAAATCAGGTAGGAAACAGGGAATCGGATCGCTTGTAGGGAATCGGATTGCTTGTAGGGAATCGGATCGCTTGTAGAGTTAGAGTTCATACTGTAACTGTGTACTGGATACTGTAAAGCTCGAATATTTCTCCAGAATTTTAGATATTCATTCTCTCTCTCCTAGAAGTTTCGCCACTCCATTCCCAGCATCGCAAATCATCCTTTATTTCCTTTTATTTGAAATCTTTTCTCCCAAAACCCAGCGGGTATCCAAAAATGGAGTCTTTTCATTAAATAACTCCAAAAGAGAAATGCCCAATGGCGTTCAATTTTCCCCTCTTTTTCTTTTTCGAAGAAGAGTTACGAGTGGTTGTAAATTTTGTGGCTCATCTAGAGAGCCCCACTTGTTGAGGGGAATTGTTGCAAGACTAATTTCGGACTTGGGAATGAAATGAAATGAAATGGCTAGCTGTATATTAGCTAATTCATAGCCTAGTTGTTCAAATTCTGAAATTGAGTCCTTTTCAGTCACAAATTTCAGTTCAAAACTTTACAGTTAAGATTTAGGCCGGCAAAACTACTGTAGAAAGGGTGTTTTATTAAAGATTATTGTCTGCAAAAAGTCTCAAATAGTCTCAAACAATTCCAAACTTTCCCCCCTATTGATTTGACATGCCGATTCATTGTGAAATGAAAACAAGATATCTAAATGAGGCAGAGATTCTCCATAGTCAAAAGAGCTCTTTCTTTTCTCGAGAACTAATGGGGTGCTCATCCGTTCGATGAATGGGAATGAATGGAAATGAATGAGAGATGGAGAACCTCACTCAACCTGCTTCCCCTGTAAACCCTTTGAACTCCCCCGCCTACAACAAGTAGGGTGTCAAAGTTCGTGAGAATAGAGAGCCTTCATTGAGACAATGAGGTTGAGTCAAAAAAATAAGAAACTTTGACTTTGACCTTGCTTTCTTTGATCACTTTCTCATTTAGTCAAAATCGATTGCAATCAGCAAACCTCAAATTCAATTCTAGACTTATTTTTCTACATTCTATACTTCTATATTCTATACTTCTACATTCTATACTTCTACATTCTATACTTCTACATTCTATACTTCTACATTCTATGCTTCTATTCTATACTTCTATATTCTATACTTCTATATTCTATACTTCTATATTCTATACTTCTATATTCTATACTTCTATATTCTATACTTCTACATTCTATACTTCTATATTCTATACTTCTACATTCTATACTTCTGTTCTATACTTCTATTCTATACTTCTACATTCTATGCTTCTACATTCTATGCTTCTACATTCTATGCTTCTATTCTATACTTCTATATTGCATTTATATTCTATAATTCTATTCTATGCTTAACTGACCTCAACCCAACTCAACTACCAAAATACGATTCAATTTTTAAACGATACAAGCTAAGGCCTAAGTCGTTACTCTTATGGTTTACAAGTGCTCAGGTCAAATAGTCTAAACTTGTTGATGAACAATTTCTTGTCGAGTCTGCACTGTTGTTGTTAGTTGTTAGAGCTGTTGTTAGAGCTATTGTTAGAGCTGTTGTTAGAGCTGTTAGAGCTCAGAGCTGTTAGAGGTTGTTAGAGCCATGTCAAAGCTCAATTTGCATTTGAAGTGGATTTTTGAGCTAAGAATAGGCCAAGTCAGCCATGCTTTACTCCATTCCTTCATGGCAGTCGAGTAAAGTTAAGAGCTTTGTTTTAAAAGAAAAACTATAATGCAATTAGCTAGAAATAGCTCTAAAAGAAAAAACAAAACAAACAGCTACGAGGGAGCGAACTCTCACCCCGTGGGCGGCAATCCAATGTGTTATCCGTTAGGCCACCAGGTAACTCGATGGGGAAAGGAAATTTAGATCTAAAGACATCCTTGCTCTATTCTTTAAGATACGATCTCCAAATACTGACACCGACTGTCTCCAAAAACACCAAGAAATCGGATCCCTTTTCCTTTTATTATTTTAGAATGAGTGCCCGAAAAAATAGATCAAACCCTTTGCCGGTGCCCAATTCATCGTTAATTAATGGGTCGATGGTTTCCGGGAGAAGACACACACTTGTTCTCTTGTTCTCTCCTTTTTTTTCTTCATCTCACTCATCTCAAGGAGCTCATTATAAACCAAAAATCGTAAACAGTCCTTGGAAAAGAAAATAGAATCTTTTCCTGCAAAAGAGTTACTGTTACAACTACTGCTGCTACTACAACATCTACAACTTGAGTTAATGCCAGGCTAAGTTAAGCTGATAAAGCTAGGACACCTGGGCCAGAGTCAGGTGATCGGAACAGGCTAGAGCCTGGCCAACTGGACTAGCCTGGCAAATACTTGAGCTTTTATTGTAAACAGAGATGTTCCAGGCCTCAAGATCAAGCTAGTCTAGCGAAAAGCCAGGTTAGACCTAGATCTTATCCAAACAAGTCTGAACAACTCTGCTTGCTGATTCAATATCTGTACAGTAAGCCGATAAAATGATTTGAAAGCTTTGACTTGACTGAAAGCTTTCTATTCATTTACTATATGACTGAGACTTTGCAGTTTTTTAATGCTTTAATCAAAAGTTAGTCTAGTCAAAAGTTAGCTTAGTCTTTAAATCATTTCCAGCACTCAACTTTTTCACTCTGTCATCACTTTTACTAATTTTAGTGCCTTTTCTCACTTTTTTTTACTGAATCATTAGATTTTTAGGATTGCCAAGTGGGTTTCGGGTTAGAGCTTTACACTAAACTTTTATGAGAAGTGCGCAAAAGAGTTCACGTGAGAAAAAGACAAAACCCGGCAAAAATACGCTACTAAATCACCGGGGTTTTATGAGATTTTATGGGCTGAATGAGGGGAAACCGTTGGAGAGATGGAGGCTGTTCAGCGGTGGATAAAGATAAAGCCTGGTTATCGTCCTGAGATACGACTTAAACAATTGCAATTGTTTAACACTAACGATTGAATAAGTCTGATAGTCTGATAGTCTGATAGTATGGGTGGTATTATGGCCACAGGGTGGTATTATGGCCACAGGGTGGTATTATGACCAAATTTTCAGTCAAAGCCAACGATAAGGGTGAAAATTCCAAGTCAACGCCAATTGAAAGACATTGGCTTGGCTCTTGGCTTAGCTTTTGGCTTAGCTTTCGGCTTTTTCAAAACCCTGGCCTCACCGGGATCTTCCTGAACATCTTGCTGAACATCCTTTGGATGTACAGATCTTGCTGACCAGCCTTTGAACTTACAGATCTTACTGAACATCCTTTGAACTCAGCTCAACTAGTTCCAGCCAAGAGGAAAACTCGATCGGGCTCTAAAAGACTCTGGTGTCCACCAGGTGTCTCCCCTCCACTTCTCTCGCTTACGACTTTCAAAAAAAAACGACGATAAACATAACAGTGGGTGTGCAATGTGCTCTACACAGTTTTTTTTCATTCAAGGCTTTAAAAATACTCCGAAACTCCACTCAGAAATCCAATCCAGCTCTTAGCCGCACTCCAAAACCCTCAATATTGTTCCCAAGATGCAATTCAATTATTTAAAGCACATTTCATTTCTTGTGTCATTTCGGGTATCTAATTTTGGGATTTTACAATCTGCCGGTTCATTTGGAAGAGATTGGAAGGGTAACTAATCAGAGAAAGAGATGATATACGACATGTGGGAATGGGCAGAGTAAAGGACAAGGGTACTAGGGACAACAATTCCACACATCCACAATAATCATTATTGTGAGCTTGAGTGGGCTAAGAAGGGTACGGGAAAGCTAAAAGGGATCACCCTTGCTTGTCTTGGCTTCTTTGGTCTTTAGTTTAAAGACTCCAAGCTAATCTAAGCTCCAATTCAATAAAATGAATTTCTTTAATCAATTCGCAGATCCCGAAATACGACAGAGATGATATACGACATG